TCAGGTAACCCGAAACGTTTCTAATCCCATTGTACGAAATATCGGATTTGTAGTACCTTGTGCAGGGTATTTTTTCGGGTTATTAAGCCGGATTTTTGGCACTCGGGTATCGAGAGAAGAATAAAAAAAAATGGCATTACGTCGAGACTCTCTCCCCATTGTGTAGGTCCCATGCATTGTGCTCGACCATTCAATAGAAGAGCATTGACTAAGTTTCCGGTCTTCGAAATTTTCTAAAAATCGCACAAAAGCCGCACGGTATTCAATGGAAACGAACAAAACGTGCGGAATTTACGAATATTCGGTTACACTATACTCGGAGAGGACATTCCGAAGGAATTTGAAATATCCCTGACGTCATAAATTGAACGAAACGCCGGCGCAATTTACCCACGCCCGCTCTATAAATTATTCGCTAAAGTTCGTGTGTTTTATAATGACAATTACGTTATTTTTGGTTCTGGATCGTTCTAAATGGTTCTGGACAGTTCTAAATGGTCCTGGAGCGGTGTAAATTATCGTGGAGCGTTATAAATTAATAGTTCTAGATTATTCAAGATGATTTTTGGAGCATTCTAAATGGTTCTAGACAATTCGAAATGGTTCTAGACAGTTCTAAATGGTTTTGTAGCGTTCTAAATGGTGCTAAACAGTTCTGCTTTATTCTAAATATCGTAGAATAACCAATGTGTACTACTCTCTTAATGTTTATTATTTTTCTCATCTTTCGAACGACCCTCGTAAAAGTGGAAGAAGAAAAAATGTATCGAGAACCCGCAGAAAAGCCATTAATATAAATAAAAAATGGAATAGTAATGAATCGGTGGTGTCGCGACCGCTTCAAACGAAATAAACCACAATTATGAATTATGTTATATTTATTTTACGAGAAAAATAAACGCATCGCAATTAGATCGAATCATCGCGGCAGGCCGCAAACTTTGCCTTTAATTGTTTTTAAAAGTAAAAAAAAAAGTACTACAATTAATTTATTTCGCCGTACTTTCCAAAGCGCCCTCGTAAAAAAAACGCCGTACCAAAATATCGTTTCGACGAGCCGCCATCTTGACGCACATGTCAATCGTAAACGTCAAACGTCAAACGTCACACGACTCTATTTACTCCGGTAAATCGATTTTTTATTCCAAAATACCGTTTCGACGAGCCGCCATGTTTGACGCACCTGTCAATCGTAAACGTCAATCGTAAACGTCAAACGTCACACGACTCTATTTACGCCGGGGCAAATCGATTTGTTTTGTCTTTCTCTTTCGCTTTTTATAGATAAAACAATAATCGATTTTCGGAATTCGATCATAAGAAAAGTGATTTACGAGTACCCGGTAAGTACCTAATCCCGCATCGGAACTGTCATAAGATGTCGCGTGAATCATTCTCGCGTATAATAATAATACAGGCGCGCGCCTATATTATATATATATATATATATAGAGGGTGTTCGTTACGATCGGTCTTTAAAGGAGAAACTGCATTTTTTACCATTGCATAACCGGCGCATGCATAATGCAAATCCCACAAACCAGCACCGTACCGGCCCAAATCCCGCCAAATTTCTTCTATTTCTTCATTTTCTTCAATTTCTTCTTTTTCTTCCTGTTATTATTCTTTTTCTTCTTCTTCTTCTTCTCTGGTTACATGACATCTTGCGAAGTAAAGTATCTGATCAAAATGGTATCTTCTTCGTTTAGAATACAGCCAATTTACTAAACTCTTCTTTCAAGAATTGATAGGCCTCGTATCTTGCTAATTTACAGCAAATTATTTTTTTTCTTTCGCCAGAACACTGGCCTCTTATACGAGTTTTATCGAGCCCATTAATTACTAGTAGTTCTTATCAATTCTAGTTTGTGCAGATAATTTTTTAGTAGAGAATATCCTCTTTCGCTAGAAATAATATATGGCCTCGAATACGAGGGTAAGGTGAAAAGTTCTCGGCCCGATAATGAAAGACGGCGATTTTCAATTGAAAAATTATATTATTCTTCTTGAATAGTCGAAATATTTATGTTCTAAACAGTTCTAATTGATTTTAGACAGTTTTAAATGCTTCTGGAGCGTTCTAAATGGTTTTAGTTAGTTCTAAATGATTCCTAAACGGTTCTAGACAGTTCTAAATGATTCTGAGGCGTTCTATATGAATCTGGACAGTTTTTTATTGATTTTGGGTCGTTCTAAATGGTTCTGGAACGTTCTAAATGAAACTAGACAGTTCTAATTGATTCTGGAGCGTTCTAAACGATTCTAGACAGTTCTAAATGTTATGTTATGGCCTCTTATCCTCAACGCATTCGGATAACTTTTTCGTATCGATGGCCTTTTACCTAGTGCGATACCGTTCAGCCATTTCAACGTCGAAATACGATCCTGTACCGAAGAGTATTTGCATTCAAATAAATCGAATGAGTACACCTATATATTGAGTGTTTTTTTAATGAGCGATCGTAAATCAACATCGAACGGAATATTAACCGCTCGTGAAATATTTTCCTGAGAACCAATAGCTTTTTGTAGTACGAATTTAGTTGATTTTACTCGACACAATATAATCTGGGGATGTATAATTACCGTTCATTAACATGTTTTATTCGTTAGATATAAGTAGATACTTTTTTCTTATCCAATTTTCTATCCTGTGGTAAAAAATTTCGAATGTCGCAACTAGCGACATCTGTGTTACTTTTGAACAAACTAAAATGCAGAAATCTGTATTGTGACAAATGGCGGGTTGCTTAAAATGTTTAGGAAGAAATCTCCAATTCTACTCGATGTGTTTCATCGATTCCTGTATAAACGGCGTCGGAGATTTGTGATTGTGAATTTCGCGAAAATATAAATTTGTATAAAACGCGAAATCGGAAACGAAGAAAGCCGGCGCCAGCGAAGCAAGGTCGCGGAATCGGGCGCAACAAAAAAATTTTGTAGGAAGATTCGACTTTGACATTGAATTAATTAAATCTGTTATTATTGAATTATTCGATCCTTTTACGTAAACAGTTTGTACCGGATGAGCGCGATATTTAATGAGATGTTGTTTTTTTTTTGTTGTTTTCGGAAGGAATGCGAAATATATGGTGTATCGTAAATCTGATAGGAGTAGTTATCTTAGAAAAGAATATTCTGCTCATTTTGTAGAGGAAGATTTCGATTAGTTTATTGAAAATTAGAAAAATTTCGTCAAACCACGTGGTTTACGAGATATTTAATTTTTTTCTAGATGGGTGCAAAAAATGAACATAAACGTACATTTTTGGAAAATTTGTAGCTCGAAAATTACTTCACTTTGTAGTATACCTAGAGGAATCATACAACTTTAACTAAATGATTGCAAAAATCCTACAAACCACAAAGTTTTTTTTCGAAATTGTATTTTTCGATATTACAACAAAAAAATAATTATTTCTAAAAGTACCTATGTTACGGGGGAAATTAGATAAACGACTTAACCTTGATTTACCCGGGTAAACTGCGAAATACCCTCTAGAAACAGCTTAAAAATACAAGGTGATCCATTTGAAATAACAAAGTTATGGCCACATTAAATTAGCCAAGTTTGTCAGACAATTTTAAACGCCCTGTATATGTACCATTAAAACCCAGTTTAGTTTCATTTAGTACTGCGTCTGGACATTATCGATACCAAATTTCAAACTCCTAGGTGCATTATTAACAAAGATATCTTAAAAAATACAATTGACCGTTTTTCCAAAAAAAAATATAAATAACTTAAAAATAGAGCATTTTTCACATATGATGCTATTATCAAAGTCTTGTTAAAAAAGACCACAGAATCGAAAAATGTTAGAAGCAAGTCAAGCGAGTCAAATTCCAAAACAAGGAGGATATTCCTAATTTTGCAATCTTACCCTTTTTTACGAAATCCAAAAAACCACCTAGCAGTAAATACAAATACCATATTGCCACATTCTCAACAAAAAAAAATCCCATTTATAACTAAAAAAAAAAAAACAATCAATTCGGTAGCGCATTCGACAAAAACCCAAAAAAACCCCGAATCGAAAAATTCCGAAATTCCAAAGCAACCAGAAAACCCGAACCCATCAAAAACCAAAAAAAAAACAGCATACATAATAATAAAACAATCGTCATAAATAACCTACACGCCTCCTATACGACCCCGAACTCTTCGATATGTCGCGACACGAAAACAATCCCAAATATGCCAAGAATGCCGCGCGACATTAACATATACAACACAATTTACCGAAATTTCGCACCGACCGAAAACAACAAACAACCCAACAAACAAACAAAACAACCCAAAGGTTAATCTCTGGGCAATCCGGCGCGGCGGTTCCGCTCCTCGCTTTAAAATCCATATTAAGGATCCCACACACCGACGCGAAATTTTCGCTGCCGCTGCGAATTCGCAGCGGAACTTTACACACGGCGGTTTATAAACATATATTCAAGAATCCCACAGACCAACGCGAAACTTTCGCTGCCGCTGCGAATTCGCAGCGGAACTTTACACACGGCGGTTTATAAACATATATTCAAGAATCCCACAGACCAACGCGAAATTTTCGCTGCCGCTGCGAATTCGCAGCGGAACTTTACACACGGCGGTTTATAAACATATATTCAAGAATCCCACAGACCAACGCGAAATTTTCGCTGCCGCCGCGATTTCGCAGCGGAACTTTAGACGACGCGGTTTATGAACATATTCAAGGATCCCACAGACCAACGCGAAACTTTCGCCGCCGCCGCGATTTCGCCGCGAAAGTTTCGCGGCGAAAAAGTTTCGCCTTGGTCCGTGTGGTCCTTTACCATTCGTGATTTATACGTCGCATCAACATAATAATATATAATAAAAAAAAAAAAACAACGCGCCACACGTATATTCTCTCTACATTCAAATATATTCGACCTCATCTCTTGGAATCTCCAAACGACCATCCGGTTCGACGGTCAGTGACGTCACGCCGTCGTGCATATAAATACCTCCACTTGAATCGCAGCAGGCCAGTTTATGCTTTAGAGCGCAACCTACTAGATTATTGTCGTAAATCGCAGATTAATTTCGAGCTTATATACTCTCTTCGATTTATTTATTTATACATTTTTTTTGGAATTGTACTTTGTAATTCGTCCGAAAATGAACGGTTTCGAATTGATTTTCGGTGTATTGGTGATGGTAGCGGCCGCCAATTCGTCCGCCATACCGATGTGGGAATATCTCAGCAAGCAGGAGAAAGTAAGTGTGGCATTAATCGATCGAAATTATAACGGGTTTTCGTTCGATTCGTACTCGATTAACGTAGAAAAGACCATTGTGGTTATGCAGCTACTCTAATTAGAGGTCGAAAAGGCCGTTGTGGTTATACAGCTACTCTAATTCGAGATAGAAAAGACCATTGTGGTTATGCAGCTACTCTAATTAGAGGTCGAAAAGGCTATTGTGATTATACAGCTGCTCTAATTAGATGTATGAAAGAGGTAGGACTACTCTAATTAGAGACAGAAAAGACCATTGTGGTTCTACAGCTACTCTAATTAGAGATAGAAAAGGCCATTGTGGTTCTACATCTACTCTAATTAGAGATAGAAAAGACCATTGTGGTTCTACATCTTCTCAAATTAGATATAAGACCATTGTGGTTCTACATCTACTCTAATTAGATATAGAAAAGACCATTGTGGTTCTACATCTACTCTAATTAGATAAAGAAAAGACCATTGTTATAGTTATACAGCTACTCTAATTAGAGATAGAAAAGGCCATAGTGGTTATACAGCTCCTCTAATTAGTGCATAGGAGAAGCTATTTCTGTTATACAGTTTATTACCAACAATTTCATCTGATATTGCATACTTCGTACATGATAAATTATTGATAGAAATATCAAATAAAAAAATGTTGATAATACGCCTGATAGCAGGAGAAAGTAAATGTATAGCATAACGGAGTTTCGTGTTATTCATATGACAGTTATGAACGAGTTTAGTTATGGGAGAAAGTTTACCTTTCGGCCTAAATCCTTGGTAATTTGAAGATTTTCAAGCGAGTTTCCGGGCCATCTTGTATATGTTAATCAAATTAAATTTGTCCCGGCCTTGATCCTAGTAGGTGAAACATCCATTCGCTGAAATAGGCATCGGCGTTAGCAACCTTAAATGGAAGCGAAAGGAAACCTTGCAGCGTTTTTTTTTTTTAATCGAGGATTTTGCTTACCATTTTCGTCCGAATCGGCAGAAATTCGCAGACTCTTCCAAGAACGGCCTCCATCTTTTTTTTTTGCGCGTCTATCGTGAATCTAAAATGATACGCAAATTTTATATCGTACTTCCTCGTTAATTAGTCTACATAAATGCTAATTATGCGATCGTTTCTTTGCAGATGTCCTTTTTATATTCGGTATTCGCCAAGCAAGTGGAGCATTTCTGCGAGGAATCCTCGCTGGACAATTGCAACCGACAGCTCCTCAAATATGGGCTTGATAAATTGAAAAACTTACCCGAAGAATATTTGGACTCTATGGATCCCTATCAACGAGGCGCCAACCAATTTAGTGAGTATTAAAACTTATAAAATCACTGCACAAGTTTAAACGAAACCGCCATTTTGAAATTTAAAATAATGACAGATGGTGAGCAATGTTACCAATGTAGTTTAATAAAAAGTCCTAGATTTTTTTGACTTACAAAATGCGAAATTCGTTTATTTAAACTTTAATAACCCATTTATTTATTTAAACACTATGCAATTACCTGTTATTCAAAGCGAAAATCAAATTGATTGCATCTCAACATCTTTGAACAAACAATCACTGATAAATCATTGATTGACTGATCGAATCACCGATCGCGTGCGTTAAACTGGTTGCCTAACTTCCGTGTTTTTTTGTTGCAGTATGGGACACAATGATGGCCGGTCATCCTTCGGCCGGCGCGATTCCCGCGGCCCGTTCAACGACCACAGCGAAACCCAACAGCTACGAAGACGACAGATTCGACGACTTCGAATTCGGCTCCACCGGCTCGGCTTCCGCCAAAATCGACAACGTCGCAATCCTGCCGGCCACCAGGAACATCCTCGAGCAGTACGGCGTCAAACCGCGACCTTGGAAGGTCGCCGGCTACTCCAACGGCGCCTACGGAAAATTCCAGCGACACTACCCGGCGCCCGTCGATCCCATGGAGGAGGAATCCTACCCGGAGGCCCCACTCACCGGCCCCATGGTAGTTCGGGTGCACATGGACGGAACGCCCGTCGAAACGAACGCACCTCTGCCACAGGACGAGGATTTAAGGCAGTATCAAATGTCACAAGTCAGAATACCGAACTTCTGAAGCAGACTGTCAAATGACATAACCTCAATATGTCATTTTAATAACCTCTTGGTAAAGGTATTATAGAAAAAATACCGACCTCTTGTTAATTGTGATATGTATGTAATGTAAATAATTTATTATCGGAATGCGTGAATGTTAATATTATTTATTCGAGTATGTAATTTATTTTAGAATTGTAAATAGTTATTATACGTCGTTGATCACAATCGCTGTGATTGTAGCTAAGTGTCCAGCTTGTTCTGTGATTTTTTTACACTTTTGTAAGTAGCTTTTAAATAAAAAAACCGTTATTTTTATTAAAATCATTAAATTTTAACCTGCACAAATTTCCAAAATGGTGGCTGTATACATTCAACATAACAGCACTCGTACCAGGGTAAGGTGAAAAGTTCTCATATAAGACCGCGATTTACGCTCGTATAACAAACACAAGACGCTTCTGGTACATTATTTATTAACCTAGTTCTATTTAAACAGCGGTTCGACCCCCCTGATGAATTCCTCGTTGAACTTCTCCACGCCGAACCTTTCCGTCGAAGCCCTGGCCTTGTCCCTGATCTCGCACACCTCAGCATCGTCCAATTGCATTATAAACTTGATTATATGCGCGAATTCATCAGGCGTTTGCGCGAGGAAGCCCAACCGCGACCCCTCCGAGGTCTCGATGATGTCCAACAGAGGCCCCCCCGATCGATGGGCCACCGTGATCAAACCGGCCGCCATCTGCTCCACCACGCTAATACCGAAATGCTCGTCGAGCATCGTGTGGATCCCGATATAAGCCTTCCCGAACTCGTCCAGCAGCTCCTCGTAGGACAGGTTCACCTTGAACTCCACGTGGTCCTCGAGGCTGAGGTGTTTGCCGAAGTCCTTGAGGTCTTTCACGCGCCGGGCGTCGTCGGCGTTGCGGCAGCTGCCGCACAACACCAGCTTCACTTGGCTGAAAGCCTCTTCGGGTAGGATCTCGCGGAGCTCGTAGAGCGATTGGAGCTGCAACGGGTGGTCTTTCTCCGGCCGGAATTGCGCCAGCGACATGATGCGCACGTCCTTCGGCTTGGCCTTCGCCTTTTCGATGCTTTTCAAGTGGGATATCTCGCACGGGGGGTACACCAAATGCAGCGGTTTGTTCCACAGGACGTTCAAATGTTCCATGGTGAACGTGGAGTTGACTAGGGTGACGTCGGAGCATTGGCCGGTCAACGAATAGGCCCAAGCGAATATGTGATAGTAGATTAATTTGCCCATCGTTAAAATTGGACTTCGGGCTATCACGCTTCGATTGTTGTACATGTTTTGTCTGCTAGATACCCTCTTCAGCATGTCGTTGGTGATGATGGGATAGTGTATGTAACTGCCTGTTTTACAGCCACCTATATACTTGAATACCGGCAGGACGAACGTGAACCCCGTGGTTTCTATAAATACATCGGGGTTTAATTGTTTCAAGGCTTCGAAGCCGAGATACACGGAGCCCAGGGCTTGGGCTAGTAGGGTGAAGTAGGGATATCGATCGGCTTCCACCCATTTCCTCCTGTGCAAGTAGATAAACTTGACGTCTTTGTCTAGTTTGACGTTTAACCTGTTCCTGACTTTGTCTAGTATTTCGGAGGGCGTCGCGTCGACGTCGCCCGTGTAAACGTAATACTCCGCTTTGGGGTATCTGAAATATTTTATACGGTTATTGTATGATTATTTGGATTTGTAATCTAGCGTTTACTTGTTTTGTAAGGCTTGCAGGGCCACCCATAGGACCTTTTCGCCACCGCCGCCTGCGTTACAGTACGGGTGGAATATGCCCACTCTAAGCCTGCTGGATAAATTCTTCAATTTGTCCAATCGGTATTTTCGCCTCAGGTAGAGATAATAAAGCGGCAAAATCACGCCGAAAGCGAGTATAGTGAATATTAGAGATCCCAGTGTTAATTTGATTGTAAATAGCAGGAATCGTCTGGAAATCAAATCGTTATTGCGTTATTCGAATGATGAGTTTGTGTGACTTACATCGTTTTTAATATGGGTAGCATTTTGTGTGAATAATTCGGTAACAGATTGTTTGGAATTTGGAGTTTAGGTGATGAAACTAATAATAATAAATTGATAATCTTTTTGAAATAAAGTTATATTCTTCTTCTTTTTTCACCTAAATGAAACCGAATAACATAATTAGCTAAGACCTGTCATAGTTGTCATGTCATCAGCTGACATCTGTCAAATTATTTATAAAAGCAAAGTTCGAAGGTCTTTTCTACATCATTTTTTTAATACAAAAATAAAAACTAACAACGCAATGGACGTGATTAATTCGATAAAAAACATGGACGCGGATTTCGGAATTTTGAGCAAATCAACGTGGCTGGTGAACGTGTATTTACAATTCCAAGAAACTTACAAGGTTTGTATGCAAAAGACGAGCGCTCGCTTAAAAAAACCACATTTTCTTTATCATTTCAGTTTTTCTACATAATAATATTAGGAGTGCTATTAATCGCTGGTACTTTAACTACGTTTATAATACGAAGATGCACCAAAAAAGGTAATAATTATCCAATCAATACCAACAACCTACTAGACACAATTAGTCCAATTTTAACGGCCTCTTCCTGCAACCAACAAACAACCAACCAGCTTCCTATCATTTCCAGTGTTCACGAGGAAAGAATCCTTCTCGCAGGAAACCACCAGGTTCCGCAAACGCGACAAAGCCCTCTTCTACGGCCGAAAGATGATCCGCAAAGTGAAGAACATCTCCGGCCAGGTGCGCAGCTCCTCGGGGCAAGGCAAGAAGCGCAAAATGGTGATGAAACTCGCCCGCCGGCTCCTCCAACTGAAAAAAGACACCGACCAGGAGCAACTCAAGGTGCTCGAGCCGCCCGCCGAGTACCTACAAGAAGACACGTTGAGCGACGAGCGAATGCCCCCCGACGTCTTGTACATGCTGCAAAGCATCAGAGTGTTCGGCCACTTCGAAAAACCTGTATTTCTCAAGTTATGCAAACACACGGAGATTGTTAATGTGCTATCCGGATCGTATTTGTTTCGAATCGGTTAGTGGAATCGATCGAATTAGTACGATTGTAAATTGATCATATGTTCCAGGTGATCCTGATGAGAATGTGTATATAGTACAAAGCGGTAAATTAAACGTATCGATAACCGGTAACGATGGTTTGAATACATTAAAAATAGTTAAACCCGGCGAATCGGTAACATCTCTACTCAGTTTTACGGACGTATTAACGGTATATTTCGAGCTAAAATCACTCAACAAACAACTAATTTACTAATTTTTAGGGCCACACGAACCCATACAAAACCGTCTCAGCCAAAGCCACCGAAGACTCCACCATCGTCAAGCTACCCATGCGAGCCTTCCAGGAGATCTTCAAAGAGTACCCCGATATATTCGTGCGCGTCCTGCAGGTGATCATGATCCGATTGCAACGGGTCACCTTCACCGCATTGCACCAGTACCTCGGCCTCAGCGCCGAGCTCGTCAAGCAACACTCCAAGCACAAGCAATCCTTAACAGGCTCCCCAATCAAGAAGCGCAAAGAGGAGATTTGCAACGAGAAACCCCCGGCGATGGGCCACAAACGCAGCAAGTCCTCGGTGGAATCGAAGTCTTGTTCGCCCAACAGCCAATCGGGTACCACTGTGGTGGAGAATGATAGTGTATGTACCGATTAGAGCATTAAATTCCGGTTTTTATGGGTAGATTTTTAGTGTGTAGATGCTCAGAAGAAGCGACCTTCGAATCCCGAAATGGTGACCGACGAAGAGCTCATCGAGGTGGCCACGGAGGCGTTCGTGAAACAATTGGGGTTGGAAGACGCGGGGATTATCAAAGGGAAAGTGGACATTCGAGAGGTCTCAGCCGGTACTTACCTGATGAAAGAGGAATCCAATAAAGTGAGAATAGTGAGCTCTAATCGATCGAACTGTTAGTATTTGTTTGTTTAAAAGGACGCCGCTTTGGTGTACGTGATTTCGGGGGCGTTAATAGTATCGCAAAAGTTGGCTGAAACCGATGAGGAGGTGACCATGTTTACGACGCATTCGGGCGAAATCGTAGGAGGCCTGGCCGTGCTAACCGGAGAACCGAGTTTCTTCACCATCAGGGCCAAGCACTTCACGCGAGTCGCCTCCATTTCGAAGAGCAACATCTACGCGTAAGTTGATTATATCGGCCCCATTTTTAACTCAAACGTGGCTCTAAAGGGTCGCTTTAATGTTAACAAAGTCCCTAGTTACTCCATAACAACAACGTAAAACTGTCAAGTTGAAAGGAATCTCCTTGGTTACTCCTTAGCAACCAATGTAAAACTGTCAAAAGTGAAGGAATCTCCTTAGTTACTCCATAACAACAATGTAAAACTGTCAAATTGAAAGAATCTTCTTAGTTACTCCTTAACAACCAACTGTCAAGTTAGATACAAGGACTTTAAAATCTTGTCTAAAGGCGCTGAATACAGGCCATTATCACTATCGAAAGGCTATTCTAATACCATCGAAACGTCCCCAAATATCCCGGAGTTCGATTGTACAATTAACAGTCGGTTTTGTTCGATAGTTTGATGAAAGACCAGCCGAAGATCGTCCTCTACATAGCCCACGTGGTGGTGCAACGGCTGTCGCCGTTCGTGCGCCAAGTCGATTTCGCCTTGGATTGGATATTCACCGAATCGGGCAGGGCCATCTATCGACAGGACGACGAAAGCGATTCGACCTACATCGTTCTATCGGGTCGATTGCGATCGGTCATCACGCACAAGGACGGCAAAAAGGAATTGGTCGCCGAATACGGCAAAGGCGATTTGATCGGAGTGGTAAATAACCTTGTATATAGCTGTAGGAAAAGTTGTGTTTTTTATCCAGTTTGTTATGTTTTATCGTCCGGAAGCGTTTGGGATAGTTTAGAACGTTTTTAGAACGGTTTGGAAGTGTTCAGAAGCGTTTAGGAGGTTCGGAAAGGGTTCATGATGATCCCGGAACGATTTGGAACCGTCCAAATGCTTAAGTTGTGTTTTATTGTCCAGAAGCGTTCGGAAGCGTTTCAGAATCGGCTAGGATCATTTGGAGTAGTTCAGAAACGCTCTTAGAACAGTTTCGAACTGTTCAGAAGCGTTTTTTTATACACTAGGAGGTTTGGGAAGGGTTCATGATGATCCCCGAACGATTTAGAACCGTCCAAATGCTTAAGTCGTGTTTTATTGTCCAGAACCGTTTCAGAATCGACTAGGATCATTTGGAGTAGTTCAGAAACGCTCTTAGAACAGTTTCGAACTGTTCAGAAGCCTTTAGGAGGTTCGGAAAGGGTTCACGATGATCCTAGAACTGTCCAAATGCTTATCGTTGATGTTTTTTTAGGTAGAAATGGTGACGCAAACGAAGCGCAGCACGACCGTGATAGCGGTGAGAGATTCGGAACTGGCGAAATTACCCGAAGGCCTGTTCAACGCCATCAAAATTCGCTATCCCATCGTGGTGACTCGACTGATCAAGCTGTTGGGCCATCGAATATTGGGCACGTGGAAGACGCCCGCTTTGGCGGCGCCCCGTCAATGCGGCGCCCCCGCCGTCGATTCGCGCCCTTCGACGTTGAATTTTTCGACCGTCGCCGTCGTCGCGGCGTCCGACGACGTCCCGTTGACGGCGTTCACGTTCGAATTGTACCACTGTCTTCGAGGCATCGGTGAGTACGATCGCTTTAAAATCGATTCAATCGATTTAATCGATTGATTGGTGTTTTTTTTTTAGGTTCTACGTTGAGATTGACGTCGGACGTGGTGCGAAAGACGCTGGGCGGTACTATTATGGATCCGAATAACGAGTACCGGTTGTCGTCGTGGTTGGCGCAGCAGGAGGATCAGCATCGGATTTCGCTGTATCAGTGCGATTTGACGGTTAGCGCTTGGACGTTGCGTTGCATCAGGCAGGCCGATTGTATACTGATCGTTGGATTGGGTAACAATCATCCGACGCTAGGTACGAATTTTTCGTCGGTGGAAAAGTACCGGATCTTATGTAAACGAGTACGTCCGATCCGAAAATCGACGTTTCGAAACCTGAAAAGGATTTCTTATTGGTGAAAAATTGGATTTTTTGCGTCGATTTTAGATTTTTTCGGGTTTTTCATGATTTTCTCGGAAACTGCTCGAACGATTGTTCTCAAACTTTCGCGAAATATACTTTAATTTATTACGAATTACATGGCGAAAACCGCGTTGCCTTAAAAATTGCGTTCGCCGAATTGTAGGGAAAAGAAAAGTAGTCGACTCGGATTCACGAATACCGTTAAGAGGCAAGTGACGTCACACATCGTCTTTTTCGTCGTGTAAAAAGTACCGAATCCTACGTAAACGAACACGCCCGATACGAAAATCGACGTTTCGTCTTTAGAAACTCTCATCTTCAGTGTCAAATGAGCGAAATAACCTCATTTTTACTGGTTGTCTTGTTTGTCATTTTACATTATTCGTTGTAGGTAAAGTCGAGAGGGAGATCGAACGGTTGGCCGTGCGTACGCAAAAGGAGCTGGTGCTGTTGCACAGGGAGGACGGCAAGCCGCAGAACACCATAGCATGGTTGAACATGCGCACTTGGGTGTCCTCGCACCATCACATCATGTGCCAGAATCGGATGTTCGCCAGGAAATCCGTTTACAGAATCGTTAGTATCCGGGTTTTATCATCAATTTACTCCATAACCACAATCTAGAACTGTCAAATGTCAAAGAATCTCCTTAGTTACTCCATAACAACCAATGTAAAACTGTCAATTGAAAGAATGCGTCCTTAGTTACTCCATAACAACCAATGTAAAACTGTCAAAAGTGATAGAATCTCCTTAGTTACTTCAAAACAACCAATGTAAAGCTGTCAATTTGAATGAATCTCCTTAGTTACTCTATAACAACCAATGTAAAACTGTCAAGTTGAAACAATGCGTCCTTAGTTACTCCATAACAACCAATGTAAAACTGTCAAGACTCGATGACGTTTGCATCATAGAACTATATTTTCGTTGTTTTTGTTGTTTTTTTTAGAACGAATTGTACTCGAAGGTGTGCACTCAGGAGCCGAACATCCACTCGGATTTCTCGCGGCTGGCTAGATGGTTGACGGGCAAATCGGTGGGGCTGGTACTGGGTGGTGGAGGGGCGCGGGGTTCCGCCCACGTCGGCATGATCAAAGCCATACAAGTAATTAACGATAATATTTTAATTGATATCATTCGTTATAGTATACTAAAAAAATTTCGTTGTTCGCAGGAAGCAGGAATGCCCATCGATATGGTGGGAGGTACGAGCATCGGGGCGTTCATGGGCGCCCTCTGGTGTAAAGAGAGGAACATTACGACTGTCACGCAGAAGGCCAGGGAATGGTCGAAGGTAATGCGATGATGTTGGTTTATCGGATTTTACAGGGTGTTAATTAATTGTATGCCGATACTTCAGGATGTGAATATTTGGATGATTTTAAGAAGAAGAGTTTCTATCAATGTGTGTCCTAAACCTCTTAGTTATTGAACTACAGGGTGCTAAAATTATGATACAAAAAGTTAATTTTTATTCTAAAATTTTAACACCCTGTAGCTCGAAAACTAAGAGGTTTAGGACATACATTGATATAAACTTTTCTTCTTAAAATCACCCAAATATTATTAATTAATTAACGCTCTGTATATATATTTGTCGTAGAAAATGACCCAATGGTGGCGGCAAATATTAGATTTGACCTATCCGATGACATCGATGTTTAGCGGTAAGGATTTCAATCATACGATTCGAAGCACCTTCGGTGATACTTACATAGAGGATTTGTGGCTGCCGTACTTTACGGTCACGACCGATATAACTTCCTCGTGTATGAGAATACATACGCACGGTGAGATGATTTTTTCTTTTTTTTGTATACTACATTTATTAGTGACAGTTGACGGTTATTGCAATTTCTACTTCGTTTAGATTTAGTTTAAAGTTGATTAGTAAGCAGTTGCAATGGCCATCTAAAGTACATGTCGAAGCTAGTAACTCTTTTTTTGATTGTATCGAATAGTTTGTAAAAAGGATTTAAATTACGGTGGTATATTTGTAATGCCTGGAAATGGAGGTCGAAAAAGGTTTTATTAAAACTTAAATCGGCGATGATTTTGTTGTAAACATCATGCCTCACGTATATTCGGTTAATGTATTTCTCCATTTTCTCTTCGAAATGTCAAAAAATAATTTTTCAAGTTTAGACAGCTAGAACTGTCATATTACAACCGCTGATTGGCTGATTGGCATTCTCTAATGTCAAATCATAGGCAGTTTCCAGACCTTACAAATAAACGACCGTGATCTAAATCGATTACTTACTAAAAGTTTTACTGATGGCCTCTTACATTGAAAACAACAAGACAGTTACTCGTTTCGATGTAGTATTATATGTGTAATTAATTAAATACGTGTAATTTACCCACCCACCACTTACTTTCTCTCTACGGATTAAATGTTTTTGTGGGATCGTGTGTGTTTGCACGATTTATTTTTTAATCAAACGTCCACGTTCTATTCGATAGAAATTAGCCACTTTTTTTTTGTACATAAAAAAAACTCTTTTTTTTTCTATCGCCTACTAGATTCGATGTCATCGCCAAATTTTTTCTTTTTTTGTGATAAAATCGTTGATTGTGATTGGTTGAACTTTTCGTGTTGGCACCGAAACCAAATAGAATTGTTCTCGTCTCGAAAAATCAAATTTTGCAAATACAAAATTATACACAGGGTGTTAATTAATTGAGTTCCTCAGGATATGTAGTCTAAAACTGTAACATCCTGTAGCTCGAAAACTTAGAGGTTTTAGGACATAAAAATCACATCCTAAAGTATCAGCATACAATTAATTACCACCCTGTATTGATATTTTCTTCTAAAGTTGTTGCAAAATTTCGATTTTCCCTTGAAATAATAACACTAAAACACGCGCGCATGTTTCTCTTTTGCACCCGTTCTAACACACACCGAATAGTTCTCGTAAATAAAAAAGATCTATTCGAAAAAAAAAGAAGAAAAAAAAAGAGCATGTAGTTTATAGCGTATAGGTGTTTCGTAGGCTCGCTGTGGCGCTATATACGTTCGTCAATGTCACTGTCGGGTTATATGCCGCCCCTCTGCGATCCCCTGGACGCCCATCTGCTACTCGACGGAGGTTACACTAACAACTTACCAGGTAAAAGACCACCACCATGTCTGTCACATGTCCATATATGTACACCTTTCGCTCCATTTCCGATTACAACATGGCGCATTTCTATGAGTGGAACAAAGAAAGATTATTAAAATGACAGCTGTCAGAGTAAGAAAGTTGTAGTGACAACAAATCAGTCACTTTTTCTTTTTCCTTTATAAGTGTCTGTTGGAAGTTGTTTTTGTTGCACCTATAGCCTATGTTGCAATGAAAAATGGAGTAACCTGTATACATTTTGTTCCATTTCCGATTGCAACATTGGCATTTCTTTATGTGGAACAAAGAAAGATTATTAAAAATGACAGACTGACAGAGTGAAAAGTTGCAAGATTGACAGTTGTCGGAGTGAAAAGTTATGTAATGACACAAATCAGTCACTCTATCCTTTTCCTTTATAAGTGTCTAATAGAAGTTGTCTGTCTTTGTTGCACCCATAGCCTATATTGCAATGAAAAATGGAGCAATTTGTATATAAATGTATAACGGGGCGAGCCAACGAAGACCCTTATTTCGATCAAAAAAATAATCAAGACTGCCGTTTTTTTAGATAATATCGTTTCTTACGCATTCCGCTTTGTTAACTCGCCCTGTATGTATACGAGGGTAAGGTGAAAAGTTTTCTCGGCCTGATAAATGAAAGATTCCGATTTTTAGTTGAACAATAATTGCACTATTCTTCTTATTAAGTCGAAAAGGTTTAGTTCTAGTCAGTTCTAATTGATTCTGGGGCGTTTTATATTGTTTCTAGACAGTTCTAAGTGATTCTGGAGCGTTGTAAATGGTTCTAGAATTCTATACAGTTCTAATTTTAGACAATTTTAAATGATTCTGGAGTGTTTTCACCAGTTCTAATTGATTCTAAAGCGTTCTTAATGGTTTTAGACAGTTCCTGAATTAGTTATAAATGTCCCAAAGAGAAAACGAGAATTTCCAGAACTTTTCAACCTACCCTCGTATTAATATATTGTTTTATGCGACTGGTTATTTCGAAATAGCTACTTGTCATTTGTCATTCGGTAATAACCGGTTGCTCTTTTTAATTGTCACTTGTCAATTTAAGGAGCTTCGTTTGCGAAGTAGTGCAATCGAGTTAGCTAATATTATATATATACAGGGTGTTTTATTACTACGTATACTAGGCAAACGCTCTGTATATTATTATTATTATTATTATTTGATGCTTTTATTTTTTTGGATATTGCTTGGTTTATTTTTGGGGGTGACTTTTACGCGTAAGGTAAGTCAGTAAATTCTAAGTAGAATATATTTTTTTTAACTTTCCTCTCATTCTGACTAACATCGAATCTGCTGTACAAAGATTTTTTTCTGTGGGGGTGGAACCGACGGGGGTATTTTCTCGTTTTTTTTTTGTGACGAACCAATCACAATCGACCGAATCAGAAGTGGGACGACTTGATGAGGCGGTTGTCAAAATTCAGAAGTGGGACGACACGATCAAAATTGACGATTTTCGACAAAACAAAAAAAATATATATATTAGAGAAAGAAAGCGGTGGGGGTATAAATCGAAAAAGTAAATTGATCGATCGAATAAAAATTGTCAGGTAGTTTATGGAGGTACGTGAGAGGTAGCATGTCGATTGTGGGGATATTTCCGCCCATTTGCGATCCGATGGACGGCCATTTGATAGCCGACGGTTGTTACGTCAATAAAGTACCAGGTAAACAAAAAAATTATAATACAGGGTGTCCACTAAACTAAGGGTTATTTCTTTTTCTTTCGTTTCAATATCGATTAATTTAGGTACTCTGTTACCTTACAAAAACGGTACTTTCTATTGGTCAATAGAACACAGCAGAGAGTTACTGTTCAGGACGATCTTGGTGCTATTTAGAACTGCCCAGAAGCGTCTGGAATCATTTTAGAACTGACTAGGACCTTTTGAAACAGTTCAGGGCGATGTTGGAAGTGTTTAGAACTACCCAGAAGCGTCTGGAGTCGTTTTAGAACTGACTAAGACCTTTTGAAACAGTTCAGGACGATCTTGGTACTATTTAGAACTGTCCAGAAGCGTCTGGAGTCATTTTAGAACTGACTAAGACCTTTTGAAACAGTTCTGGACGATCTTAGAAGTGTTTAGAACTACCCAGAATCGTCTGGAACCATTTTAGAACAGACTAGGGTCATTTGATACAGTTTAGGACGATCTTGGAGTATTTAGAACTGTCCAAATGCTTTTGGAACCATTTTCGAATCGAGTAGGACCTTTCGAAATTGTTCAGAACGCTCTTGGTACTATTTAGAATCGTCCAGAATCATTTCATAACCGACTTGGTCCATTCGAATCTTTCGATGGAAGGGACATTCCACCCGAATCCACCTTTTTTTTTGCCAACTAGTCGGTAAATATTAAACGAAAAAAAAACCGTTCAAATTCACAGCCGACGTGATGCGCGGCCTCGGCGCCAATCACATCCTCGCCATCGACGTCGGCTCCGTCGACGACCAGGACCTCACCAACTACGGCGACGATCTATCCGGCTGGTGGTTGTTGTGGAAGCGCTGGTACCCGTTCACCGAACCCGTCAAGGTGCCCAATCTGCCCGACATCCAATCCCGACTGGCCTACGTCAGTTGCGTTCGACAGCTCGAGGTATACTAGATCTTAGACCTGTAGACCTCCTGTCGCTCACTTCTCCATCCCTTCTCTACATACTAGATCCTAGACCTGTAGACCTGTCGCTCACTTCTCCAGCCCTTCTCTAGATACTAGATCCTAGACCTGTAGACCTGTTGCCTCCATTCCTTCTCTAGATACTAGATCCTAGACCTGTAGACCTGTCGCTCTCTTCTCCAGCCTTCTCTAGATACTAGATCCTAGACCTGTAGACCTGTTGCCTCCATTCTTTCTCTAGATACTAGATCCTAGACCTGTAGACCTGTCGCTCTCTTCTCCAGCCTTCTCTAGATACTAGATCCTAGACCTGTAGACCTGTTGCCTCCATTCCTTCTCTAGATAGTAGATCCTAGACCTGTAGACCTGTCGCTCTCTTCTCCAGCCTTCTCTAGATACTAGATCCTAGACCTGTAGACCTGTTGCCTCCATTCTTTCTCTAGATACTAGATCCTAGACCTGTAGACCTGTTGCCTCCATCCCTTCTCTAGATACTAGATCCTAGACCTGTAGACCTGTCGCTCACTTCTCCATCCTACTCTGGATACCACATGGTGAAAGGAGCGGGTGAGAGAGAGTTCGTACTTGTACTTTAGGTTTTTCTACAAGGATCTCATTGGTTTGTTTGGTTTGTTTTCGGGGGAAAAAAGGAGGTGAAAAACAGCGATTACTGCGAGTACATCCGGCCGCCTATAGACAAATACAGGACGTTGCAGTTCGGCAGTTTCGACGAGATCCGCGACGTCGGTTATCGACACGGCAAGGCCTACTTCGAGGGGCAATTGCGCGCCGGCAATTTGCCCATTTTCAAATCGTTGGCTGACGTCCATAAGGCGCAGAACAGCGCCAATTACACCTTCACCGATTTGGCGCAGATGGTCTGCAAGGTCTCCAGGTAAACACGAGTTTTTTCTATTTGTAATGTTGCTAGAAAAACTGCGCAAATGGTAACAGTCCAGGAGCATTTGGAGATGTTTTAGAACTGTCCAGAAGCGTTAGGAACCTTTTTAGAGCTGATTTGGACCATTTGAAATAGTTCAGAACGCTCTTGGAGCAGTTTAGAACTGTTCAGAAGCGTTTAGAACCATTTTAGAACTGATTTGGACCATTTGATACAGTTTAGGACGATCTTGGAGTATTTAGAATTGTCCAAATGCTTTTGGAACCATTTTCGAATCGACTAGGACCTTTTGATTTTGTTCAGAACGCTCTTGGTACTATTTAGAATTGCCCAAAAGGGACTATCCAAAATCGATTAGAATAGATTTGGGAATTTTTTTGAAATGGTCCAGGTCTAGGACACGCTAGAAAAGTTTAGATCCATTTAGAACGCTGTCAGGACGATTTAAAACCATTTGGAATTGTTCAGAACGATCTTAGAACCTTGTCACATGTCATAATTGTCATGTGTCATTTTTTGCAGGCCTTACGAAGAGGACGAGTCGACGTCGAGTTCTTCGGAGGACGAGGACGAAGGAAGGGACGGGTACGCTTCGGAACCCACCGTAGGACTATCAGAGGTATATTTTCTATTTTATTTATATACTTTATAACACTAAATCGCTCTCTTCTTCTTACTTATTTACGTTTTTTTTTATTAAATTTATTAGTACATTAGGTGGTTAAACTTTTGTGGTTTCGTCGTTTCGTGGCCTTGATCTATGTCGGTGTTCTGCTAGGTCTTTTACTTTGGTGGATAAACGGCCAGGATTGCTCGAGTTGGCGAATTCTGGCGTAAGAGCACGAAAGTTTCGCCTCCGAATATAATTTGTAATGTCTAGCGTATTGTAGTGTACATTTATTTAACGCTTGCTTAATTTTTATTTTATTATTCTTGTTTCTATTAGTTAACCAGGCAATCAAGTTGGCACGGTTTCGATTCGCCCACTACGCACGTTGATTACTAATCTATTTCTTTGGTAAATTTCGGTATATATTTATTTTTTTCGTTTCTTTACCTTTTCTGTCCACATTAACCACCATTCGTTTTCATCGTCAATCTTCATCTTCTATCATGATTAACATTTGATGCATCTTGTTTAAAAAAACGTACCTCAGTATTCGGGATATTATTATAATCAAATGGTTTTGTAACCAAACGATAAACATTGCTTATTTGAATCTTTAAACAGGCTAAAAGAGATGTTAGTTTTTGTTTCAGTTCATCTTGGAACAATTCGGAAATATATAATCGTCGGTTACAAAACCAGTTGGTTATAAAAAAAAAACTTCCGAATACGGGGGTTGGTGATTATTTTTTCTTTATATTAATTGTCGATTTGATGTTTGTAGAATAAGAGTTTGTTGACGCGACGGCCCGGGGGATCCCTGTCGTTGTCCGAAAACGAATTGGAGGAATCCGACGTCGATTTCGATTTGAACCAAAGGAACAAATAATTTTATTATATAGGAATCAATTTATTTTTACTAGATATATACATAAAAGAAATTAACGCCATATTGAGGAAACAACCGAAGATTTAATCGGTACAAATGTGACTCAGTTTTTTCTAAAAAAAAAGTCTCTAAAATATAAATTATTATTAAATATTAGGCCATTTTTCCAGTATGGTGCGTTAAATTCGTGTAGTAGCTGTTTGGGTTTTGTTCACAATTCGATCAGACTAATTGGTGAAAAAAAATAACTAAATATTTCATCTGATCTGCGAACAAACCTTTTATTATTTACATAAATAAAATGCCATGTACATACATGTGAATAACGGAGAGTAACTAAGATGTACTGTGATTATTCTACCATAAAAAAAACTGTACAGGTCCCTTATTTTTGGGATAATAAGCTATAAAAGACGGTAAGAAGTGGCATGAAATAAAGCACCGAAATGGCACATAAATGAGGGTATTTTTTTGTATTTCAGGTACGTCCTGTATTGTTTTTATTACTATTATTACCGATCTCTGTGATGTTTTTTTTTGTTAAATTTAATAAATTGTATTAGCAAAATTATTCCTGTAATCTTTATTTATCCTCCAACATGAAGTTGATTTTTATCAAACAATTATCATTAAAAGATGGCTGTAGTTCTTTAGTTACGTAGCCTGCCACCGAACTAGCGTATCATCATGACGAGGCCACTATAAATAGAAGAATTCTTACTTACAATAATTTCTTGGCCGGATGCGACGCTTCGCAAGAGGCCATGCAACAGAAGAAGAAATTTAATTATCATAGAGAAAGAAAGATGAGAGAGTTCGATCCTTTATTAAAAATTGGCATAATGTTGATGGTGCTGCCTCTAACTCCGGTCGTCAATTTATCGCGAACTAATCAAGAATGACAGTGTAGATTTCTTCTATATTAAAATGCAAAAAATGGCGGTAAATTTAAATTTTATTTCTATAGTTCTATTTTATTTTCTTACATTTGATAATTGTGTAGTCATTCAATAGCCGTTTCTCAAGCAAGAAAAACGACTATCAAATGCATACACAATTTACAAATTGGAACATTTAAAATAATAATTTATTATAATAAATTTATTAATTTAAAATTATACACAATACAATTATATTCAGGTAACTATAATAATTAAATAATGAAATAGAGTACTTCCATATAAAAACAAACATATAAACTATTAAAAATAAATTATATAAAATAGAAATTTCATTTATAAAATCACATATTTATATCACAGAAGTTACGAAAGGATATTTACATACACTAAATTTAAATAGAATTATTTTAGTAAAATTGGTTATTTCTAAAGCTATACAATGATAAAGTTGGTCTTATTCCTCAGCTCCCAGGGTCTACACCTTCCAGTTCTTATATCGTACGTTATCTAAAACAAAAAATATCAGCAGCATCGAATTCAGGGAAAATAACGAATAGTGAGAAATAGTTGTTAGTTTTTACCATTTTTCCGATAATACTTTTTAATTATCATTGGTACAATGGCTCCAACAAGTTGACAAAAATGATTTATGATTTTTGCAAGAAAGTGTTCTTTGGTGTTGACATTTTAAATGAGCAAACACAAGTAAAAATAAAACAATATATAAAAACTCACCAATTTAGGTTATACACAAAAATGGCGCACACTACTCACGAAACTTACGTAGTAAAAAGACCGGCATAAGTGCATTAGTGCATAACACAACTCGACAAGAACGGCAAGGAAGACTACCGAACGAAACAAACCGAACATCGCTATCGTTTGCGTTCGAGCATTTATGTGAAATTATCCAATCAAAAAAATTTAAATATATTTCATTTATCGATAGCAGCGCCTCTCACGGGGTCTTCAAAATGGATCGTGTAGTCCGATATTTCCTATGCTTTAAACAGTCTCTTATATTTTGTCTATGTTAATTATATTTGTCCTAAAAACGACTGTTTTATAAAAAGAAATGATCTTCAACCAAACACTCGATTAACCTCTTCGAAAAAGAATCATCGAGTAATCTGATAAATGTCGCTAGTTTTTAAAATTTTCAATTAACGATGAAAGTAACCTAATGAATGTATATTAAAGCAATTTTGTTATGAGGTAGCGTGGCCGAGCGGTCTAAGGCGCTGGTTTAAGGCACCAGTCTCTTCGGAGGCGTGGGTTCGAATCCCACCGCTGCCAAACTTTTTTTTTTTCGTTTTTCAACAACGAATTTTTATTTTTAATTTAATTTTGTACATACATTATACAGGTTGCTCAATTTTTTATCGCAAAAAGAGTGACATTTGTGTCATTGCAAATTTTCACTCCGACAACTGTCAATCTGTCATTTTAATAATAATAATCTTTCTTTGTTCCACTCATAGAAATGACCATATTGCAATTGGAAATGGAGCAAGGTGTATTTTCTGCATGAATAACCCTCCAAAAGCATCTCGCGAGGAAATCGTAACAAAACAATTCACGATACCTACCTAGTGCAAGACCGCAAATTTTCAAGAAGAATTTTCCAGTGTCATAATTGTCATCGAGCACGTCAATTCCACGGCGACCTTGATACCTGTAAAATTGGTAAACTAAAAATTGAAGTTCAGAGTGATGGCTAGCAATAAAGTAGCGTTTTGTGTATTTTTGTCGTTATTTTACATATTTGCCGAGGCAAATGGGCAAAAAACCGTTATACAACTCGACGAGGAAAACTGGCCGGAGATTTTGCACGGGGAATGGATGATCGAATTGTAAGTTTTCCTTTTATTTTCCACATGAAATTCCACCGAATTTCGAATCCGGCACGTTTGCGTTCGTGTCAAACTCAAACTTTGACATAAAAAAACTGTAAATTTCTTTGCAAATAATTATTAATAAACGGTATTTAATCGGTTTTATTATAGATTAGTTTATTTTTGAGATTTGTTAATTCAATGTGGGACTATTCGTAGTATTTCGAACTAGTTTTTCTAAAAGTTTCGAGGCGGTTACAATAATGACTTTTGTTGTTTTTCTTTTCCAGTTACGCCCCCTGGTGTCCCGCCTGCAAAGCCTTAGAGCAAAAATGGAGCCAATTCGCCCAATTGGGCCCCGGATTGGGCATCAAAGTCGGCGCCGTCGACGTCACAAGTTCCCCCGGTCTAAGCGGGCGATTCATGGTCACTGCCTTACCAACAATATTCCAGTTAGTTAAAATATTCACCCCAAATTCTCCACTAAATCCTCCACCTACACCCAAATCGAACAATCCTCGCTCGTGACGTCATCGAGTCCACCCAATCACAGTGCACTCGATCGTGTCACCAGCCAATAAGAGCTTTTACCTAGCTTATATGATAGATTTTATTTTTCGTTTGCAGCGTGATAAGCGGCGAATTTAGACAATACAAAGGTTCGAGGGACGTGAATTCCTTCACGTCGTTCGTCGAAGACAAGAAATGGGAACAAGTCGAAGCGATACCCGGCTGGAAGTCGCCCAATTCCATACAAATGGGCGTCGTTTCGTCCTTTTTCAAACTGTCGCAATTATTGAGAGTAAGTCGATGCGCCTACCTCGATTACGAACGATTTATTTATCTATCTACGGGGGTCGGGTGAAAAGTTCTTGGCCCGAATCATTTAGAATTGTCTAAAACCATTTAGAACCTTATCGGAACCATTTAGAAGGCTCCAGAATCTTCTAGAACTGTCTCGAACTAAAGATTCCAACTTAACAAGAAGAATAATGTAATTTTTCGATTGAAAATGGCGGTCTTTCATTGTCAGGCCGAGAACTTTACACCTTACCATTGTACATTAAGTTTATCCTTATACATACGATAAATATCTATTGTATGTACTATACGATAGATTTTGTAAGAATCGAACAATGTAAATACCAATAGCTTTTATCTATCAGTTAACTAATATATATATCGAATCATTTTTTTTAGCAAATCCACAATAAATTAACGGAAGAATACGGCCTACCCAGCGTGGGATCTTACCTGATCTTCGCCTTGGGCACGATCGTTTTGGGAGCCCTATTAGGATTGGTAAGGACATCACGAAATTCCTCAAAACGCTTCATCAAAATCGATTTTTATTTTCATATTGTAGATCCTAGTGTGCGCCATCGATTTGATTTTCCCGCCGAAACACGCCGAAACGAAGAAGAAGTCCAACAAGAAGCGGAACAAGGACAGCGACGATGAACTGGTAAGAGGAAAAGAGAGCGAGCGAGGGGTTATTCGAAATATCCCTATCTGAACGATTCTAGACGGTTCTTGATGGTTCTGGAGCGTTTTAAAAATGATTCTGGACAGTTGTAAATGATTCTGGAGCATTCTAAAAGATTCTAGACGTTTATAAATGATTCCAGACTGTTTTAAATGATTCTAGACTGTTGTGGAGCGTTCTAAATGATTCTAGACTGTTAATAATGATTCTGGAGCGTTTTAAAAATGATTCTGGACAGTTGTAAATGATTCTGGAGCGTTCTAAATGATTCTAGACGTTTATAAATGATTCCAGACTGTTTTAAATGATTCTAGACTGTTGTGGAGCGTTCTAAATGATTCTAGACTTTTAATAATGATTCTGGAGCGTTTTAAAAATGATTCTGGACAGTTGTAAATGATTCTGGAGCGTTCTAAATGATTCTAGACGTTTCAAAATGATTCTAGACTGTTGTGGAGAGTTCTAAATAATTCTAGACTGTTCTTAATGGTTCTGGAGCGTTTTAAAAATGATTCTAGACTGTTCTTAATGGTTTTGGAGCATTTTAAAAGATTCTAGACTGTTGTAAATGATTTGTAGTTTTCATATTGATGGTTTTATTTTAGGATGATGCCGATATCAAAGATGATTTGGTAGACGATGCGAGTCAATCGGGTGGCGATCGAAACAACGACACCGGTTCCGAATCGGAGGTGAGGAATTCCCCGGGCAGGGCCGGAACGAAACCGAAGAAACGCAAAAACAGAAGAGACATGTGATTTTCGCTTAACAAACAATTAAATTCCCCATTCGATTTCCTAAATTATTATTAATATTTTTATTACTACTATTATTATTAACGCTAATATTATTATTGTTATTATTATCATCGTTGGATCGGCTGGGGGTAATAATAAAAATAATAAAAAAAAAACCAATTCGTTTTGTGTTTATTTTAAGGAAAACTACTTTAATCTTAAACGTTACTGTATAACCGGTATGTGTTTTAAACCGAAATCATTTGGTCTTTTTCAATATTTTATAAGTATTCTTCGAGAGAACGTAGCTCACAGCGGACGCCACTGTAGTCGTGGCAGTGACGTACCTAAAAGAAAAAAAAAACCAATGGAATATAATAAATAAAACATCCTCCTCGAAATAGAGAATAGAAAAACTCACCACAAACATTCTAAAGCCGGGTGTCCCACGTAATTCAAAACCGGAGCTCCCAGCGTGGACCCCACCAACAACAATTGCACGGCCGTGTTGATTTTACTAATAAAAGTCGGCGCCAATTGGACAGTGGCGTGCGTGACGTCGAAATATCTGCTCAAAGTCCTCTACAATAAAAAACGCCATCTTGAAATCTACAGGACTTACAGGAGGCCTCGAAACTTACAGGAGGAGGCAGGGAAAGGTATCTGATGATGAATCCGGAGGCGACGAGCGCGACGTCCCTGAGGATTATCAGACATGTTAGAACGAGCGGTATCAGATCCACGTAAGTCAACGAAAGGAACAAAGTGCCTACTAGTATTTTATCGGCCATGGGATCCAGGAAGCTGCCCATTTTCGAAGATTGGCCCTTCCACGTTCTGGCTATCCAGCCGTCTAACTGGAAAATAGTTGTAGCAATTTAGAGATTCTCGATGAAGTGTGTGATGTAATTTTACCAAATCGGTGACTGCTGCTACGCCCAGAACCGCCAGGGCGCCGTCGAACTGGCATTGGGTGATTAAATAGCCCAAATAGGGCGATAGAGCCATCCGGGCTACGCATAAGAAATTCGGTATTGTATAGACATTTTCTCGCTGAAATGAATCGAACGATGTAATAAACCTGCGGATATATATACAGGGTGACTTACTTCTACGATTTCTTCTACTTTCCCCTTTACTTTGTCCCTGGTTTCTCTGATATCTTGCAAAATGAACGTGCCTTTCGCTTTGAATTTTCGTTCGCTCTCTTTCAATTTCTCCCTGCGATTCTCTATGATGTTCTTAAATTCCCTGGTGATGGTTTTGTTTTTTTGTTTGCAATCGTAGAACCTTTCGCAATCGAAACGGGTCAATTTGTTGTTGCATTTTAATAAAGTGTAATTGTTCCACGATAAAGGGCTTCGATAACACTGTTGAAAAGTCCTCGTAAAAACTGATAAAATCGTTGACGGTTTGGAAAGCATTTTCTAAACGATTCCGAGTTAACTGGGAATTTCCATTTTCCTTTCACTTACTTGGTTATCTTATTTTCTTTTCGAGAAACTCATGTTTATTTCCGAATATCGCCCGGTTATCATATGGTTTATATTTGACGTTTGCTGACATTGACACTATTGACAAGTTAAATTTCGTGTTACACGGAACACAACTTGACATTGACTTCTACATTTCTATTTAAGGCCTCTACCATCAAAGATATTTGGTCACACAATTATTCGAATAAATTAGCAACAAAATATCCAATTGAAACACTTCAAATACCGTATAAAGCATGTATTTAATTTCGTTACACTATTCGTATTTATTTAAAATTTCAGTCACCGGGAGTCTTGGTCGTTGTCGTGTTCTTCTTCGTCCACTTCCAACATGGGGCTCAGTACTTCCGGTATTAAAAGTTCCCCCGACATTTCCCCAGCAACTTCGTTACCTACAAAGTGAAAAAAATGTATAAAATACGCACATTAAATGCGATAATTATCGACGGTGGTGTCACTATCGGCTTCTATTGGTGAGCCAATAAAATGGAGCACGGCGATTGGCCAGATTTAGTGACGTCACCGACAACAATCAGCGCCTTTTAGTGAGCACTCGGCGAACTCGCTTCGGAAAGTGACGCGCTGTTGTTTCTCTCTTTTCAACGCCTTCAAGGCCATTTCGTCGGGGAAAAACTCGCCTAATTCTTCCACGGGCGTCGATTTTTCGCTTTCGATCGTTATTTTCCCGTTGAATTTCCTCCCCAAATCTTCGGAAGGCTAAAATTATGGTCAATTAAGCCGTTATAGAGGTCACAAAAAGCCAAGTCAACCCACCGGTTTGTGGTTTTCCTGCAAATAAGCGGCCTGTTGCTTCGAAAGCAATATATTCGCGTCGGTCTCGAATTCCTTCTTTTCCCTGTACTTTTTATCTATCACAATCAAACGGTAAATACAGCAAATCACCACCAGCACAAAGAAAGATGACAGTAGTATGACTATCAATTGACCTGTACTGTCCTCTTCTTCCGCAGCAGTCGAATATATGGAAGTGTAAAATATCCTCTGAGGAGCATCTTGTACCCAAGTTTTGTCCGTACCCTGTATAAATTTTCAAATTACTATTACAATTACATTACAAACTAGATATCTAAGTAATCGAGAAAGGTAAACAAAGTCCTTAGTTACTCCATAACAACAATGTAAAACTGTCAATTTGAAACAAAGCGTCCTTAGTTACTCCATAACAACCAATGTAAATCTGTCAATTTTAATGACAAGCAGCAAATACGGATCAAAGTGTGCTTTACACCTACTTGACTGATGTTCAAATTGACTGCAGATGGCGTTTTCTCGTGTATTTTATCAAAATCCGAGCTGCATTGTGCCGATCTGACCCCGTGTGGATTCGACACGTTCACTTTCTCTGTACCGGTTTTCGTGAAGAGCATATATTCTTCCAAAGGCTTCATCACGTGCTCGTTGACTTCGATGAAAATATCTTTAAAAAAAGCAAATGCATCGAAAGAGGTTAAGAAAAAGGTCATGTAGGTAAACATAGGTCGTACAAGGTGATCGAAAGAGGTCAAAAAAAAGGTCTTGTAGGTAAACATAGGTCCTAAGGTAAGAGGTTAAAAAAAGGTCATGTAGGTAAACATAGCTTGTATAAGGTGGCCGAAAGAGGTAAAAAAAAAGGTCATGTAGGTAAACATAGGTCGTATAAGGTGGTCCAAAGAGGTCAAAAAAAACATCATGTAGGTAAACATAAATAGTAAGGCAAGAGGTCAAAAAAAAAAGGTCATGTAGGTAAACATAGCTCGTATAAAGTGATCCAAAGAGGTCAAAAAAACAACAAAAGGTCATCGACTTACTGGACAGACATCCGCTGTACCTTTTGTAGGTGGCGAACCTCGGATCGGGCGTATCGTGCCCGCCGATGTGCACCTCAGTACCGCCCTCTTCGTGCAAATGGGCGAACGTCTGGGCGGGCACCTCCTCCATCCCCGTGAACTCCCTATCGACGAACAACTCGGAATCGTCGCCGTCGCGACGGTAGCGCACCGAATGACGGGCGCCGTTGATGAAGTTCTTCTTGTCGACGGTGGCCGAGTAGACCGCCCGTTCGCGGTCCTCCTGCACCGTGAGGTGGCCTTCGGCGCTCAGCCCGACCAGCAGGTAGTAGCCTCGGCGCATTTCGGTCTGCAACAGCAACAGCACGGTGTTCTTCTGGCTGGGATCGACGCTGGAAAAGGCCAGCTGGACGAGCACGTGCCGGACGGGACCGTCGTCGAGCAGGTACTCTCGGCGCAGGATCGATTCGCCGTTGAATTCGGCGCCGATCTCCTGCGAGCAGAACTCGCCGTAGTAGCTGGTGTGTTCGCACTCGCAGGTGTGCTTCCTGTTGAGGAAGTCCTCCACGCAGACGCCGCCGTGCTGGCAGGGCACCTCGTCGCATTTCATCTGGCAATTCGCCGTTATACCTGTCACATGGAATTTCAAAAACCGTTGAACCTAGCCTTTGTACTACCCACTTGGTGATACCCTTCATCCTTTACCCCTTCAATTTCGTCGGTAAATGAGGCTACCCTTTGTGCTACTCCCTTAGTGATTCCCCTCTTTCCTTACCCCCTCAAGTTCGTCGATAAATGAGGCTACCCTTTGTGCTACCCCCTTGGTGATACCCTTCTTCCCTTACCCCCTCAATTTCGCTAGTAGATGAGGCTACCCTTTGTGCTACCCCCTTGGTGATACCCTTCTTTCCTTACCCCTCCAAGTTCATCGGTAGATTAGATTACCATTTGTGCTACCCCCTTAGTGATACCCTTCATTCCTTACCCCTCCAAATTCGTAGGTAGATGAGGCTTCCCTTGGTACAACCCTCGATTGACCGCACGCTTCTTCTTCCATCCCCCCACATTCCCCGGTAGAGGCTACCCAAGAAAATTACCTATATCATCGTCATCGACCTTCGACTGCAAATCGATCAGTTCCTCGCCGATTTGTAGACCCCTCAAGCAACCGACGTACCCCTCCATATCTCCTGGGTACGCTCGCGTCTTCAGCAAACTCTCCCTATCGTAACCTCCCAGGTTCAATTGAAAGTACTCAGTAGGCGGCGCCGGCGGTCTTTGCGGAGCCAACACCTCTGAAACCAAAAACGCCCCCACGATCAACCAACCTCTCCAGGTATTCCAGGTATACCGGGTAACCTTCCCAGCGATCAACCAAAGCACCAGGTCATCACAGAAACCACCTACAGAGGCTTCTTCCAGATATCAACCCTTCCCAGGTTCCCCTGCTACTCACCCATTTCCGGATTGACCCAAGGCTTGTTGGAGTACTCCTCGAGCAATTTCACTCCGATCTGCACCGTTTTGTTTCTATCATTCACGTGCACAGTAGTCCTATTCTGGCCTCTTTCGATGGCGATCTGCACCGATTGGCTGGTGTTCAACTTGTCGTATTGGACAGTCACGTCGTGAATCCGATCGTCGTGGTTGAACAGGAACACCACGCGGGTGCCTCGATCGATGTACAGGTGCACGAAGTTGTTCAAGTGATCGTTGGCGTAGAAGATCAACGCCCTGGTGTCGTAGGTTCGCAGGTTCACCAGGATGCGCTCGGCGAAGATGGCCGACAGCTCCGATTTGTCGCGACCGGTGTCGTTCGTCAGGTAGCTTCGCGACAGAAACGACGACGGTCGGGTGAACATGATGGCGTTGGTGTTGATGTCTGGAAGCAGGAGGTGCCTTGGTAGGTAGGAGCCTTAGTAATGGGTACATTGTTCAAAGCCAGGCCGAGTGAGGTCGCAGCAAAGGAAGGAGCTTTAGTAAAGGGTACATTGTTCAAAGCCAGGCTAAGTGAGGTCACAGCAAAGGAAGGAGCCTTAGTAAAGGGTACATTGTTCAGGTCACACAAAGTGAGGTCACAGCAAAGGAAGGAGCCTCGGTAAAGGGTACATTGTTCAAACAAAGCCAGGCCAAGTGAGGTCACAGCAAAGGAAGGAGCCTTAGTAAAGGGTACATTGTTCAAACAAAGCAAAGGAAGCCTAGGTCACAGCAATGCATGTGAAACATTTGAACTCTAGCTATGAATAGAACAAGAACAGTAGTGTAGTACTATATGGTGTAGGGTACTTGTTTCGCAGAATTCGCCGGCGTAGGCCCACGGATTGGGGCAGATGCATTGGAAGTTGCTCCAGAGCTCCTTGCATTGGGCGCCGTTCTGGCATGGATTGGGATCGCACGAAGGCTTGCAGTCCTTGATGATTTCGCTCAAATGGACCGACATGTAACTGTAGATGTCGAGGATCTCCTCGTTGACCACCAAGCCTCTGAAGCAGCCGATGAGGCCTTGGTGCACCGACGATTTCCTGTCCAACAGATCGCTGGAAAATCATCTCGTTGTCCAATCGTCCGGAATCTAATGTAGGTTGTTGGGTATACCTGATGGCTCCGCCGATGAACATGGAACCTTCGAACGGTCCGAACTCCTCCTCAGGCTTCAGATCGACCATGCGGTAGTCTTCGTTGATCATGAAGCGCACGTGGTACTTGTTGTAATCTATCCAGACCTTGTGCCATTCGCCGCCGTTCAATTTCCTGCCGGACACTATGACCAGTTCCTTGGACACGCCGGTGTTCAAGGTGAAGTTGAAGGTCAGCTGGAAATCTACGAAGGCTCGGAAATCGACTCAATATAAGACCTGTGAATCGCTTACCACTCGTCAAGGCCACCATGAAACTGGGATAATTCGGTCTGATGGGCGGTTGGTACAACAGTATGGCCTTCTTGCCGGTGGTCCGGAACGAAAAGGCCAAATCGCCTTTTCTCCAACCCGGTACTTCGATGTACGATTGGCTCGTCGTGAAGGTCACCACGTACCTTTGGGTATCTGCAAACAAAGCCATTTCTATCGACCTCATCTGGATAGACGCCTGGATACGAAGGTTCCGGACAACTTACTGGTTTCGACGCACTCGAGCGGTCCCAAGGTGATCCTGCCGAGGGCGTCTTCGGGCAAATCCGGCTGCTGGAGGAACACCATTTCGGTGATACCGAGGCTCTTGGAGTCGGTGTAGTACCCGTCGTCGGTGTACCACTTGTCGTCCTTGATGTCCTCGCAATTGCACCATTGCGATTTGTTCTCGCACTTTTTCCCTATGGAACACGGGCAGGTACCTCTGGAACATCCACAGGTTAGGCTTTCTATGAGGTCATACGTCGAAAGCTCGTTCCAGACATCAACCTTACACAGGATCTCCATACTACTCCCGTACCCGGATGTTATAGACATCAAGAGGTTGATGTCTGGAGAAGGAGGAGGAGGATTAGGAGGTTAGGCTCCCGGAGTATAAGGAGGTTAGGCTCCCTACCTTTTGACGTCTCCGACGTAATCCACGGTCTCATTGGCCGAGCTGACGAACCACGTGGCCGAGTGCAACCCGAGCGGAGCCTTCTGGCAATCGTACCTGACGTACTGGCTGCAGTTCAACGAGTGCGAGACCAGCTCCTGCAGCATCTCGGCCCCGAACTCCCTGTATCTGATGGTGAAGGCGAAGTCCTCCTCGGAGCCCGACCTGACGTCCATCTGGCTGGGCAGATTGTGCTCGACGATGGTCTTGGTGGAGTCCAACAGGCTCTGGAACTCGCAGCGGACGTGCGCAGGCGGGAACCTGCCGTTGCCGTCGATGTCTATGAGATAGACGTCGGGCTTGGTGTAGCCCAGCAGGGCGAGTTCCTCGCAGGTCTTCCGGTACTGCGCGAAATGGCAATTTTTGCCTATGTAGCCTGTGTCGGTGCAGTCGCAGGTCAACCTGTCTTCTTTCACCGAACATTTACCGCCGTGCTCGCAGGTGTTGGGCCTCCTGCAGGCGTCGATGAAATTGCAATCGTCTAAAGTCACCTCGCCCACCACCCGCTCCGTTTGCAGTATCGACCTAGGCTCTAGTAAGGCTCCGTTCACCATTATATCCATCATACAACCTACCAAGCCGGCGTTGTTTCTAGATCCAGCGGCCACTTTGATCTTATCGCCCACGGCGAATTTGATACCAGCCAACTTCTCGATTCTGCTTCGGTTATCTACGGTCAAATTGATCTCACCAGGACTGTCCAAGAGGTCACCGCCGGAGCCTGAGTAATAGGTGAGATTCAACCAGTGCCACACCCCCGGGGTCTTCTTCACGCTGATCAAATGGGTGGAGTTCCTGGTGGGATCGGCCACCTCGAAGCGGACCTCGTCGTTGACGATGCGCACCTCCCAGTAGACCCCGGTCTGCGCCTCGCTGGACGCCACCACGCTCAGATTGGAGCTGGCCTTGTACCGAAAGGACAAGGCCAGCGAATCGGTGTGGTCGTTGTGCCACCAGATGTGCGACGAGGAGAACGGAAAGGTGATGGGGATCTCTTGGACGTCCTCTTCGAGGAACTCCGGCCTGAGGATGCCGATGTAGTGGACCTTGGGATTGGACCGGTGCAGCTCGTAGATGATGGACACGTCGTTGTAGAAGACGTACTTCAAGGAGCCGACGAAGTTGTTGGTGGACTTCAGTCCGAGCTTCTTCTGCAGCTCCGGCCCGCCGCCGATGTAGACCTCCGGATCGATGTAGAGCAACGGCATGCCGGTGATGTTCAACGAGTGCTTCTCGTCGTTGAGGATCAGATGCACCACGGTGTGCTCGTGGAAGATGGTGAGGTTGTTCCATTGGTACAATTTGAAGTCGCCCGTTTGGCCGAGGACCTGGCGCAGCGGGTCTTCTTCGCCGAAGTTCAATTCGACGTAGACCGAATGGTTGTAGATCGAGGCGGCTATGTAGTGGTCCAAGCCTTGTTCGCCGCCCGCTGCGTACAGAAGGGCGGAATCGTCGAAGCGGGTTTTGAACAATACGGAGAAACGCGTCACCGACGAGTGGACTCTGTCCTTCCAATCGTAGACCCTGTAGGACACGTACGATGACCCGCGAAGGGTCAGAATCGTCGCCGCTGGAAAGTTCAATTTGGGTGGGTTTTTTTATTAATTTGTACCGAAGGTTTCGAAGGCGATATTTGGACAAACATTTTTTAACAAACGTACTTTCGTACTACCTTTTGGAGAGTTTTTTTGATTAACCTTTCGGATAACCTCTCAAGCAACTCTTGAGCAACCTTTCGGATAGCTTTTTTGAACCTTTTGGACAGCATTTTCAGACAATCTTTCGTGCAACCTTTCGGACAACTTTTGAGCAACCTTTTGGACAACTTTTGAGCAACCTTTTGGACAACCTTTCGTACAACTTTTGAACAACCTTTTGGACAACCTTTCGGACAACTTTTGAGCAACCTTTCGGAATCAACCATTTAGGTGAACCGACGACACTTACTGTATATATCGCAGTACTCCCCCTCGTAATTGGTGCCGAAGCAATCGCAGGTGAACATGTTGTAGTGATTGATGCACTTGGAACCTCTGAAGCACAAATTCTCCATGGTGATGCACTTGTCGACGCAGCCTTCTTGGACGTTTTCGTGTTTGGTGGCGACCAATGGCGTGATGGGCAACAAATCGGACGCCGATTTGCCGGTGTTCAATATGACGTTTTTTATGCAACCCACGAACGATTCGATGATGTATTTGACGCCGTGCAACCGCTCTTCCGAACTCAAACCTTCGACCAAAAGATTTATTTGTTCATTATTTATTCAACAAAATGGCCGCGATCGCTCGGTAATGACGTCATCAGGTTACTGTCCAATCCGATCGTTAGTTGGCAAACGAGATAATCAAGATTGTCATCTCGTGAGCCTTGATAGAGACGTCATTACCAGCTTGCCTTGATTTCGTTAGTGTTAATGACATCATTACCAGCTTGCCTTGATTTCGTTAGTTGATAGTGACGTCATTACCAGCTTGCCTTGATTTCGTTAGTGACAGTGACGTCATTACCAGCTTGCCTTGATTTCGTTAGATGATAGTGACGTCATTATAAAAGCCTTACTAACCTCCTATTAATATTACCGAAGTAACATTGGCGGTGACACCGTAATTGTTCTCTTTATCCAGACCTTTTAAGGTCGTTTCCTCTTTCATTTCGTCCACTGTCGCCGTCAATCTGGCGCTGTGCACGTCTATGCGAACCTACATTAGGCGGAAAATACCTAATCAATTAGGCTTCGAGCCTATTTCGTAAGAAAAAAAAATAATAAAAAAGTCCTCACCGTGACCGAATGCCATTCGTCCCTGTTCAATCCCCTCCCTACCGTCAAGGCCGTCGAATGTTTCCCGTACACGTGCACGACCTTCAATTGACCTTGCTGGACGATGACGTACAAAGCGTACGGTTGCAGAGCCACTCCCTCGGGCACCTTGACGTTGTGGTACACCAGCAAACCGTGCGGCAGGCGCGTCCTGAACTCGAACGAAATCTGCCTGCACAGCCTGAAAAAGGTTTTTTTCTTCGTTGTTTTTTTTTCGAATTTCCCGCGAAATTTCCGAGACGTCACCCGACCAATCGCGACCGGTTGAATACGTTACTGGCCAATGAGAGAAGTCGGTGTAGGTGACGTCACGTTATCGGGCGACTAGATGGTATAGTTACCGTAATTGAAACGTCTGTATGATGTCACCGTCGATTTGAATGAAGGTGTTCGATTGGGCGAACATGAAGGTCGTCTCGTTTCCGGTTTCCGGAAACGTCAGTTCCGGACCTCGGTCTTCGATCGAAAACGAATTCCTTTCTAAAAGAAAAAAAAAGTATTGGTGAATTTATTCTGCAAACTTCGAAGGGCATGAAGAAAATACCCAGTTTTTATAGCAGACACATTTGACGTTTGACGGTTGACATATGACATTTGGCATATGACATTTGACACATGACGGTTGACATATGACATTTGACATGTGCCATATGACAACTGATTATTTAATTATAGATTTTTACCGGTTTTGTTGAAGCAGGCGTTCCTGCATTGGATCTCGCTGTCGAATTTGTTCCTGTCGTTGCCGGCGCAGCCGCCCCAGACGAAGGGCACGCATCGTTCGGTGTCGCCGTCGAAGGCCCATTTGTGGAGGGTCCTGTTGCAGGGGCCCTTCGGGTAGGGGCCTCGGCATTGCTCGATGGGGTCTTGGTGGTGTTGGTTGTGATGAAGATCTGGTCGGGCGGTGGACGCGTAGACGAGCATCAGGACGTTGCAGGCGAATAGTTCGAGTAGTTCGATCTAGAAGGCGTTTGGAAATTTTGTGATGGGGGTTTGAATTTGACGTGTTTGACGTTTGACATGACGGGATTCGAAGGGAAAAGGGTTTTTTTTTTGGCTTTTTTTTCAATTTTGATTCTATAGAAATACTCACTCTACATCTACTCTATTTCCACTCTATATCTACTCACTCTACATACTCACCTTATGCAATTTAATAATCATTTTCTTCTTCTCAAAAATGAAGCATTTAAAACTATATTTCGCGATTTAATCAATCGACTTGGCCGACTCGATCCGATTTGTATTTTTCACTATTTCCACTTTTTTTCACTTCAATATTCCGAATTAAATTAATTTATATATTTCAATTCGATTTTATTAACGGCCATTTTGACCGGACGACGGGCGAGCTTCAACTGAATCACAAGGAGAAACATAAAGAGATAATTCTTTAATGAACTTTTCTGGCCGGACATCATTATGTTGTTAGGAGAATAACCGGCGTAATTTTCTTTTATTTATTTATTTATTTATTTTAATTTCTGCTCGAGAGGCACGCAAGCGAAGCGTACTGGTAGATAGGCAAACTGTATTACAGATTTTTAGTAAAGTTCTCAAGAAGGAGGATAGATATATTTGACGTTTTGTTTCTTTGTTTAACTCGCGCGAATCTATCGGTTTCCTTTTCTTTATTCGTTCGTTAGTAGCCTATTTATTTATTCAGAAACCGATAAAAGCGAACGAATTTTACTACATTTGTATTCTTCTTCTTCTTCTTTTATTGGCCTGTAATCCAGTGCATTTAGCAGTGGACATTTTTATTTTTATTTTCGCAAACGTCAAATATACCCGCCTGTCACACGAATGTCACTGCGATAAGTTCTTGTTAGACAAGGACAGTAATCTATTTATGTAAGATGAAACGAGAACCAATATTTGGCATACAACAAAACGTATTTACACTATTTACTAACATTTTATTTACAGGCAAATGTTGCCTAAACACAGGAAAATGAAATGTCGCTAAATAATTCAAGTTTATTATTAAAGTATTACAGATAAACTGCTAAGCTACAGCTACAATCGATACAGGTACAGACGAAAATTAGTAACAAATTCGAAAAGGTATTAAAAAAAATAAAAACATAACCTATCATATACACCTTGCTCCATTTCCGATTGCAACATGGTCGTTTCTATGAGTGGAACAAAGAAAGATTATTAAAATGACAGCTGTCAAAGTGAAAAGTTGCAATGACACAAATGTCACTCTTTCTCTTTCCTTTATAAGTGTCTAATGGAAGTTGTCTTTATCGCACCCATAGCCTATGTTGTAATGAAAAATGGAGCAACCTGTATAGGAAATAAAAAATGGAAGACGTTCGTACGGGGGTTGTGGGGGGTGGTACTCCCCTTAATTGATCAATCCGTAAGGGACGTACTCCCTTTGAGCGTACAAATCGGAATTCTTGTGATTATCGGGAGGACGGCCGTGCAGCAATTCAGTCATGAAACTGATGTAAGTTATCGCCAATCTCAGAGTTTCTATGCGAGATAATCTTTTCTCGTACGCGAACGTCGGCACCTAAAATTTGACAGATATGACAGATATGACAGATTTGACAGATTTGACAGATTTGACAGATTTGACAGATTTGACAGATTTGACAGATATGACAGATTTGACAGATTTGACAGATTTGACAGATATGACAGATATGACAGCTTCGACGGATTTGACAGATGAATGACAGAAAAAAACCATAGTCACAATTACCAACCTTTCTCCGGAGCTTGTCGAAGGCCTCGTTCAAATTGAACATGCGTCGCCTTTCTCTGATGTTGGCGGCCCTGCGTTGGGCCAGGGTGGCCACCCGTCTTCGGGTTTTCTTGGCGGGCGGGCTGCCGCCGGACGAGCCGCCCCTGCTCAGCCGATTGGCCGTCAGACCGCCGCATTGCTGGCGTTGCCACACTGGAAATAATGTCACATTTTTGACAGCTGTCAAATTATTACCGAATGCGCCGAGTTTCCTCTAAAACGCAATTTTCAATTGCCAAGCTACATTCGATGAAGTTTACACCAAAACTGACGTCACAAGAGGAGATCGGGCATTCCTGTGTCGTTAAGTGACGTTGACAGGTGACTTTGAGAGTAATTAACGAGTATTTTTTGTTGGTGAATGTGAATTCGGGGGATGTAGAGCCTACCTAGGTCATTTTTTGTCTTCAAAATGTGTTTTGAGTACTATACGGAGTTTAAAATTTAACTACCTAACGAAATTTTCAATTGCCAAGCTAGATTCGATGAAGTATACAACAAAACTGACGTCACAAGAGGAGATTAGGCATTCCTGTGTCGTTAAGTGACGTTGACAGGTGACTTTTGAGAGTAATTAACGTGTAATTAACGATGTACAACCTACCTAGGTCCGAATTGAAGGCTGATAGGATGTCCGGGTAGCCGCCCAGGGCGCTATTTTGGGCTGATAGGCAATGATGGGGATCCCAAATGGCCGCCGGGTAGCCATTTATATCCGGCGGGTAGGCCGGGTAATCTGGACCCTGTGGAATTTTCAGGTGTTAATTGAATGTTCAAAAGATGCTTTGTATACAGGGTGTCCCGCATAAGAACATTAATTAGATACATTCCTGAGAAGTTTTAGGCCTTCAAAAAGGAGTTACAAATTGAAAAAAAAATAATATCTCGGTGATACTCAAACTTGATGAGTTTTAATAGTTATAGGAGATATTAATTGATGTATAATTTTGATGAAGGGTTCATCAGGGATGATGCTCTTTATTAAAATGTAACAGAACTCTTTTAGTTGATGGTTGATTTAAATAATTATTAGTTCATTTCGTAGGTAATTTGATTTCGTTATTTTTTTATTGTTTTTTGATATTGTTTGTCGTTTTTAATGGAAAGAAAATAAAGTCATGTACAATATTACTTAAAATATCGTCGATAATTCGTAAGTTGGCTGTGTTAAGTTGAAGTTTTGGGATATTAGGACACTCTGTATACAATATTTTTTGTATAAAGATGTTTAATTCGGTGTGTGGTTTATGAATTAGACCTTTTTGTCTTTATTTAAATCGATTACTTGCAATGTAAATAAATTACTTTTCCGCTTGTGCAATTTACGAAAAATCCTTCAATTTTTATACAAAAAAAAACCACACAATTTACTCCTTTTTTATTAGTTAGAAACACAAAACATCCAAAACTACAATAAATTAACAACAACAAAAAACATGCAATAAAATTCAATATTCTCACATTATTCGAGTCCCAGGGACCCCGATCGTTCGGAAATGACATTTTCATCACTTACAACGAAAATTTCGAAAAATCCCCCACCGTTTTTCGCGAAGAAAATCGAGCTCGTGTGCCCCGCACGGTCCACAAACAACAACTAAAAAATTATAAATGCGATAAAAACCACCCTCTCGCGACAACCCCCGAAACGGGGAAACCCCCGCATTGGCGGGAACGGCTCGAAAAGGGGCGGTTCGGGCGAGGGCTGCGACCAATCAGGATCGAGCAACATGTCGCATCGGCTTTCGCGCGATTCTCTTCCTTATCGATAGCTCTCGCAAGGACTAATTTCCTGCGGTGTCGCAGTATTGACTTTTCCATTGAAACTGTGCACTTCGAGTTTAATATTAAATTTCGACATAAATTTCGACATGTTTCGTTGTACCGGGTGTTTTTTTTTTGCATTCCCTTGCAAAAGTAAACACAAAATAATACACAAAATGTAAAATATTCTTACCCAGTACATTTGTTTTATTTATTTATTTCTACCATTAGTCTCACGATTTATTATTCAGAAAAGATCGGACGTCAATTTTCAGTGCTTTTTTCAAGTTATGGAGTAACTAAAGAGATTCTTTCAAAATGACAGTTTTACATTGGTTGTTATGGAGTAACTAAGGAGATTCTATCACTTTTGACAGTTTTACATTGGTTGTTATGGAGTAACTAAGGAGATTCTATCACTTTTGACAGTTTTACATTGGTTGTTATGGAGTAACTAAGGAGATTCTATCACTTTTGACAGTTTTACATTGGTTGTTATGGAGTAACTAAGGACGCATTGTTTCAAATTGACAGTTTTAAATTGGTTGTTATGAAGTAACTAAGGGATTGATTCGCGTTAAAAAAGAACTCTTTAGTAAATTTACTATACTAGGTGTTCTATAAAAAATAACGAACTTTCTGATCACTTTTAAAATTTTAATTACCACTACTTTTCCCAATACTTCTAACAAGAGCTTCTAACACAGTAAAATTATTACTATAATGGTAATTGAAATAACTTCAAGCAACTGTCACTTGTCACACTGTCAATTGTGTACCTCGGAATAATTCGAAAGAATAAAATTTCCTCGAAATTTCGAAATGAAAACAATATATACAGGCGATTAAAAAGTCATCCCTTAAGCGCCCCTTTTGCCAATTAATTGACATTATTGCGGACATGACATATGGAATGGGGTTTCGATTTTAGCCTTTTCAATAACGCCCGGTGTATATTAAGGGCGTCATCCCTCGTTTTGAGCCGATTAATACGGGGTGAATCGCTCTCCTATAATATGTAACAAACCAAGGGGGAGATTTCTCCTGTCAAAACAACGCATGTCATTATATAAATCAAAAATTAAAAAAAAAACAACAACAAAAAGTAATAACGAATGACAGGTGACAATAATGACAAGTACGATGTTATACATGTCAATGTGACAGTTGAGTATAGGTGACACTTGTTTGTATGATGTTTAATTAAATATTCTTTTCGATCCAATAATATATACAATATCGCAATAATAGAGGTTTTTTTTTTTTGGGGTGATGAAAAGAGCGATTTTTCCCTAAAAATTGAGACAAATCCATCACGAAATTTGTAACGTTTCCCATTGTTACGAAATAATAAATCTGTATACCGCTGGAAATGCCGAATAATTTCGACGCCCCAAAGCGTAAGAAATTCGTTTTGGACAAGCCGGATTAGCTAATATTAAATCGACAGCCCTTATCAGAAGGGTTTTCGACGCCTCGAAGGGCGCACGTGCGCGAATTTAACGCTAATTATATCACGAAATATTTTATATACGATGTATTTTCATATACAGATTTATGGATTGTTTGCCTTCTTTTATATCATTTTTGAATTATACACCTTGCTTTATTTCCGATTGCAACATGGTCGTTTCTATGAGTGGAACAAAGAAAGGTTATTAAAATGACAGTTGTCAGAGTGAAAAGTTGCAATCACACAAATGTCACTCTTTCCTTTTTCTTTGTAAGTGTCTAATGGAAGTTGTCTTTATCGCACCCATTGATTATATAACCTATATTGCAATCAAAAATGGAGCAATCTGTATAATATTTAGTTAAATTAATACTAGGAAGCTCATTATCTCCTTTTGATCTTCTTTTTCTTGTTTTAATTCTACTATTTATGACTCTTTTTTTAATTTGTGTGCATTGAAAGTAAACAATACCTTAAATATAGAGGAAAAAATGACAAAGTACCTATAAAAGATAACAAAATTATTCATATTTTTTTTACTAGCTGAATTTTTATGGCATCGTCAAACCATTTCCATCCGAATCAACGAAATAATAAAACGAATAATAAAACTTAACAAAAAATAAATCCGGCAACGCCGCCAGCAGATAATTTCTTCTTCTTTTTATTATTACATATATTATTTCAGGTGGTCTTTTACAGTGCGGCAACTCATTTAAATGTCACACGTCTGTCAACATTTCACATTTGACATTTGACGCATACGTCAAAATCTTTTTGTTTATCACAGTTGTGTTTGTTCCCATAATCGCCGTTCTAATCATGAAAACTCCAAAGAAATAACTGGCAAAAATGGAAAACCAATGCGAATACGGTAAATATAAACGATTTACGGAATAACACGCTCGTTCCAATCGATTTTAATCGATAAAACCCGACTATAAGGAAGAAATTCCAGTGCGTGGGTGACTAGATATTTGTTCGAATGGAAATTGTCAACTCCACGAAAACATGGTTTCAATTTGGAGGAAATACCCCATCAAACCCACTTAAATTCATCTAATACTCACCAGAAATGCAGCGTTTTAGCCGAAATTTCGCTTTCGTGCGGTTTACGAGCGAAAAAAAATCACACCAATTCAACCATCAAACTCTTAATTTGTATTTTTTTTAGACGAAAACCCCCCAGAAGAATCCGTCTGCGCGGGCTGTTTGAACCCCTTGCTCGAAGACGAGTTCGTTTCGGCCCTCGACCAAGACTGGCACTCGGAATGCTTCAGGTAAGCTTAACCGAATAACTTCCAAACACAAGGCCTCTACACACAACCCTCATCTAACTCGATATTCGCAGGTGTTCGGCTTGCGACGGGGCCCTGTCGAGCTGGTACTTCGAAAAGGACGGGCTGCTCTTCTGCAAGGACGACTATTGGTCTCGATACGGCGAGTCCTGCCAGCAATGCGGCCAGGTAAATCGATTAAATCCGATTAAAAGGTCCTTTTTTTATTAGTGTTTTGTGTTTTTTAGATCATCACGGGCCCCGTGATGGTGGCGGGCGAGCACAAATTCCACCCGGAGTGTTTCTGTTGCTGTTCCTGCGGTTCGTTCATCGGTGATGGGGACTCGTACGCTTTGGTGGAACGATCGAAGCTCTATTGGTAAATGGGTAAAGGGTAAAGCGGATAAACGGGTGAAAGATTAATAGTTTTTTTATTTACTTTTCACAGCGGGCAGTGTTACAAACGACAAATGCAACCGTTGCAGAAAACCGCCGGGTTTCCGTTCGCCCGGAAACCCCATTCGATCAGATTGGTGGAGATTCCCGGCGGACAAAAGGGCATTAAATTATCGAAGAATGCCGTGCGAGCTCAGTGTTTAACCATTTCCGAGTAAGCGATCCAAGCTCTATAACTTTTACTCTACCTTACACTATCTTACTCTAACGTACACTACCTTAATTTGCTCTACACCATCTTACTCTACCTTAGACACTACACCATCTTACCCTGCTTTATACTATCTTAATGTACACTACACCATCTTACTCTGCTCTGCTCCATCTTACTCTACCTTACACACTAGACTGACTACACCATCTTACTCTGCTCTACACCATCTTACTCTACCTTAGACACTACACCATCTTACTCTGCTCTGCACCATCTTACTCTACCTTACACACTAGACTGACTACACCATCTTACTCTGCTCTACACCATCTTACTCTACCTTAGACACTACACCATCTTACTCTGCTCTGCACCATCTTACTCTACCTTACACACTAGACTGACTACACCATCTTACTCTACCTTAGACACTACACCATCTTACTCTGCTCTATACTATCTTACTGTACACTACACTATCTTACTATGCTCTACATTATCTTTCGAATCGGGATGTACAAATCGATCCGTGGCCTTTTTCTAGATTAGACATGCACAACGATTTGATGTCGTTGCACATCGGAGATAAAATCTTGGAAATCAACGGAGTGCCCGTGAGAGATACGCCAATGGAGAACGTGGAGAATCTCCTGCGATACTCCGACACCGTTTTACAAGTAATTCAATCACAAATTTTCTATTTTTTCAAATTTTCAAATTTTCTACATTTCCCAACCTTTCTATTTATTTTTTTCCGGCTTATTCATCCAGCTGACGATCGAACACGATCCCGAGGCCGCCCCCGACGAACCGCCCCCCGAAACGCCCCTCGACAAACCCCCCTTGGGTGCTCTCGAAGCTCTCGAAGACCAGGCGGCTGTAAAACGGGAGAACAAAGAGAAGAAAGAGAAGAAAGAGCGGCTGTTCAAACGTCGAGAAGAGGCCGCCGGATCGTCGAGAAGACAACTCGGCCGCAAGAAAGACGAAGACAGATCGCTCGATCGATGCTTAGACAAAGAAAGGAGCTCATCGATGAGCAGACTTTTAGACGAGTAAACTCCCTTTAATTACCTCATTTAGAGCACTTTTAAACATCGGTATTTCCATTCGCAGTTCGACGAATTCGAAGCGAGGCTCCGAACTGTCGAGGGCCTACTCGTTTTTGGAGCCGTTGAGGCCGGAGCAACAGAAGAGGCTTCGGGAGCAACGGGTGTTTAGAGCCAGCGATCTGATCAAAGGGGAGCTGTTGGGACGAGGGTTCTTCGGGCAGGTGTACAAGGTCACCACGAGGGACACCGACGAGGTGATGGTGCTCAAGGAGCTCTATCGCGTCGACGAGGAGGCGCAGAAGAATTTTCTCAAAGAGGCGAGATATTTTGTTGGATTTCGAGTAGAGTGGATTGTTCGTAGAATAGGATAGAATAGAGAAGAGTAGAGTAGATTATTCAAAGAAGAGAGTGGTGTAGAGTAGAGTATTCATAGGATAGAGTGGAGTGGAGTAGAGTATTCAAAGAATGGTGAGAGTAGTGTAGGGTAGATCCAGAGTAGAGTAGCGTATTCATAGTATACAATAGAAAAGAGTAGAGTTTTCGTATTATTGAGTAAAATAGATTATTCAAAGAATAGAGTAGTGTAGAGTGGAGTAGGGTATTCATAGAATAGAGTGGAGTAGAATAGAGTATTCATAAAATACAATAGAAAAGAGAAGAGTACTTATAGAGTAGAGTAGTGTAAGGAACTGTAGAGTATTTACAGGGTAGAGTAGAGTTTTCAAAGAATAGAATAAAGTAGAGTATTCATAGAATACAATAGAGAAAAGAAGAGTATTTATAGAGTAGAGTAGAGTATTCCTAGGATAGAGTAGAGTAAATTATTCAAAGAATAGAGTAGTGTAGGGTAGATCTAGAGTAGAGTATTCATAGAATACAATAGAGAAAAGAAGAGTATTTATAGAGTAGAGTAGAGTATTCCTAGGTTAGAGTAGAGTAAATTATTCAAGGAATAGAGTAGTGTAGAGTGGAGTAGAGTATAGTATTCAAAGAATAGAATATAGTAGAGTATTCATAGAATGGAGAGAGTAGTGTAGGGTAGAACCAGAGTAGAGTAGCGTATTCATAGTATACAATAGAGAAAAGAAGAGTATTTATAGAGTAGAGTAGAATAGAGTATTCCTAGGATAGAGTAGAGTAAATTATTCACAAAAAAGAGTAGTGTAGACTAGAGTTTTCATAGGATAGAGTGGAGTATAGTATTCAAAGAATATATTAAGAGTATTCATAGATTAGAGTAGGTTACAAAGTAGATAAAGTAGATAACGACAAGTAAAGTAGGAAATACGATTTACTAACGGTTGTAAATTTCGTCCGGCAGGTGGCGGTGTTGCGGAGCCTCCATCACGACAACGTGTTGCGATTCATCGGGGTGTTGTACAAGGAGCGCCGCCTCCATTTGGTCACCGAATACATATCGGGCGGCACGTTGACGGAGTTATTGAGGGACGGCGGGCAGCCGTTACCATGGGAACAGCGCGTTTCTTTCGCCAAGGACATCGCCTCGGGCATGGCCTACTTGCATTCGATGAATATCATCCATCGAGGTGGGTTTTGTTGGTGGTTAGATGATATGGGTGGGGGATATTGAGGAAAGGGGGGGTTTTTTGGGGAAATGTTGTTGTTTGAAAGTTGTGGAGGAGGGTTTTTTCGATGGGGTGAAATGGATGTGAGGTTTCTAGGTCGATTGGTTTGTGAGATAATTGCGATTTTTGATAGGGTTGGGTCGGGATTAGTTGGTTTGTAGAATACTCGAAATATTGAGGAAATTAGGTGTTTTTTGAGAAAATGTTGTTCTTTGAAAATTGTAGAGGAGGGTTTTTTCGACCATTTGGTATGTACAAGAGGTTTCTATCTCGATTGGTTTGCGAGATAATCGCGATTTTCTATAAGATTGCGCCGGAAATAGTAGGTTTGTAGAATATTCGAAATATCTCGGAAATTAGGTGTTTTTCGAGAAAATGTTATTCTTTGAAAATTGTAGAGGAGGGTTTTTTCGACCATTTGGTATGTACAAGAGGTTTCTATCTCGATTGGTTTGCGAGATAATCGTGATTTTCTATAAGATTGCGCCGGAAATAGTAGGTTTGTAGTATATTCGAAATATTTCGGAAATATGGCGATTTTTGAGAAAATGTTATTCTTTGAAAATTGTAAAGGAGGGTTTTTTCAACCAAATGAAACATACGGGAGGTTTTTATCTCGATTAGTTTGCGAGATAATCGCGATTTTCGATAAGATCATACCGAAATCAGCAACTTCGTGTAATACTCGAAATATCTCGGAAATTAGTCGATTTTCGAGAAAATTCCATTCTTCACAAATCGCAGAAACGCCTTTTTTCCACACGACGAAACCACCCGCACGTTTCCATCTCTATCAATTCTCTCTCTAAAAAACATCTTCTCCTCACCTCACCCGTTCTTTCTTCTCTCTTTGAACCCGCAGATTTAAACTCGCACAATTGCCTCATCAGAGACGACAAGACGGCCATCGTGGCCGATTTCGGCCTCGCCCGAATCCTGTCGACGAAAGCCGGAGGCGGCGGCGGCGGCGGCGACGGAGGGGGCGGCGGCGCCTGCGCCGCCCACCGGCACGCGACGCGCCGCAAACGCTACACGGTGGTGGGGAATCCCTATTGGATGGCGCCGGAAATGATGAAAGGGAAGAAGTACGACGAGAAAGTGGACATATTCAGTTTCGGCATCGTTTTGTGCGAGGTCAGTGTCAAATAATATACTATCTAGAATCGTTTAGAACCCTTTAGGATCATTCAGAACCCTTCAGGATCATTTAGGACTCTCCAGATTCATTTAGAACACTTCAGGTACATTTAGAACTCTTCCTGAATCATCCAAAACTGTGTAGAATGATTTAGAACTGTTTGGTGTCATTTAGAACATTTTAGAATCATTTAGAACCATTTAGGATCATTTTAGGACTCTCCAGATTCATTTAGAACACTTTAGAATCATTTAGAACACTTCAGGAACATTTAGAACTCTTCCTGAATCATCCAAAACTGTGTAGAATGATTTAGAACTGTTTGGTGTCATTTAGAACATTTTAGAATCATTTAGAACCATTTAGGATCATTTTAGGACTCTCCAGATTCATTTAGAACACTTTAGAATCATTTAGAACACTTCAGGAACATTTAGAACTCTTCCTGAATCATCCAAAACTGTGTAGAATGATTTAGAACTGTTTGGTGTCATTTAGAACATTTTAGAATCATTTAGAACCCTTCAGGATCATTTTAGGACTCTCCAGATTCATTTAGAACACTTTAGAATCATTTAGAACACTTCAGGAACATTTAGAACTCTTCCTGAATCATCCAAAACTGTGTAGAATGATTTAGAACTGTTTGGTGTCATTTAGAACATTTTAGAATCATTTAGAACCATTTAGGATCATTTTAGGACTCTCCAGATTCATTTAGAACTCTTCCTGAATCATCCAAAACTGTGTAGAATGATTTAAAACTGTTTGGTGTCATTTAGAACTCTTCAGAATCATTTAGAACACTTTAGAATAATTTAGAACCCATCAGAATCATTGTAGAATCATTTAGAACTGTTTAGAATCATTCAGAACCCTTCGGAATCGTTTAGAACACTTCGAAATCATTTAGAATCCTTTCTGAATCATTTGGAACCATTCATAATCGTTCAGAACTCGCTCTAGATCGATTTAGAACGCTTAAGAATCATCTAGGACTCTCCAGAATCATTCAGAACTGTGTAGAATCATTCGGAATTATCTTCGAACGATTCCGGAACTATCTAGAACATTATATTATTTATTTATCTATTTATTTATTTATTTTTCCTCCCCCAGATAATCGGACGAGTCGAGGCCGATCCCGATATAATGCCCCGCTCGGACGATTTCGGCCTCAATCAGCACGTTTTCATGGAGAAATTCTGCTCCTCCTGTCCGGAGGCCTTTTACAAAATAGCCTTTCTGTGCACCGATCTCAATCCGGACAAAAGGTAAGGTCAAGTAGAATAGAATAGAGTAGAATAGGATTAAAAGTGTGCAGGGTAGGATCAAACGATAGAGTAGGATAGGTTTAAATGGTAGGATAAGGTCAAATGGTAGGGTAGGAATAAAGGGTAGGGTTTAAGGCTAGTGTAGGATAGGGTTAAAGGGTAGGGTAAGGTCAAAAGATAAAGTAGAATAGGATTAAACGATAGAGTAAGGGTAAGGTGGGTTCAAAAGTAAGGTAGGGTAGAGTGGGGTATAGTTGTACTATAAAATGACCCCCCCGTTTTCTTTCGTAGGCCCCCGTTCGAAGTGATGGAAGTCTGGCTGGAGTCTCTGTCGATGCACCTGTCGGTGGGGGCCCCCCTGCCCCACGATCTGCTCGCCGACATCGGTCGATACGGGTGCTTGAGCCCCTGCTCGTCGGGCAGCGCCACCCCCGAGGGCCCCCTTTTGCACCCCATCGGCGAGGGAAAAGTGACCGCCCGGCTCGGGGACGATGTGGGGATTCCCTGGGACGCCGGTTGCCCCCGTTCGGCGCCACCTTTGATCAAAATAACCTCGAATTCGGAGGATATCGAGGGGAGAATCCCCGAGCCGGAGAAGGACGAGAGTAGGCCCCGTTTGGGGCAATCTTCGGAGCATCCTGAGGTCAAAATGCGCCTCAATTTGCGCTCGAAAGGGTCGCAGAAGGAGGTAAAACAGAATGGCGGGGAACAAAGCCCCTGCAAAACGACCAATTTGCATATGGAGAAGATGAACGAGACTAGTGTGGAGAAGAGCCCCACCAAAACGACGAATTTGAACTTGCAGAGCTTGTCTCCGGAGGCTTCGCCGGTCACCAGGAAGTTCGTGGGGCTGTCGCAAGGGGCTAAAAGGGACAAGAAACCTTGGTTGTTGTCCAAATTGGCCCCCAAAGTGACCGTCGGGTTGCAGGCGTGTCCGACGGGTGGGTTTCCCGATAGTTTGAACAGCGTGACCGGCAAGAGTGCCGGTAAAAGGCCGTTTTTTATGGGGGGCGGAGGCAATTCGGGCGGCGGGGGATCGGTGAGGACCATGGTGGAGGGGTGGAACGCCATAGGGGGGTTGGGGAGGTGCAATTTCGGGCGGTATTCGTTGAAAGTGGGGGGCGTTTCGAAGGAGGGGGACGTGGTGGGGAAGAAGAGGGGCGAACAGGGGAAGTTTGGGGTGTTGTGAGGGGTTTTGAAGGGGATTTTGAGTGTCGATGGGTGGAAAATTTGAGAAGATTGAAGAGCAAAGGGAGTTTGAGGTATTGGAGGAAATTTGGTGCTTTAAAGGAGCTTTTTTTTTACGCTGTATAATGTAAAATTGAGGTTATAATTTTTATTCGAATAGTTACTCGAATATATATCCCATGGGATTTGTTTTTTTGGTGAATATTTTATTAATGAAAATATATCCCATGGGAGTGGTTTTGTTTTATTTTCTCCAAATGGAAAATTAATGTAATTAATTATTAATGCTGTGATACAATATTAGTATTTACACCATAAGCATTCCGAATATTTTATTTGATATTCCAATTTTTGTGCCTAGCATTTTGAATGTAATTTAAATGTGATATATATTTTTTTTATTTCCTACGGATTTTTTTTATTATATTTTACATTACGCACAAATTATAACATAGTATATTTTATTAATTGTATAGTTGTAATATAGTTTTTTAGATGCTCTATTTACCGTTTATAAGGTTTTTTTTACTTATTTTTTTTTATATATATTTTTTATTAATTGCTAGTATTAGATCGAAAATGTCCTATTGTAATTCACTTATGTGTTATTCATGTTTCCTTAAAATATTGTTGGTTTAACTCATTAATTACATTCCTTTTTTTTGCTGCATTTTTTGAAATTTAATTGCGAACAAAAAGATTTATTTAATTTATTTATACAAAATAGATTTTTTTATTAAGCAGTGTTTTTTTGTGCCCAAATTTCCCTTCGAAAGTTTGCTCAAAGGTTGTCCGAAAGGTTGATCAAAAAACTGTCCAAAAGGTTGCACAAAAGATTATCCAAAATGTTCAAAAAATTTGTCTGAAAGGTTGCTCAAAAGTTGTCCAAAAGGTTGATAAAAAAACTGTCTAAAAGGTACAAAATATTTAAAAAAAAGTTGTCCAAAAGGTCCTTAGTAGGAGTTGTATGTACAAAAGCTAAAGTGTTGAGTGGAATTGAATAATGTTTACTTGTAATAGTTTATAACATTTTATTTTATATATATTTATATACAACATACAACAAATATTATTGTCGAAAAGTGTGTAGGAGATAAAATATATATTTTACATTATTGTAGAAAAGTTTAATATAATAATAGAACAACGAATATATCCTAACTAAACACTTGGTAATTTCGTCTAGTAACAATTGACCTACATGCATACAAAATAGGTAAAACAACATCGAAAAAATGTAGATAATAGACTTAGATAATAAAAAATAAGTAGTTCAAATAACATTCGAAAAGTTCAATTTGATTAGATTTCATTAATTCAGTAGATATACACAATAATTAGTATAAAAGAGTGATTGTTGTGTCGTTTTGGTCTTTTTTTTATATTCTACTGTACGATATAATACAGATAAATGCAAATTTGTTTGCAATATGGTCAATTCCATATGAGTTGAACAATGATAGATTATTCAAATGACAGTAGTTAGAGTGAGAAAGTCCGATAAAGTTTTATGTGACATTTTTGGTACAAAAATTACTTGCACAATCACCTGAAGTTTGGAGGTTTTTTATAGCAAACACCCTGTATATATTCGTACTGGTAGAGAATATGCTTTTTGCATTCTCTTTGAGTCGCGATTTTCTCCGTAGGAGTTGATATATTATTATGTTACACGTTGCGTATACGAAAATAGAGCTTTCGAACGAGACGTTTACGAGATAATGATTTATATTTTTATTTCTCGGATGAAAGTAAGAAAACTTTTTGGAAGGAATCCGTTCGTTTTGTGAAATTATTTACAACAGTAAACCGCGCGGAAATAGATTGGGAAAGTTTCTTGATTGATGATATTTGAGCCCAGAACTGGGTAATGTAATTATTTATAACCAATTTCTTTTTTTTTAACCAGTAATTAACTGTAACGCAACTAATTACTTATCCTTATCCTTTAATACTTTGTAATTGTACTTTTAATCAAAAAAAGAATTACCCAGCTCTGAAATAAACTACATATTATAAAAAAATTGTTTGATATTTGAGCGATTTTTTGTAAGTATAGTTAGAAAATAAAAATAGATATTTCAAGCGGATATTTTACAAATTTTAGGCCTCGAGAAACCGGGAAGACTATCCGAAACTGTTCATTTTAGACCGACATAGAAATATTTCATTCTAGAAGAATACCTACATATATAAAAATCGAAACGATAAATAAACGACTAAAATCAATCTTCCACTAATCGATTATCCGATCGAAGAAGAACCCTGTATAAATTCCGAAGCATCGATTAATCGATTAAGAACCAACCCACGTACAAAAAAAAAACAACCATCGACGCCCCATCGAACAATCGATTAATCGAAGCAGGTCCAGAAACAATCGATCTCCAGCTACAGTATGTGCAAATTCTCGCAGTTCTTGAACTTGGAATCCTCCCTGCCGAACAGCCACGTGAACATTTGGCGCGCCTTCATGCTCGCCTTCACCATACCCCTGCTCTTGTACCATTGGGGCGCGTGCCCCCCGCCTCCGCCCCCACCACCGCCGCCGCCCCCGTCCAAAAAACCGTCCACCTTCAGCCGGATCTGCGTCAGCACCCCCACCAGCAACTCGTCCACGTTGTGATTTATCCCCACGGAGATCTCCACGAATTTGGCGCGGTACGTGCACGCCAAACACTTGCCATCTAAGATAATTAACAGAGACGATGAGAGAGTCAGGAGAGATGAGAGATGAGAGATGAGAGATGAGAGATGAGAGATGAGAGATGAGAGATGAGAGATGAGAGATGAGAGATGAGAGATGAGAGATGAGAGATGAGAGATGAGAGATGAGAGATGAGAGATGAGAGATGAGAGATGAGAGATGAGAGATGAGAGATGAGAGATGAGAGATGAGAGATGAGAGATGAGAGATGAGAGATGAGAGATGAGAGATGAGAGATGAGAGATGAGAGATGAGAGATGAGAGATGAGAGATGAGAGATGAGAGATGAGAGATGAGAGATGATTATCGCAAAACATCTAGATGGACTTTTACCTTGTGTGGAAACGGCCCGGCTGCGGGCCAGGTCGATTTTGTTGCCCACCAAAATGGCCGGTCTGGATCTCAGCTGGTCGTTGTCCTGCAGCCTGCACAGTTCGCCTTCGGCTTTCAGGAAACTGGCCTTGTCCACTACTGAATAGAGGATGACGAAGGCGTCGGGAGGATGGATTTGATGGATTTTATCCGCTATATCCTGTGGTGAAATAATCGGAAATTTTAGACAGTTTTAATTCGTGTTTTGGGCGACGAATATTTCCTGAATACACCCCTGGCAGAATCACAGGATCGTGTTTAGGAAAGATTCGTCTGAAAATTTAACTTTCAACACATTTAAAATCTATTCTTGAAATAAACAACTTTCCTGAATACACCCCTGTCACATTGACTAATTTTTTATTTAATCACAGGACCGTATTAAGGAACGATTCGTCTGAAAATTTAACTTTCAAAACACTTAATAAGATCTAATCTTGAAATAAACAACTCTCCTGAATACACCCCTGTCACATCGACTAATTTTTCTTTTAATCACAGAACCGCATTCAGGAATGTTTCGTATAAAAATTTAACTTTCAACACACCTAATAAGATCAAATCTCGAAATAAACAAATTTCCTCAATACACCCCTATCACATCGACTAATTTATTCCAACGACAGATCCGAATCCAGGAAAATTTGACTGATGTAGTCGACAATAAAAAAAATAAGAAAAACATTTTTTAAGGGTCCAGTAACGATTTCGAATGGACGTGGAAAATCGATAAATCACGCCGGGGAGGGTTGAGAACGAGGGTGCAAATTCGATTTCGATGTATAAATAGTCACGTAAAATATTCGGGTTTCCATTTAGTGTAGAGGGATAAACGTGAGGGATGTAAACCCGAAGGGAATCGCTATAATTAAAAGGGAACCTACATTAGAACAATGTCCTATTGTTGTGGGGATGAAATGAGACGGAGCGCAAAATCAATCATCGATCGAGAAGGCGTTGAAAAGGGCCTTCTCTGTTGTTCTGCTAATGAGATTTTACTTGCGGTATTTGTAAATCACGATTATGCGGAAGGAATAATTATTTCCCCGAATAAAATCGAATCGAAAAATCGTATTTTATTTTTAACGCTAGTACTTACTTTAATAGTACCTGTATTTTGAAAAGTCAATTCAGATTCTTCGCCGTTTAACATTATAGAAACCGTTTGGGCTCCCAGCAAATCTACAAACAAATTCCACCATTAAGTATACAGCAATTACTCAATTGCAATTTAACTAATTACCATCAATTATTCGTTATTAGTATCTATGAGTATTAACGAAATCGAGTTCGTTGCCACTGACCTAAAAAACAAGTTCATTTCGCCAGATTTTCTATGTAACTCGGTCCAGAAATAGACCGAATGTATTTCTGGATGTGCCGGTGTGTATTTTAAACAGCCTGCTTGTTCCTCACTCTTCGCTTATTTACCACTCTCGGGCATCTTTGATTCGATTACAATTTTTTGTGCGATTTTTTCTCGAACAAATCCTGCTCAATACGCCCCTGTCGCTTTGAATCTTTGCATAACGACAGTACCGTAACAAGGAATAATAGAAATGGTAATTTATATGTTATAACATCAAATCTAATTAATTTTCGAAATGAAATTCATTTGAATACACCCCTGTCGCTTTGATTCGACATACGAGGGTAAGGTAAAAAGTTCTCGACCTGACAATCAAAAATTAAAATCTTTTTTCGAAGAAATCGATTCTGGGGCGTTTCAGATTGTTCTAGACATCAGTTCTAAATGACCACGGAGCGTTCTAAACGGTTCTAAATGGTTTTAAACAGTTCTAAATGATTCTGGAGCCTTCTAAATGACTGGTTTTAAACAGAGTTTTAGTGGTTTTAGTGGTTTTGAACAGTTCTAAATGATTTTGGGCCGTTCAAAATAGTTCTAGACAGTCCTAAACGACTCTGGAGCATTGTAAATAACTATGGAGCATCATCCAGACAGTTCTAAATGATTCAGAAGCGTTCTAAATAGTTCTAGATGACAGTTCTAAATGATTTAGCCCGAGAACTTTCCACCCTACCCTCGTACGTCGAATCAAAGCGACAGGACCGTATTGAAAAAAAAAAATCCAATCCAAATCGAAGACACCCTACATTATGACGTCATATACTCATACCTTTCTGTCTATCGTAGGCGTTGATGCATTCTGACGTCATGAATTGGCTGATGAGCGCCGTTTTGCCGACGCCCTGCGCCCCCAACAGGGCCACCGTGTACGAAGCGACGTCGCCGCCGCCTCCGGAGCGTTCCGGCGCGTCCGAGACCGGCGACGGCGTCCCGCCGCCCATCGACGCCGCCGTCGGGCACAGGCTGTTGCTGCGCGACCGGCGCCTCCTGAACGAGTCGCCCCTGTTCACTATACCTGCAAAAAAAAACACGAAAAACTAAGAAGCTGAGTGAATATTTATTTATTTATTGATTTATTTATTTATTTATTTATTTATTTATTTATTTATTTATTTATTTATTTATTTATTTATTTATTTATTTATTTATTTATTTATTTATTTATTTATTTATTTATTTATTTATTTATTTATTTATTTATTTATTTATTTATTTATTTATTTATTTATTTATTTATTTATTTATTTATTTGTAGCAATTAATACATAGATAAATAAAGAAAATATTCTAACACTAATTAGTCTGTAGACATAACCCTATAAAGGAAAAAGAAGAAGAAGAAGAAGAACACGAAAAACTAACTTAAAAAAAAAAACCGAAACCAATGACATGTGTGCGTGTGACGTCACTACAATGAAGGGAAATGGAATAAGGGAATAGGGGCGAGTGATATGGTGTTATTTATAGCTCGGAACTGTTCGGTGTAGAACGGGAAGCGAGTCGGAAGCGACTATCTCGGTTCCGGGGAGCGGTACAATTGACGTGTTACCGGAAAATTAGAACTAGAAATGGAGTATTTTCAGTAGGCTGTGGATTGGGATGTTTTAGAGATACGCGAATCGAGTGGGCTTTGATAGGTATCCATATAAGTGACAGTTACTTGACAGATTTCAACGGTTTGTAGTATTTTTTAGTAGGCTGTGGATTGGATGTTTTCGTGCATATAAAGAGACAAAGATTTACATGAATCGAGTGGGCTTTGATAGATATATCCGTTCGTGACAGTTAGTTTGACAGATTCCAAATGTCAAAGTGACTTATTGATTACTCGATGTTTAGTGGTGTGGAGTTGAAGTTTTCTTTTTTTTTTTAGCTGTGAAATATTACATATGGGAAAGCGGAAAATCTTGGAGCACGCGAAACAACGCTCGAGCTATAATCAATTACTATTAGAGTGTATTATTCGGGTCGTTTGAGCCCTCTAGATAACCCCTTTTAGATAAAACTCCGTGTTAAAGGAACCGGAGCCGGAATTTTATTTTTAGTTTTTCCGCCCGGAAGTGCGGAAAATCGCGAAAAATCTGTTTCGACGTCGCAAAAAGTGTCGTTTGTCAAATTCGTAATGTCATTTGTCAATTTGGTAATGTCATACGTCAAATTCCTAATGTCATATGTCAAATTCGTAATGTCATATGTCAGTAAGTCTCTCGCTTTACGTGAATTCCTGCAAATTCCAGCAAATGGCGGGTTCGTAAATATTTACGGAATCGTTGAAAGTGCGAAAACCAAAAAAAAAAAATAAATACATATAGAAAAATTTTCTATTTTCTATTTTCTCTCGCCGACCGACCGGCCGCCGGTCGTCGAATTTTAATAACCGAAACCCGCGTCTATTTTTAGCGGCGTTTTGGCTAAAAATACCGCGCCCGTTCGCTTAATCATTTTCCATTCCTTCCATTCCCGATCGGAAAAGCGCAGAGGAAATGGCCACTCGACGGGAAACCCGTTTTCCGAACCACTCGAACATCGATACATAACCAATTATCGGAAAATTAGATTGAAATTATCCGCCATTTTCTTGCCGGTAACAATGTAATCTGCTTTACCGGCCAACTGTCGTTTGTTTAGCGTAAAAGTGACAGGCGAAAGATGGTCGATAAATTACGAACATTTCTGCTTCTTTTTTTTTCGATTACTCAACCCTCGTCAGTTGGGAAAAATGGAAAGTGGCCTGTTTCTGGCACGTTTTTCAGACACCTTCGACGAACAAATTGGAAGAGATAAGTATTTATCGATCGGAAAAAAAACGGCCGGGATAATTGGTATTCGAACGTGTTTCTCTTATCAACCGATAACATTTTGAAAATATTTACTTTTACTCTTTGTGTACATAGCGCATTTAAACACAAAAAGAGTAAATATATTTTACTTACATATCTTAGATAATGTAGCAAACTGTAAGAATTGATATTTATATTTTACATTTTACTTTCTACTTTCTACATCACAACGGCTGTGATATTTAAGTACAAATTGACAGATTCACGCTAGTTGATATAGAAAACAAATTATAAAATTATCGCTGTTCTTGTCTTATTAGAACTTAAAAACATGCATTCTCAAACTGTCACTGATATGTCAAAAAAAATGACATATGACACAAACGAAAGCGAAATCTTCACAATTTACTCACCTGTTTTCGACGTGAAAACGCCTAGAAAAGACGAAAAGAAAAGTATAGAAGAAAATATAAAAACGTTGTAAAACATAATGATTCCTCTACATATACAGGTAGGTGCAAAATTATTCGATATACAAGGCTATGGGAGCAACAAAAACAACTTCCATTAGTCTCATATAAAAGAAAAAGAAAGAGAATATTAGAAAGAGATAATTAAATAAACATCTTATTTTCCCCGTTCATTTCGATTATACGAACGCCCCGATAAATTGGAGAAATTAAGTTTTCCGCGTTTATCGAACGGCTAAAAATAGAAAACAAAGTGACAGAAATTAGCTAGTAAAATAATTAATTGCAGGGCCTACTATATATAATTACAAGCTTTATCGCAACGCTAAAAATACAATCTAGTCATCCGGAACAGATGACGCGAGTTTCGGCAATTCATTTCCCCATTTTTCCGAGGGGAAAATTGTGAAAAAAGCTATATATGGGTGCAACAAAGACAACTTTCACATAGTCTCATATGAATGATAAAGAAAGGGTGATATTGTGAGGGGAACTTTCTCACTCTAACCCACTGTTGGTTTAATAATCCTTCTTTGTTTAACTCATATATAGAGTGTATTGGTGCAAATAAATTTGTGTATAATGGTAAATTTAGAATAGTTGGAACGAAGCCATTAATGGAGGGTCATAAAAAAATACCGGAAAATCGGAAAATCGGGAAAATCCTTTTGTGTTTTCCGGCGGTTCGAATTCGGTGCGAAACAAAGCGAAATGACGTGGGGAAAATCTTTCTCATTCTAACCCACTGTTATTTAATATAATGTCGTCTTTCTTCAACTCGTAGAAAATTGCAAACAAATTTATTTTGCATTTTCCTGTTTTTGTTTACAATGCTCCACCCTGTATAAAGCCGTTTGAAATACCGCTGGATTCGGTCAATAAGTTACAATAGCACGTCCAGACGAGGAAAAATAGAAATACAAAGAAAGACAATAGAAATGTAAAAAAAACAACAATGAAAGGATTTTCCTGATGGAAAATGGACCCTTGGAAAACCGGGAATTCGGAGTGAAACGCGACTAGCGATAGGAAAAATGAAATTTCCATCAAAGCGACTCAAAACGGCTTAGTTTTTCCTCTCTTTGTGACGATTCATCGCAAGTTTTCCGGTGCAAATTTCCCGCTGTTTCGTTAGGTATATGACCCGAATATCCAGGAATTTCCCATTCCAATCGAAACTGACGATTTGAATTATTTTTGTCGTCACCATTATTCAATCAATTTTTTTCTAACAGAGCCGTTAAAGTAGGTACATGCATGACCCGAATATCCAGAATTTCTATAAGTAATTTGAGCATTTTTAATAATCTGTTTATTTATGATTCAAATATCCCGAATTTTACAGTTTACCCGAAACATTCCAGTATCTATATGTTGTTATTTCATACAAAAATTCATTCATTGAAAATTCGCGGATTTAATTACGACTCAAATATCCAGAATTTGGCAGTTTTTGATCCAAAAAACTTGGCGACTCATCTACCTACGTATACAGACATTTCTTTGTTTCACTCAACGTAATACAGCAGCGTCATGACTATTCCATCCAGATTCCAAATTGACTCGTTTATCCAATAATAAATAGAAATTCGAAGTAAAAGCGAATAACCTATGTATATTATATGAGGCTTAATACTTATTAAACTATAGTGACATATATGACACAAGTTATCCAGATTTGACTCGATTATCCAGATAATATCCAGATATCCAAAAAGCAACGAAATGAAATAGCAGCTTACCTTTAGAAGTGAAACTGAACGATCTCAATCTATAGGAATCCTCGTCCTCCTCCTCCTGCGAATCCTGCTGTTGTTGTTTCCTCACATCAGGCACATCCAGAAACGCCGTCGATTTCCTATGATAAACCGACGTCCCGCGTCGCTGGCTACCCTTCCTCTTAATGTTCGGCGAAACGTCGGGCGTGCCGCCCCCGCCGCCTCCCTGATGATGCTCCTGATCGGCCAGCCGGGGCTCGCTGTTGCTCTGGACGGCGGGCGTCGCGACGGCGACGCGCTGCCTGACGGAGCGCCGGTGACCGGCGGCGGTGCGGGCGCTTTGCGAGCGGGCCGCCGGTCGCCGCCGCCGGGCCGCCTCCGGGCTGGCCGGCGTCGGCGGTATGGCCTCCAGGCTGGCGGCGCATATCGACGCCGATCGGGACTGCTTGGGGCGTCGCGACGGCGACGTCGCGTGCGATCTGTCGTCGGTCATCGCGTCGACTGGAAGCGGTGAGGTAGGGCGTCGCGGCGACGGCGGCGTCGCGACGGTTGTGGTGGTGGAGGGGGGGCGGCGACGGCGCGGTGGTTTTGAGGTGTTTTTTTTTGGTGTAGTGGCGTCGCGGTGCTGGTTTGTTCGTTGATTTGGAATGATTTGGTTTTTTCGCGCGGTTATTTGGTTTTTTTTTTTTTTTTCGATAGAATAAATCGTGTATTTTGTATGCTACAATATTGGATGTCTATTCGTTAATTAATTTTGTCTATTCATGCAATAATATATCGGCTATTCGTTTATTAAAATCATATATTTTTTATTAAAATATTAGATATTTTATTCGTCAATAAATTTGTCTATTCATTAATATTCTAATGTTTGATTTATTTGTTTGAAAAAAATTGTATATTCTTCATTAAAATTTTGAATATTTATTGGTCAATAAATTAATTAATTTGTCTATTCATTAATACTCTAATATATCGGTCTATTTGTTTGCAAAAAATTGTATATTCTTCATTAAAACGTTGAATATTTGATGATCAATTATAATGAACCCCTGAATAGAAAAGAAAAAAGTGACATTTCTGTCATTGCAACTTTTCACTCTGCCAACTGTCATTTTATTAATCTTTCTTTCCTCGTAGAAATTCCTCGTAGAATTTCTTTTCAAAAATTTATTTCAAATCCGTTTTTTTCGGCGTCATTCGGAAAAAATTTACAATCGATGGGCAAATGGGAGAGAGAGAGAGAGAGAGTTCGCTCTAAATTTACACCGAAACTTATTTATTTACGTTTCATTGAAGTTGTTTGAATTTACCCGAAAATACACTCGCTCGCCGATTTTCTTATTCCTATCGATCGCAAAAATCGAATTTTTGGTAACCACGGCAACGAATCCTCCAAATACATCAATCAATCAATCGATCAATCGAATTGGTTGACGAATAGACAATGTTTTATTGACGAATAGACGATGTTTTATTGATGAATAGACGTTTATTGACGAATAGACAAGGTTTCAGGCGACTAGTTGATTCTTTAATGACGAATAGACAAGGTTTTATTGATTAATAGACGATGTTTTATTGATGAATAGTCGTTTGTTGACGAATAAACGCACGCCCTATTGACGAAAGATTTCATTGATGAATAGAGAAAGAATAGAGAAAGATTTATTGATGAGTAGATGGCGTTTTAATTGACGAATAAACGAGGTTTTCTTTCGATGACTAGATGATATTTCATTTTCGGTAACCGCAGCAACGAATCCTCCAAATACATCAATCAACCCATCGATCAATCGACACCCTTTTGACACACAGTACCCAAAAATTCGTCATGTAAAAAACCAACCTAACACGCCCCCAATCAATCAACCCGAAAGAACCGCTTATACCAAAATGACCTCCATCATCACCAAAATCTCCAGACCCCTGGCGACCGGCCGGGGAACCTTCCCGTCCCACCACCACCACCAGCACCAGCGGCAAGTACCCCGCCTCAACCGCCCCCAAAGCGGTACCATCAGACGGCTCAGCGCCCAACGACGCCCCGCCACCCCGCCGCCGCCCCCCGACGACCCCAAACCGCCGGAGGAGCCCGCGACGGAGGCGCCGGCGCCGAAGAAATCGCTGAAGTACGGCGTGTACGGCGCCGTGGCGCTGCTGATGGCCGTCGGCTATTGGCTGAGGCGGCGTCGCGACGGCGAGATGGCCTCGATGGGCGTCGAGATGCAGTGCAACAACAACGGCAGCGCGGGGGATTTGGTGCGGTCGCAGCGCGTCGGCGGCGTCGGCGGCGCCGAGTCGGGCGCCGGCGGTACGCCCAGAGAACGGTAGTACCCACAATGTTTATTTAAGGAGGAATGCGTGGATGTGTAGGAGAGATGGGAGGGTGGGTACCAATGCATCAGCGATATGTTGAAGTTTTTTTTTTTTTTTTTTTTTTTCGAAATAAAGATTGGTAGTTTTTTTGGATTTTTTTGCTTATTTGCGTTTTTTTTGTGGTATTGGAGACGTTCGGATGGTCTGTGTGTGTTTTTTTATGGTCGCTGCTGTGTTGGTACTACTTTGGGCGACTTCTACAGACCTCCGGATGTTCTCTAATTCTAATTCTAATTTCCTTTATATTTCTATTTGATTCGTCTTACTTTATCGGTACTACAAGTTGCTCTTTTAGCGTACCGTTGTGTTGGACAACACGCTGGTAACGCTCAAATATTTGCATTGAAAAGTACCAGTTCAAGGACTCTCTTGGAACCCTTTTGGGACTCCCTTAGTGATCTCTTAGTGACTCTTTTATTCTTCCTAATACACCTCTAGTACTCTTTTAGAACTTTCTTCGCAATCTCCTCGTACTCCGTTAGTCTCCTAGTATTCTTTTAGTACTCCTCTAGTGATCTCTTAGATAGTACTCTTGTATTCTTCTTACTACTTACACTGTCTTAGTAATTTCTAAGGCATCTTCTAGCACTCTCTTTGTACTCCCCCAGTAACCTCTTAGTACTCCTTTACTCCTCTCTCAGTAGACCTCTAGACCTTTCTTCATACCTTCACTACTATCCCCCATACAAATCAGATTCTTCGCCCATCCACCTCCAAACACGATCCCCAAAAAAACCACCACCACTCCCCCCCCCATAAGGCATCTTCTAGGACTCTCATTGTACTCCCCCCAGTAACCTCTTAGTACTCCTTCATTCCTCTCTCAGCACACCTCTAGACCTTTCTTCATACCTTCACTACTACCTATACAAACCAGATTCCCCGCCCATCCGCCTCCAAACCACCATCCCCAAAAAATCCACTCCCCCGCAGGTACAACTTCATCAACAAAGTAGTGAAGCAATGCGCCCCGGCCGTCTTCTACCTGGAGATCCGCGATCCCAACAAGAAAGACGTCGACGGCAAACCTCTGATCACCTCCAACGGTTCCGGCTTCGTCGTCGACGAAGAGGGCTGGGCCCTCACCAACGCCCACGTGGTACTGAACAAGCCCGGCTCCATTATCAACGCCATCTTGCGCGACGGCCGGAGCTGTCCGGTGCGCGTCGAAGACGTCGACATCAACATCGATCTGGCGCTGCTGAAGCTCGACGCCGGCGCCGGCGCCGAGTGTGGCGCCGGCGCCAAAGTGCCTTGTTTGGCGTTCGGGGACGGCGAGGTGGCGGTGGGCGAGTGGGTGGTCGCTTTGGGCAGTCCGTTGTCGCTCAGCAATTCTGTTACTGTTGGTATTGTAAGTATTGTCTGCTGTAAGCTCTGAGGTTTGGATGAATAGATGGTTTGGTTATTGGACTAGTTGGAGACGAATGGATCATTTGGTTTACTGGATTTTAGAGTGAATAGTCGGTTTGGTCAATAGATCATTTGGTCTAGCAGATTTTAGAGTGAATAGATGGTTTGGTCAATAGACCATTTGGAGACGAATAGACCATTTAGTCTACTAGATTTTAGAGTGAATAGAATGTTTGGTCAATAGATCATTTGGAGACGAATAGACCACTTAGTCTTCTAGATTTTAGAGCAAATAGACGGTTTATTCAATGGACCATTTGGAGATGAATAGACCATTTAGTTTACTAGATTTTAGAGCAAATAGACGGTTTATTCAATGGACCATTTGGACACGAATAGACCATTTAGTCTTCTAGATTTTAGAGCAAATAGACGGTTTATTCAATGGACCATTTGGACACGAATAGACCATTTGGTCTACCAGATTTTAGAGCGAATTTTAAACCACCCGATTTCCAGGTGAGCTGCGTGAACAGACCGGCCCTGGATTTGGGCCTGAAGAACTACTCGATGTCCTACATCCAGACGGACGCCGCCATAACGTTTGGCAATTCTGGCGGACCTTTGGTCAACCTCGACGGTAACGTCATCGGTATCAATAACCTTCGATTGACCTCCGGCATATCTTTCGCCATACCGGCCGGTAAGTCTAACGCTCTAACGCTCTAACGCTCCTATCTCGCTCTAACCCATTACATTAAAACGATATATATCTTTCCATAGAGTACGCAAAGAGGTTCCTGGAAAACACGAAGGGCAAGGTGAAAGGGACGCGTTATTCGGGCCCGATGGGCAGGGCACTCTTCGGCATCACCACCATTTCGATCACGCCCGAAGTGGTCGAGGAGTTGAGGAAAAACGACGCCCGATTGCCGCCCGACGTCGCCAGCGGTTTGCTCGTTTGGAAAATCGTACCTGGAACGGCCGCCGCCAAGTAAATTTTCTTTTTCTCTTTTTTTTTTTTGGACGAATAGACGAGGTTTTATTGATGAATAGACGATGTTTTATTGATGAATAGTCGTTTGTTGACGAATAGACGAGGTTTTATTGACGAATAGACGATGTTTTATTGATGAATAGACGTTTATTGACGAATAGACAAGGTTTTATTGACGAATAGTCGTTTATATTGACGAATAGATGATGTTTTATTGATGAATAGACGTTTATTGACGAATAGACGATGTTTTATTGATAAATGGTCGTTTATATTGACGAATAGACGATGTTTTATTGATGAATAGACGTTTATTGACGAATAGACGATGTTTTATTGATAAATGGTCGTTTATATTGACGAATAGACGATGTTTTATTGATGAATAGACGTTTATTGACGAATAGACGATGTTTTATTGATGAATAGACGTTTATTGACGAATAGACAATGTTTTATTGACGAATAGACGATGTTTTATTGATGAATAGACGTTTATTGACGAATAAACGAGGTTTTATTGACGAATAGATGATGTTTTATTGATGAATAGTCGTTTGTTGACGAATAGACGAGGTTTTATTGACGAATAGACAATATTTTATTGATGAATAGTCGTTTGTTGACGAATAGACGATGTTTTATTGATGAATAGACGTTTATTGACGAATTTTGTTGAAGGGGCGGTTTGAAAGTGGGAGATATAATAACGCACGTGAACGGAGTACCGGCGAAATTCCCCATCGATTTATATTCGACACCCAAGGATAAGGAAAATGTCGAATTGACGTTGATACATGGAGGTAAAGAGATCACCTTGCTCATATCGCCCGATATGTTCCAATGCGATGATTGGTAAATAACAAAAAATATATTGAAATAAATAAAAAAAAAATTTATTGCGTTAGTTTACTTAAAGATTAACTGTTTTTTTCTATACATAATTAAATATAGGGAGAGTAATAGGAGGAATTGAAAAAAAAACCAAACCTATAAATTGTTATTTAATACCTACTTATCACAGATTTTTAATCTAATTATGAATCACGACATATTAAAAAGCTGCCAAACGTCAATTGTGTCAAATGTCAAATGTCAAACGTCATCTTCGATTAACCTGACGAACTGTTTGTTGCGTCTGTTTAGTTTGAATTTTTCGTAAATATCCCGGATTTCCACGGCTACTAAAAGTCCTGTGGTGATGAACAAACCGGCGAAAATGATTTTCACGTACAAATAATTCAAAATGATGTACTCGGTGTTGTCTACGTCGAAAACGACTCGCATATCGTCGGTGTTTTTTGTAGTAGGCGCTAAAACGAAATCGAGTAGGCCTAGGTTTTCGCAGTAGGCTTTGATGTGTAAGAACGGTCCTCGTAGTTCGAGGTTTACAGCGCTATTCGCGAATATCCTCGGGATGAATAGCGTGCAATTCGATGGAATTCGATGGAGTTGATTCGCTGGTAAATGATCGAAGTTACCTGTGAAATATGTAGAAAAATAATTATGGAGAAGGTTGCTACGAAAACGTCAAAATGAGGAGTGACGTTGACATTCACAGATATTGACAGGTATTGACAGGTAGTCAAAATAAGAAATGACATTTCTAGATGTTCCTTGATTGACAGATACATAATAACAAGTAATTTTGAATCATCTGTACTGTTTGTTTATTACTAACTAAAATATAATCAATATTACCTGTAAGTATGAAAAAATTTAACATCAAATTTTATGAATTAATTGCTAATTATTTATTTACCTAGAGCTATGGGATCCATTAATTGGAACGGGGCGACGTCCAAGTAGGCCTCGAAAGTTTCCTGTTTCGGGAAAACCGAACTTTCCGCGATGTTTTCTCGGCGATTCTGAAAGACGAAATGCGAGTAGATTTTTTTTTATATTATTATTTATTTAATATCTATTTCTATGACATTTTTTACGCTTATCGAAATCGTTTCGGTAATTTCGAGCGCTAGCGAAATTGTCGAAATGATTCGAACGTGACACGCGATGTGTTTTTTAATCGTTTTTTTTTTTCAAACGCGAATTCCTCGTGGAAATTGTCGCGATTAACGAACAAAAATTCAGTTTCGCTCGCTTGATTTTTGTGAAATTTGACAGGTCGTTTTGACAGTTTGTTTTTGACAGGTCAATCGTAACTGTCATCAATCGTAACTGTCATGACGAATGACGGGTTATTTTTAGTGTCGTTCTAATTTTAAAATTTTATTTCGTTATTTTATCGTTTTGTTTGTTAGATTAACAAAATCCTTTATTGTCTTACAAAAAAAAATATTATTGTTAGCGTTTCGTTTTCGTTGGTTTTTTTATTTTGTTCATAATTAGGAAAATATTTGCAAGTAAAATAAATAAGCTCCTGTAGATAAGGTCGTTTGAAATGAATTTATTACACTTTTCGAATGTTAATTGTTAATTTTTTCGTAAATTCTACCAAAAAAAAACAATTCTGTAATTCGTAACGTGTTAATTTGACAATGAGAGAAATGTCACTAAATCGACATTTTAAAGTATATTACTCGTTTAATCTAGCACGTAATTTTAACCTGCCAAACGTCACAATTCGACGATAAGACACAAAATTTGACACATGTCAGACTTTTCTTCGAACTTTTCTTTCAAATTTCAAACGAATCGATAAAATACGAAAAAATCGAGCGATTAAACCCGATAAATATCTACGAAATCGTGCCGAGAGCAATTTCCACGCCAGAACATCGCCAATTAAAAACCAATAAAAAATAATAATAAAACCCGACGCCTGGCCTGCCGCGATCGATGTACAATAATAAAATCAATCGAATCGAATAAATGTTACTTACGTAATCGCTAATAAGGGCACCGCACAACGGCAACAAAACCAACGCCAACTCGAACGCCACGGCACCCTTTGTTAATTTACTCGAAAACATTTTTTGTTTGTTTATTTATTTTTTATTCTAATCTTAGTAGGTAAGTACGAGCACTGGAGCTCTAGATGCTTTTCTGAGCGACTAAGGTGAACGAATGAAACAAAAAAAAAATAATAAATAACATTTCGACAATTGATTTATTCAATTATGGATTATTTATCTTATCTACGATATGCGTTAGTGGTCGGGATTCATGTGAATTATAAATAGTGAATAAGTACTAAACGAAAATACTTACTTTTTAGTTCGAATCGTCTAGTTGGCTGTCAATTTTAACACACTTGTCACTTTATCACTTGATTACTTGATCATTTGGTCACTTGGTGACTTGTTCACTTGGCCAATTGGACAACAAGTCACTTGGTGACTTGATCACTTGGTCAATTGGACAACAGGTCATTTGGTGACTTGATCACTTGGCCAATTGGATAACAGGTCACTTGGTGACTTAATCTTTTGGCCAATTGGACAACAGGTCACTTGGTGATTTGATCACTTGGCCAATTGGACAACAGGTAACTTAGTGATTTGATCACTTGTCGTCCACCACAGGAATAGGCTCGATTGCCGGAACGAACGAAATAAATTGTACAACACATTGTTCAAATAATACTATAATCTATTTAATATCGCATAACAAAGCAACACCTCTAAGCGTCCAATGTCTAGGATTGTGCTCCGTCTCGAAATCGATGGACCCCACGTACTTCTGATCGGTCCTTTGGGGCTTCCTGTATATGGGACATTCGTACAGCTTGGGATCCTTTCCTGCCGTGGTGTTGATGGCGAATATGTAAATGACAGGCATTTGCTCGTACAGCACTTTCGGTCTGCTCTCGATCAATCTACCGGAGCGCCTGTCCAAGCTGGCCCCTTCGAGGAACAGCCCGTGCACGTAGACCCCTTCGACAGGGCTCTCCTTCACGTCCTCCTTGCCGTACTTGGTGATCAGGTTCTGCAGCACCACCGAGTCCAACGCCCAGCCCTTGTGCGCCCTGGTCACGTCCTGGAATGCAACCACCAAGACGGAATTAGAGGAGGTACGAAGGTGGATGTTGGGTAGACGTAGAGCTTCGGGTCTTGTCTTGAGGTCTACCAAGTACCACCATCCTCGCTCCACTCCAAGTGGTCCAATCACCTCTTTGAATGAGACCATGTTTGTAATGGATTTTGAACATCGTCTCATTCGAAGAGCTGTTTGGGGTACTTAGAGTGGAGCGAGGACGATGGTACTTGGTAGACCCCAAGACAAGACCTGAGGCTATGTTCAGTAAAAATTTCACATCTCTACCTTGGCTCTAACCAATTTTACAAGGCAAATAATTATTCACCAGCCACATCAAGTTACCTGTCTCATGGCGGTGAGGAACCCTTGTGGATTGAAGAACCCCGTCATCCAGAAGACGAAAGGTCTACCGCATTGGATCCAGGTCCTGAACTGGCCGTCCCTTTCGAGGAGCTCCGTGTACCAGAACCCTAACGTGGCCGATTCCCAGGAGATCTTCTGCCATTTGTCGGGTATCCGGGCGTCGTACATCGAGTCCAACGAGCAGCGCAGGTTCTGGCTCATGATGATGGTACCGTCGATGGCCAATTTCAAATCGGTCAACGTCGATTTCACCTCTAAGAGCACCTTCTGGATGCGATCGACCTCCTGGCGCAGGAAGATGTTCATCGGCAATAGGGGTCCCATGCGCTGCAGGGCCTCCTTCACCTCGAAGCCGTTGTACTGCTTGGGCAGCTTCTCCAGCATGTCTTCGGCCAGGCAGTAGACGACGTTTTCTCTCGTCTCGCCGCCGCCGCCGCCGCCCTCCTTCGGTTGAACGTTCAGAATCGTGTCCAGAATACCTGGTTGATTGGAGGTTCTTTAGCACCCGGATGACCTGGAGTTGGACTTACCTTTGGCGGTGTTGATTTGATAGGTGATGTCCGCGTTGGCGTGAAGACCAAAAACTTCTGGACTATCGGTAGCAGGAAGGCTGTTGATGTAGTCCAAGTAGCCTTGGAGGTTTCTGGTTTGCGGTACTTTGTAGTTCTTGTAGAACTCGAAGCCGGGTCGCAGGAGTACATCGCAGAACCACACCTGAGTTAGCCTAAAGTTTTAGCGCAAAGTGTTCAAATGTTGTCCAAAATATTTACCTGCGTGAACGTGGTGAGTAAACGTTTGTCGAAATCATCGGTGACCCTTCCTCCGTATTGGACTTCTCCCAACATATAACACACAGTAGGCCAGGAGACGCCCTTCTTGGGATCCATATCGTCCAAATGGTTCTGGATGAATTGCACGCTGGCCGCGAAATCCGCTTGGTTGAACTCGTACGGAACGTTCCAACCCAATGGTCCAAATTTCCTCCTCTCCTGTACCACCGTATGGAGGAACGCCACGGCGTACAACAACGGAGGCCATTGCGATTGCGCCGAATAGTCCAAAAAGTCCTGCGTGACGTTCTGGTAGGTCCTCTTCATGCTGGCCCGGATCCCTTGGGGCGGCTCGTTGGTGAATTTGATGGCCAGCTGGAGCAGACCGATGGGGAACTGCTCGTGCACCTCCGTCGTCAGCCACATCCTGAAGGTGTCGTCGATCGTCTCGGCGTCCACGATCATGGTCATCAGTTCAGTGGCGAACGGCAGGGATAGATGGATGTTCTGCAGGAGCACCCATCCCCCGCCTGCCATCGAGGATTCTATCATGTCTCTGGCGACGATCTCCTGTCCTTGGCCCATCGACACCGCCTTCAGAGCTGCACCAGGTTAGCTCCAGGTTATTGATAGATGTTCAAGGAATTGGTGGAGGTGCAGTAGGTTTGTCATTGGACTACTTAAAGAGGCGCTACAGAGGTTTTCGGTGGACGTTGAAGTTGTTTTGGAGTACTTGGAATTAGGTTTGTGATGTTCAAGGCGTTGGACTACTCATCGAGGTGCTCGGGGTAATTGGTGGTGGTGATTTAGGTTGGCGATTGGAGTACTTACCGATGGATTTGGACTTGGCTAGGGCGGATATTTGAGGCGATGGGTCCGAACCGATGGACAAGATGCAAATCAGCGGCGTTCTGGGTTCGGATTCGGTCCAGGTGGCCTCCAAGTCCAGTATGCTCGGTTCGCCGTACTCGTCGCCTAATGAATCTGTGGACGAATGGTGGTGGTACCTCTTAACGCTACTTTCTTAACGGTACATCGATACTTACCCATGATGTACTTCCTGGCTTGGGACAGAGTCCTATCCGGACTCCAAGATCTGATCAGCAGCAATTTCCTGAAGACGTCGAGGCTCTTTTGGTACCCGCACGGTATGTCCTCCTCTTCGGGTTTCTCCTTTTCGTACCACGTTCTCCACTCCTTCTCCGTGGACTCTATCTGGAAATTTAACCAGCTGGATCAGCACAAAGTCCAACCGTACTAATCCAGTAGTACTCGCCTTGGACAGTATGCCGGTGAACGTGGGCAGCTTGTTGATTTCGACCAAGTTCAACCAAGTGATGTCCAATATCCACCTGAACGGTTTCGGTTGGACAGCGTTCAGGTCCAAGGAGGCGCCGCCTTTGATGAACGCCATGAACTCTTCGTGCTTGATCCTGCAGTCGTGCAGGTCGATTTTCATCGCCATCATCAACGTGAAGAGGGACTTGTGGCGTTCGTAGAGGCTCCTTTGCGTGAACGCCCACACCTGCAATGATCTTATTAAGAAAGAAAGATAGCTTCGATAGTACTGTGAGTACCTCGTGGGTTAGATACTTCAAGATGATTTCGATCCTCTCCGATGTGACGTTGGTCTTCTCCGATTTGGTGATGGAATTGTCGAAGAGTATGAGGAATTGCTTCAGGGAGTTCTGGTACATGACGTTCACGTTGCTCATTTCCACTAGAAACGAGTACCAGATTGAAGGTGTAGTACCAAGTCATATTGGACAAGTACTACTAGATAGAGGTGCAGCACCAAGTACCAGAAAGAGGTCCAACATTTACCAAACAGGTCGTATTTACCAATTACCAGTTCAAATTGAACAAGTACAAGATATAGTTCTAGGACCACCAAGAGATATTTAACAAGTACCAGGTAGAGTTCTAGGACCACCAAGACATATTTAACAAGTACCAGGTAGAGTTCTAGGACCACCAAGAGATATTTAACAAGTACCAGGTAGAGTTCTAGGACCACCAAGACAGTACCAAGTGCCTATACTTACCGATGAGAAAATACAAAATTGACCCTCTGGCGGCGACGGCTCTAAACTCCTCCCTAGCCACGTTGATCTTCTTCTCGGTGGTAACCGAAACGGTCAACTTTTGGGTAACCTCTTCGGCTGTGGTTTTGGTCACCTGCAGCACGTTGATCAGCTCCTCGTCGTCGACGAGCGATCCCCTGGTGGAGTTCAATCTGCTCAGCAGGTTCGTCTCCAGTTCCTTCATGCGCCGCTGGTTCTGCATGACCGATTCGAAGAGGGCCACCCGTTCGGCTTCCAGATCGGACTTCTCCATCAGTATCACCCTGCCCAGCAACTGGTCCTCCAGACCTGCGGGTAAAATGAAGGTACTTAACACACCGGAGGAGGTGGTTGGTTAGGAGATGGTGGTACCTAACATGGTGACCGTGAAATCGATGATGGAGGTCTTGGCGCTGATCTCCGGAGAATACGGAGGATTTGGTAGCTTGGTGGTGATGTACAACATGAAGTCCTTCATCACATCGCATTCTTTATCGCCTACTATGACTTTTTCTATGGACCCCGATTTGATGAAGTTCTTCTCGAGGACGTTGTCCAATACGGGATCCAGCTCTATGTCGATGTCTTCGATCAACAGAGGTTTTCCTGAAATAAATGGTACAAAAACACATCTCCGAAGGAAGTTTCTTCCAATAATCACCTAAAGAAAGACAGTCCTCCAAGTGGGTTCTGAAGTACTTGTGGTTCAACGAGGTGATCTGCAAATTGTTGTCGGCCTCTTTGCTCTTGATCCACAACTTGCCCTGGTTCTGGGGATCGATCAGCAGCGGGTACGACCTCGATTTGGTGACGATCAGCGCGTTCTGCACCGACAGCTCGTCGTTGGGCAAACCCTGCAGCGTCCATTCGGAGACGACGGCGTTCTCCACCAGCATGTTGGTGATGTTCAATTGCTGCGTGTACGGTATCTGGTGCTTCTGCAACGTGTCCATCCAGAACTTGACCAGATTCGCCCGGAACTCCTGGTTGTAGGGGCCGCAGTAGGAGAGGAAACCGGTTGCTAGAAGCACGTCGCCCACCAATCTACCTGCGAAGCAAAATAGAAGAATTGCTGCGGAAGATCATGTCGCTTGGTGGTGGATCTTACACAGCTGCTCTTTGAACTCCTTGCTTTGCTGGGTCCATCTGACTTTCTCGCCTCCGAGCCCGTTGATCAACGCAGTAGCGGTGTTCATCTTTCTCAGGCAGGAATTCGCTGCGTCTGTTAACCTTTGCTTCTCCATCACGGCGTTGTCGTATTGTTCTTTGACTTCTCTTAGAGATTGCTCGCGTTCCTCCAACTGTCTTTCGGCAGCTGCCAAATCCTCCATGGCCAGCTTCAATCTGGCTTCCTGCAGCGTCAGATTCGCCTTGAGCGGCAGCACTTCTCTATTAACCCCGTGGAAGAAGGCCATGGCCTTGGTCCAAGAGAGCAATCCGGCGACGTCGCCGCACACCCGCTTGGCCGTGTCCATGTTGTAATCCTCCATTTCGAAGTAGGGCTGCAGCAGATCGACCATTTCGTTGTTGATGATGTCCTTGGGATAGTTCTGCAGCTGGAGCAGGAACGTGGTGGAGGCCATCATCTTGAGGGACTCGGCCCACGAGGGTTTCGGACACGAGGCGGCTTGGTCGGGCGCGATCTGCTGCAGCTTCCTTTGGAAGAGGATCAGCACGCAGTCCATGATGCGCATGATCAGATGCGGAGGTCTGCCCAGCTTCCTCACCGTAGCTATGTGAGCGGGTTTGATGGTGTTCAAAGCGGCTTCGGCTTCTTCCAGCGCGGGCTTGGCCGCTTCCAGCTTCTCCTCGGCCTTGGCTTTTTCTACAGCTATCGAAGACACCAAGGCTTCGGCTTTTTCCTTCACCTTCTGCACCTGGTTCTTGACGATCTCCGCCTGCATGGCGCGCTCCGTCACCTCGATGAGCACCCGTTCGGCGCGCCTCGAAGCCTCCACCAGCTCCTTCTCCATCGCGGCCAGCTCTTTCTTCAGCACCAACACGGACGACGAAGCTTCGGCGAGCTTCTCCAAGCCGGTGTCCATGCGCAGGGCGCCGTTGCTCAGCTCGATTTGCTTGGCGCTGTAGATGCTCTTGTAGCCCGCGATGAAGTTCAAATAGGACTTGGGCGTGACGTGGGTGGCGCGTCTGAACCTTTGGAAGTACTCCGTCGACGTGCAGCTCACGATGTCCTGGATCGAACCGAGCGCTTTGACCAGCTCCAGTTTCACGTTGGTCGAGCAGGCGATGGTGAAGTCGCAGAGGAAGTGCTGGGCGACCTGCACCAGGGCGTCTTTGGGCCACGGTTGGAACCAATCGATGGTGCAGCCCGAGATGAGAGCGGGGAACCTGAGAGCCCTGTTGCGGAACTTCTCGCCCACCGGGGAGAAGCAGAACACCACGTGCAGGTTCTGGCACGTTCTGTTCATGAAGTACTCCATGACCAGTTCGTTGTTCAACGTGCGCTTCGGGTTCTCGCGCTTCATGATCGGCGTCAGTTCCTGGATGATCTCCGCTTGGTCGTCTTTGGTGAATAGGTTAGATATCACTCCGGAGGATAGGATGTTGTTCAAGTATTCCAGGAAGCCTTCCTCTTTGATGTCCAAATCGGTGAAGATGAAGGTCGTACCTTTGCCTTGGCAACCGCACGATCTGTACAAGACTTTCAGGTCTTCCAGGAAGTTGCCGATGTTGTATGATCTCGTCAAGGCTATCTGGAAGGTTTTGTAACCTGCTATAAACGATGATAGCTTAGTCAGCGACTGCTTTCCGCTACCGCCTACGCCTGGAAATTGGTACCCCACATTTGGACATTGTTCAAAATTGTCCAGCCAAAAAGCTTACCAACTAGCATAACGTTTCCTCTCGGGTGTCTTATAACCCTGGATATCTTCACCAAATGCAACATGGCGTCCGGAAAGAACACCAAATCCATACCGGAGCCTCGGATCATCTCGTTGAACTGCGCCAGGAACATGTCCAAACGTTCCCTGAGCTCGTTTTCGTTGGTCACCGGCTCGTACACCTTCGGCAGCTCCATGTCGGCGTCTTCGCCTTCTTCGCCTGTCGGTTCCGGAGCATCTCTGCAACCAAGCGATGTACAAAGGCAAATTTCATCCAGAGGGTTACCTCATGAAGTCCACGAAGACCGGACTCGGTTCGGTTTTGACGCGCATCTCTTCGCCCAAGTGCTCCTCCACCAGGTCGAGCAGTTCCTGGTTGAACCAGCTCTTGTCCTCTTCGATGGTGAACCTGTCGGAGAACACCCTGGTGCATTCGTGCTTCCACAGCACCATCATGCAGCCTTCGGATTCTATTACAGTGGATAGGGTACCAACCTGGAAAAGTGAATTTGCAACCTGGAGGTATCTAGACCCGGAGGTCATACTTACCATTCCTTGCCACACTCTGGATAGATCTCGCAACGAAAACACGTAGTGGAATTTGGCTGGAGTGGGTAGCAATTTCATCCTGGTGTTCTTCCAAAGGGTCCTCGTCAAGGGTATGAGTTTTTTGACCAAATTCCTCACCTCCACGGTGAAACCCCTCTTGACGTTGTAATGACCTTGGGCTATCACTCCGAATATCTTGTCTATGGACGCTTCGTTGGGCAACGGGCAATTGAAGATGCAGAACTGTCGCTTCAGACGGGAGGGAATGTCGTTTTTACCGCCTCCCGGTTGACCCATGGCGGATACGAATTGAACGTCCACGATGGTGGTGAATTCTCCAGGTTTTTCCAGGCTGTAGAATCCCCCCATGTCCATCGTTTGCCTCACTATCTCATTGGTTACCTAAATGGAAGACTTCTATACCAGGTACCATAGAAGGGTGCTATTCCAGCTGGATAGTACTGCACCAGGTGTTACTCCAGGTGGATGGACGTGCACCAGGTGCTATTCCAGTTGAATTAGGAACACTTACCTGATCACCCCAGCAATTGATCTCCGGCAAATTGATGTCATCGATGAAGACGATCATCTTCTTGCCGTTGGCGGGACCGAAGGTGTTGCCCATCCGTTTCTCCACGTAGCTCTCGATGGTCTTCTGGAACTGATAGGGACTGGTGGCGCTGGAGAAGTTGAACGATCTGTTCAAGTAGATCTCTCCGTTCATCTTCTTCATGAAGTTCTTCATCATCACCGTCTTGGCGGTGCCCTGTTCGCCTATCAGCAGACAGGCGCGCTCCTGCGACACCACCACGTCGATCAGGAAATTTATCCGGACGTTGTCCTGTATGGGAACGAGGATTTGGGAGAAATCCGGCGTCGCCAGTTCCGGGTAAACGTAGTTCGTCACCATGGTGCTCCAGGATACCCAATCGCCTTCGGCGTTCACCACGTAATCGAAAACTGTAGCCTTGGAAACCAAGCAATCGTTAACCAAAATGTTTGGTCGCCGAATAGGAGTGCACCAAGTGCTATTCCAGATGAATGGAGGTGCACCAAATGCTATTCCAGACGAATGGAGGTGCACCAGGTGCTACTCCAGATGAATGGAGGTGCACCAGGTGCTATTCCAGATGAATGGAGGTGCTTTTCCAGACAAACAGTAATACACCAGGTGCTACTCCACGTCTAGGTTATCCAAAACATGGCACACTTACATCGGGATTGTTCTTGTTGTTCACCGGTATATCCAGAACGGCGGATAGTTCCTCTCTGACGAACAGGTCGTACTTGCTCCGATCCTCCGACTCCAAGTAGGCTCCCATTCCCCACACCAAAGCGAACACGTACAACTTACCCAAATGCTCGCCGGTGAAGATCTTGTTCTCCTCCTGCTTCTCCACCTCCTCCAGCACCTCGTCTTCCGGATCGCCTGCGTCCGATTTGGCGGCGGAGACTTCTTCGGCGGGTACCACTTGCTTCGGTATCAAACCTGCAACGCAGAATCACAACCACCCGCTCGCCTGGTGACCTCGACCGGAGCTCACCTTCCAGCAACCTGACGATCTGCAAGGTGACGTTGCACTGCAACACCTCGATCACCAGGCGCAGGTTCTGCGCTCCCCAGGCGTACAGCTTCGGAAAGGATTCGTCGAACAGGCGCTGGAACACCTCCGCCTCCTTGGCGCTCCTGCCCTTCAGCCAGGCCTTGATGACGGGCTTCCAGGTGAGACCTGACGAGCTCATGTAGACCATGCCGTTTCTGGACACCGTCGCCGGCGAGGCGTTGTCGATGTTGTGAGGCTCGAAGATGATTTTACAGGTGGGGGACATGGATAATCTGTCGCCGTTGGCCAACGTGAGGGTCTTGTTGTCGTCCAGCACCGAGTTGAGGTTTTCTATCCAGATGCTGTCCACCGGACCGTCCAACACCAGCCAAACGTGCTCACCTGGTGGTGGTACAATACCTTTGAAATAGGTGCTGAAAGTGGAAGTGTTATGGTGCAGTTGAACGAGGTGCTGGAAATGGAGGTTTGATGGCCATGCAGATGGTTGAACAAGGTGCTGGAAATGGAGGTTTGATGGTCCTGCAGATGGTTGAACAAGGCGGCTGGAAGTGCAGTACCTGGTTTGGACTTTAAGGTTTTCCTCCATAAGGCCGAGAAGATTCCATCGGTCCAATCGTTGGTGGCCACGTCTAGGCGCCCGAACATTTGAGCAGCCGTAATAGCCTTGGGATTCATCCTCATCTCCTTGTGCAGATCGCCCATTTGGGTCAAGGCCTTCATCAGGGTTTGTATGCAAGTAGTTTTACCGGCTCCTGTGGGTCCCAACGTCATGATCCCGTGCCTCACCCTCTGGGTTTCGTACAACTGGAACACGCAGAAAGATCACGTCCAAATGTACCAGATCCTATTGCAGCAGGTTATAACGCACCACGTCCGGTGCAGCAGGTGCTCGAAAAGTACTCACCTGGATGAGCTTCAAGCACCAGGACGGGTGATTGACGAGCCCGGCCTGCTCCACCTGGCCGTTGATCGCCTCCTCCAGGTCCGGATAGGCGGTCTTCTCCAGCGTTTGATTGGGAAATAGGTCGGCGATGAGGGACATGAACAGCGGCTCGTCCTCGTCGATCAGCTTCGACAGGTTCATGTCGCGCAGCACGCGCATCACGATCGTGCTCTCGGTGTCTTTGTTGTTGACGCGCTTGGCGGAGCCGAGGCTGCGCAGCACCGACAGTATGTTCCTCAAGCCGAAGTCGTAGTGGACCTGTATAAGGAGAAGGAGGTACTCTACTGGAGAGATGCTAGATGAAGCTGAATCAGGAGGACCCGCTAGAGTGGAGTACCACCCAGAGAAACGGGAGGAGTGGGTTTGTCAGGCAGAAGTCGTGGAGGACCTGGAGCTAGAGGAAGGGACTTGGAGCAGGTGGACTATCAAGAGTCCAGGTTTTTCTGGAAAGTACCTTACCTGATGCAGCTGGTTGTGCAAATACCTTTAGCTGCTTGGTGTAAATTTCATTACCTGCTTGGTCAATTGCTCCTCGCATAATTTGTACAAAGTGTAGAATTTCCTGGCTAACGTGATGTTCTCCAGGAATCCGCAACTGGCCAATTTCACTCTGATAATGATCTGTCTGTCGGGTACCATCATAGCGACGGTTCTGAATTGGATTTTCAAATTTTCCGGCAGCTCCTTCCTGCCCGCGTATCCGGGATTCTGGAAATGACTGCACGTGAAGTATCTGGGATTAGTACCAGCCTTCTGGAACGTACCATGGTGATGAATATCCCGAATTCCGGACACATTTCGATGATATCGCCGTCGGTAAACTGGAAGGTTTTCCTCTTCTCCTTTTTGCTGGCCAGTACCACAGCCACTTGCTGCGCAGCAACCGACAGTACCGGCAATTCGATGCGATTGAATTCGTCGAAGCAACCCCAGGAGCCTGACTGCGCCAAACCTGGAAACCCCTTCATCAAATTCTCATCCAGAACTCACCCAGTACTCCACCAGTACTCATTGGTTACCTTTGTAAATTCGTCCCAAACCTCGGTAGTCCATTTGGTCGGAGCAATTGAACACCACCACGTACTTAGCCAGAGTTTTTCCCATGTCTTTGACGGTTTCCGTTTTGCCGGTACCTGCAGGACCACAAGGGGCCCCACCCATGCTCATCGCCAAGGCTTGGGCCAAGGTGATGTAACACCTGGAACCAGGTAGGAATTGCTTTCGAAGCTGTGGGGAGAGAAAGAGAGGTCTCTTACCTGTCGGTCAAAGGGGTGATGACCAATCGATCGGTGCATCCGAGGTACTCGTTCTGGTAGGAAAAGGTCACGTCGGTGATGATGATCAAGGTCTTGTCCTGCTCTTCTCTGAAGTAGAACCTGCATTGCTTCAACCATTCGAAATCGTTCACGTGCCTCACGTTCAAACGACACTGTTCAATTGGACAATTATCTTGGTGGTGCTTCTAAGATTATCCAAAATGACCTTACCAAAATGTCGAAGATGTCCCGTTGGTGTACGTGAATGGTGATGAGCGTCTCGAATTTCGTCCGTTCGATCTTGGCCAAGTCCCTGGTGGTCTGATCGATCAAAGTGTTCAACAGTTCCAGGAACTTGTTGTTGGTGTCCGGCATGGTCTTCTTGTCGTGCCTGGCCTGCATCAAGGCCAGCTCCGCGTCCCTCGTCCATATCATTTGCAACCCCAGCAACCCGATCTGGAAGATTAACTTTAGCCGGGAAAGGCGGCTGCGGTAGCAATAACGTTACCTGCGCGGGCATCTTGTCCAGGAACTGCAACAGCACGAAATTGGCGTCGTTGATCTGCTGGTGGGCCTGCCGGATGATCGAATGCAACGAAGCCTGCGAAGTGACCAACAGCTGCGTGAGCCACGTCTCGACGCTGCCTTCGGCCCTGACGGGCTTCTCCAGCTGTATGGTCTCCCCTTCGGAGGACACGATGGCCGTGATCTTGTTGTACTCGATGTCGTGGAACCTGACGAAGCGCGTGTTGTCGAAGATGGACAGTAGATGGTTCTGGATGGTGTGCGAATCCGAAGCCTGGCCGAGGATCTCCAGCAGAGCTGGGTCCGATACGAAGAAGAACCTCGGAAACATCGTGCGCTTCCTCTCCAAGTAGCCGCTCAACGATTTCTGGCACAGCTCCAGTTGCTCTTGGAGGTGCGGCAGGAGTAGCTTCAGCATATCGTCGCCTGTCGGTGCAATTAATTTGTACATTGGACATACTGAGTCCAATTCGGGTGGTAGATTAACCTTACTTACCAACACAACAGGCTACAACTCCTGGTGTTTCGTGGGCGCGTTGCATGATCTTCTGCCAGGATTTGTCTATTTTCGAAAACCTTTTGGCTTCCTTAGGTAGTTGCTTGGCGATGTCGCCGCCTACGAAGACGGCCTCCAGGTACACCCACATGTTCTGCACCAGCAACCACCTCTCCAGTATCTCGTTGGTGTTGGACAAGTCGTGCACCCACGTTTGTATTTGCTTCTTGAACGGAGCGTTGTATCTGGAAACCTAACGTAATAGCACCTGGATATAGAAGTACTCGGTCGGACTCACCTGTTGGACAACAACGAACCCAATATCATCAAACTGTCCTCCAATTGTCCAATGGTCTCCGCCGTGGTGTCGCCTCTAAGCAACAGCTCGCCTCTGTTGTTGAACGTCATGAAGGTCAATTCGTGGACGGTCCACTCGTTGGTCACCTGCCGCAGCTTGGCTTCGATGTCTTTCTCTTTCATCGCCGATATGCAAATATCCTGGAAAGTAATCCAGAAGTAAGATGTACCACACCATGGGTGGTACCGTTCTCACCTCGATGTCCTCCTTGTGCTGCAACAGCGGCGCTTCGAGGATGTTCTTCAAGCAGAAACCCTCGCTCTCGAACTCGAACACGTGCTTCAAGGAGTCCATGATCCTCTGCCAGTGCCTCGGCTTCATCGCTCTGTTGGCCATCAGCTCCAGCAGCGGACACATGTCGTTGAAATCGTCGATGGTCTTCTTCAGCGCGAAGAACGCCGGCCATTCCTTCAAACCTGCCAAGGAAACCGACCAGCACCAATGAAGTACTCTAAGTACTGCGGGTGATCGTACAGTACCTTTGGGCAGCTTCCTGCACCTGTTCTGGAACTCCATCAGCTCGTTGTTGATCTCCTCGATGTTGACCTCGCCCCAGGGGATGTCGTAGTAGCTGTTGACGCGATCGATGACGTCGTTGTAGAGCTTGTAGAGCTTCTGCAGCAAGTTGAGCTCTTTGCGGATCTGCGCGAGGTCCGGATAGTCGGTTTGCGGCAGACCGAACAGCTCCTCGCCGCTTTGGTACGTCTGCAGCTTGCGCCACATGCCGTCGAAGCGGTTCTGCAACAGGAATTCCATCTAGCTTCGGTAGGAATAGGTCCAAAAGTCTCACCTGGAAGAGAATGAGCTTGTCGGAGGCTTCGCGCGGCGTGAGACCGGCCTGCATGGGACCGGCGTTCCTGTACTCGTCGCAGTAATCGACCTTGTCCTGTTTGAACTTGCTCAGGTTGGTCTGCAGCTCGCGCTCGAACACCGGCTGCATGTCCAATAGGTTCAATTGGACTGTCATGGCGCGCTCGAGGAGCTGTTTCCACGTGTCCCGCAGATTGTCCACCTGCTCGGTCACCTCGCGCTCCACCGGCACTTTGAACCGCTGCAATACGTTGAAGGCTTCCTGGAAATTATACAGGGTGGAACGAATGTCTGGAAAAGTCTAAATGAATTCCGGATTTTGTATATGGAATTTTGCCTGGAGAGAGATAGTATAATTGGTGGATTCGATATAGAGAAGGTTTCTAATTAATGGATGAATGGTTGTTATACAGGGTGGAACAAAAGTCTGGAAATATTCTATAGATCAAGGGTTTCTTACTAATAGACGAGTGGATATTATACAGGGTGGACTAAAAGTATGGAAATATTCAGTATGTAGAAGGTTTGTAATTAACGGACCACTGAAGATTATACAGGGTGGAACAAATAACTGGCAACAGCTAAATTCCAGAGTAGATTATAGTGTATTATATAATATTTTTTCTACGACTTGATGATTGTTTTTTTTTTTACCTCGACCGGTTCGATTTTCAAATCCATGTCGACCTCTTGTTCTCTAATTTTCTTCAAAGTGTCCATAATCAATCTGACATCGTCTAAATCTCTTATCGTCCTTTCCAGTTTCCTGTCCATTTCGCTGATAACGGCGTAAACGTAATCCATTTCTCTCCGGTATTTTTTCCTCATCGCCTGTCCGATCCTATCGGGACAAATAGATATACGAATTATACAGGGTGGACCAAAATTTCGATTCGCGATTTTTCCATCTACAACTCTATTCCTGGTCATTTTCCTATCGGATTAGTTGGCTTTGACATTCTTAGGGAAAAGAGGGGAAAGAGGGGAAATAGGGAAAAGAGGGGAAATGTTTATACCTGTGCGTGCACGATTTGATCTCCGTCAACAGACCGAATTTGAGGTTTTCCGTGGAAACGGCCAGGCAATTTTCCACGAGGAAAACGTCCGGTTCGGTGTCCAATCGTTCAGTCAACTCCTCGTGTTTCCTCAAAGAGGATTCGAACTCCTGTAGGGGCGCGTTCAGCAACTCCCTTTGGGATTTCTCGCCCCTCCACAGCACGCTGTACGGCCGCCATCTCGTCATAAACGACGCCATTTCCTGCGGAAAAAACATGGAAATTCCATCAAAAAAACAAACATCTGTCTTCCCTCTTTTCCCCTCTATCCCCTATCCTTCCCCTCTATTCCCTCTTTTCCTTATTTCCCCTCTAACCCCTATCTTTCCCCTCTATCCCCTATATTTCTCCTCTTTTCCCTATTTCTCCTCTATCCCCTATCTTTCCCCCCTTTTTCCTATTTCCCCTCTTTTTCCTATTTCCCCTCTTGTCCCTCTATCCCCTATCTTTCCACTCTATTCCTTCTTTCCCCTCTATCCCCTATCTTTCCCTCCTTTTCCGCTTTCTCCTCTTTCCCTCTTTTTTCCCTATTTTCCCCTCTTTCCTCTCTATCCCCTATTTCCCCTCTATCTCCTCTTCCTTCTCTATCCCCAGAATCCCATTTCGAGATAGGAGGTACCTACCTCCTGGGTACTCACCGGTTTCATGTCGTTCAAGCAGGTGGAGAGCAACGACATCGTCTTCGCCACCTCCTTGTTCTCCATGACGTGGCCGAAGAAGTTCCTATGTTGGACGGGCACCGTCGGTCGCTCGTCGGTGAGCAACCGGTAGAGGCGGCGCCTCTTCGCCCGCGCCTCCTCCTCCGCCTTGGTCTTGGCGCCGGCGCCGGCGGCGGCGTCCTGCTTGGCCTGTTGCTTGGCGGCCTTGCGACCGTCGAAGCGTGAACGGTTCACAATGTCCATTAGATTGGGCTTGGGGCCGGCGAGCTTCCGCCAGCCGGAGGCTTTGGGCCCAGCCCCCGCCCCCGCCGCCTTGCGTGTGGCGTGTGTGCGAGTGTTCAAAAGTGTGTTGTGAGGGTACGGTGCAGGTGGAGTAGTGTATGGTGTTGGTGGTGGTGGAGGTGGTGGTGGTGTTAATGGTTTATGGTAGAAAGGAAGAAGACTTTGGTTAGTATATACGATCTTCTAGAGGCTTCTGGAAAAGCCCCAGCTCCTGCATTTGGGCGATTGATAGCACCTGGTGTTGGAGCTGGAGCTTCCAGGACGAACTTAGCCCCAGGTCTAGACTTTAGGCCTCACACCTGGAGCATCTGTGAGATGCTCCTACTACAACCTCATGTAACTAATAATAGACGTGGAGCTTCTAAGAGAACTGCTGAGCCTTTTGGGATGTTTACAAAAGAGGAGTGAAATAGTGTACCTGTGTAAACGGTCCCGACGACCATTGTCCAACTCCTTTGGACACCGACGTGACGGTTTTGCCGGCCGCCGTCAGGATTTCCTGGACCTCATCCAGATTGGGCTTCACACCCACTTTGGGTATGAGCAGCATGGAATTGAGTTTGAAGACGGGCGTGCGACCTTCGGAATCTGGAAACGACGGTGTTTGGAGTCCAATTTACGTTGTGTCCAATTCGATTCTATTTACATTCCTCGGCGAATCTCCTACGCAACGCGTCCAACGAACTCCTGGTGACCTTCACCAGCACGTCGACGATTTTCCTGCTGTAGTACCGCCTCATCTCGCCCAAGGCGCCCTTCACCACCTCCTGCAAGGACTTGACGGCTGCGCTGCCGATCAAAATATAAGGCTTCTCGAAGCACTCCCACACCATCGACCAATCGGATTGCTGCTGGGTGGTCGGCGTCTCCAAGGTCTTCTCCTCTTCTACAAACAACCACCATCTACTCAGGCTCTACGTTGTTAATCAAGCCTCAGTTACCTTCGAAATTGAAAGCTTCATCGTCGAGGCTGCTTTGGGGATCGATATCGGCACGCTTCACCAACGACAGGATCTCCTCCACCGCCTCCTCGATCATCCGGCTCTTCTTGTTCAACTCGATAGCGGCGGATCTGCAGACCAAATCCATTTTGTTGCAAAACACCTCCACAGTCCAAGGCTCTTCGCCCGCTTCGGGCAACGCGTACAACTGCACCGATTGCATGCTGTCCAACACCTCCAGCACCCGATTCGAGTAGATATCGTGGACTCTATCAGTCTGCAACACCAATCGAAGTCACAGCGAGCCTTAGAAGCTCCTTAGAGGCTTAGAGCCTTAGAAGCCTTAGTTGCTCCATTACCAATTCCTTGAAGTTCCCTATAGCGGCGTTGCCTCTATCGATAAACTCCCTCCATCGGGGCGACACCCAATCGAGCTCCACGATGCCGGGCTCCACGTTGTGCGTCAGCTTGATGAGATGCGGTAGGAACAGAGGCCTCACCTCAGGCTTCACCGCCCCCACCGCTCGCTCGTAGTCGTCGACGAGGAACTGCAGCGAATCGCGCACCACGTCGAAGTGATCGCGCTTGGCGAGCAACGTCAACGCCACCATCGGCACGGGCAGCGCCATCTTGGCCATGAGATCGCTCTCGCGGATCAACAGCAACACGGCCGGATGGACGTTGACCTTGAGGCGGTCGCGATCGACGGCCAGGAGGCGCCTGGTGAGGCAGACGTCCACGTCGGATACCTGGTAAGGGGGCTGGGTGAGATTGCGCTAGGTGGGGCTTGGTGGGGTTTGGGGCGTTTTGAGGCGTTTTAGGGCGTTTTAGGGCGTTTTAGGGCGTTTTGAGGTGTTTTGGGGCGTTTTGAGGTGTTTTTGGGCGTTTGGGACGTTTTGGGACGTTTTGGGACGTTTTGGGGCTTACGTGTTGGTTCATCCAGAGGGCTACGATGTCGGTTTCGTAGGCTTTGAGCACGATTTCGGCGGCGACGTGTTTCCTGGATAGCTCCACGGTGGCTGGAAGAGTCTTTAGAATCGGATGGGTCGTAACGCTGGATAGCAAATCGTCCAAATGGGATACCAAAGCTCTCGACCATTTGATCCGACCTAAATCAAACCACCTGCGATCGAATGTATGATAAAAGTTTAAGCGCAGTACCTGCAATCGGTGGGTACATCCTAGCTACAGGCGGATCATCTTTCTGCTTCTTGTACATCTTTATAATCCTCTCCACCTCCTTCTCGCAGTACTTCAATATCCTGTCGTACTTCTCGTCCATCTTCGCCAGAGGAATCTTCTTGCTGACCTGGTGCACGACATTTTAAACACCTGGAACCACTAGAATCTCCTCGAGTCGCTCACCTTTTCGAACCTGGTGAGAAACCGTATCCCTTGGGGCGTCTCCCACACGCTGTCGAAGTTCCTCTCGACCGTCTCGGCGATTCCCTGTCGAAGCTGCTCCGTCTGCGCCATGAACGCCCCGAAATCTGCATCGAAATCGACATTCCTGTGGTCCAGGTAGTCGTACTGCTTGCTGACGATGGCCTGCTTGATGTCCGAGAACCGCTGGACTGCTTCCTCGAGAGCTGGAACCCAACGTGGTGAAGTCTCCCTTCGCCTGCGGGAGGTTAATACTCACCATCACCGAGCAGCAAACCTTCCATTCTGCGCTGGAACAGGCCGGTGTAGTCGTCGATCAGATCGAAGGTGAAGATGATCCGGGCCAGGCGTTTGCAGAAGACGTCGAACTTGCCGAAGACGTAGTTCTCGGAGAAGTTGAACTGTTGTTGGCGACCGGGCAGAAACGGTTGGGACTTGACGGTTTCGTAGGTGCGCCTGTAGACCTTGTTCAAGGCTATGCAGTGCGTCAGTTTGTCCTTGACGTGGCCGCGGTCCTGCGACCAGATGCTCTCCTGGCCTCTGCAGGTCAGGTAGTCCTTGCACGTTTCGATCATTTGATTGGTGATCTGGAACGGGAGGCGTTCTAGTGCTTTAGAAGGAGTTTCCTCTCTCTAGGTGTGGTGAGGAAGACACTCTTCGGAGGCTAAGGGGTTTGGAAATGGAAGAGTTTCTCCCGTAGGTACCAGCAAATCATAAAGTGAAGGTTATTTGGAGCTCTGGTGAGGAAATAGGACACTCTTCGGAGGCTAATGGGTTTAGAACTGGAAGAAATTCCTTCATAGGTACCAAGCAAATCATGACATCTAGGTTAATAGAGCAAATAAACAATTACCTTGACCATCAAGGCGGACGTTCTTTCCGAGGTATTGTAAAATTGGGACACGCTGTGTATCAATCGCACCGTTTGCAGCAGCCCCATTATGGATTTCCGCATTTTCACCTGGAAATTTCCAGATTTATTGCAGCACCGACGATGCATCGACCACATACCGGATCGTCCAGATAGAGCGAATGGCATTTGGTCTCCAACGCCTGGATGAACTTGGCGTTGTCCTTGGCCTCGTTGTAGCAAAAGGTGATCTTCTTGTCGGTCTCCCGCCACTCCTTCAGCACCTTCGCGCGCGCTATCTTCAAACAGAGAATGGTCATTTGGACCTCGGAGGTGTTCACCTGGCCGACGATCTGCGAGAACTGGGCGCCCCGCTTCTTCCAGTACTCCAGCTCGTCCTGTGGACCTGACATAGAAGATACATTTACCACCGGGATGACCAGAAACTTGTGGAGTGTTCACCAGAGGAATCGTTCTCCCTGCGGATTTGCTCGCTCTCTTTGAGTATCTCGTCCAGTCGTTTTATCCAGCCTTTGACGCGGTTCTCCAAGACAACAATCTGATCTGCGTGCTTCGCCAGCTCCTTTACCTCATCGGCGTCGCGATGCCCCATCGTGGTTTTGCCGTCGTCGAAGAGGTTTCCAACCCCGCACACTTCCTCGCACACTGCAACACATCCCAATCACCAGATGCTCTCCGGCAGGTGGTGAGTTACCTTTCAAGACGCTGCAGAAGGATCTGAGGTTGGGCAGCAGGTTGTTTTTGACCATGGGACAGGCGGCGGCGTCGTCTTCGCAATCGAGGCTCGGATGGGCCAGCACCTCCATGAAGACGTGCTCGATGACGCGCTGTATGCTGGTCACCAAGCCGACGCTTCGGGCGTTGATCACGCCGCCGAAGAGGTCCTGCGGAATGGAGCAATTTTGACTTCTGGTGCTGGTTAGTTGGAACGCTTTGGAGGTGAATGGGATAGGAAATAGATGAGTTTACTCCGTAGGTAGCGAGTAAATCGTGGGGTCTAGGTTATTTGGTGGTTATCAGGAGGAATTAAGATGCAGTTTGGAGGTCTAGGGGTCTAGAAATAGAAGAGTTTCCTCAATAGGTATCATGCAATTTGTGAGGTCTAGGTTATTTGGTGCTCAGGTGAGGTGTTAAGAAACACTTTGGAGGTTTAGAGGATAGGAAATAGATGAATTTACTCCGTAGGTATCATGCAAATCGTGAGGTCTAGGTTATTTGGTGCTCAGGTGAGGCATTAAGAAACACTTTTGTGAGGCGAAGGGGTTTAAAAATAGAAGAGGTAAGTACTTAATTACCTTGACCACCGGGTTATCCTTAGTATTACCTTTTGGAAGCCTTCTTCGGGTAGCTGTTTACCGCAATTCGTCCTGAATATATACACCAGAGTACCTCTGAGAGGCACATCGACACCGTCGGTGAGAAACAGCCTCTTCTTGTCGGCGAGCGGCTGCAGCAAGTTGCTCCTGCTGGTGGTCGGCTGCAATTGCTGCTGTCTCAGCGCCGGCTTGGCGACGGCGTCGACCGCCTCCGCGGCCGGCTCCTCCGCCTCCTGGTAGAACCACATCACGTGGGTCTTCATGTGCGGCAAAAACAGCTGGTTGATCTCGTCGAGCATGTCGCCTTCGAAGACGTGGTCCATGATCTCGTTGCGCGGCAACCCGGTGGCGTCCATCAGCAGCTGGAAGGTGAACTCCAGCCGGGGGTCCATCTCGCCGCGGCGCGCCTTCCGTTCGCATTCTTCCCGACGGCGCTGCGGAGTGAAGGAAAAAAAATTGGAAAAATCACCAGGAGGTGCAGCTGGTCGACCTGGGGGAGACTGCCGAATTAAATGTTAAATAAAATTAGAAAATCACCAGGAGGTGCAGTGAGTGGACCTGGGGGAGACTGCCGAATTAAATATGCAATAAAATTAGAAAAATCACCAGGAGGTGCAGTGAGTGGACCTGGGGGAGACTGCCGAATTAAATATGAAATAAAATTATAAAAATCACCAGGAGGTGCAGCTGGTCGACCTGGGGGAGACTGCCGATTTAAATATGAAATAAAGTTAGAGAAATCTGCGGGAGGTGCAGTGAATGGACCTGGGGGAGACTGCCGAATTAAATATGAAATAAAATTAGAAAAATCACCAGGAGGTGCAGCTGATGGACCTGGGGGAGATACCTACGATGAGGAGCTTCTCGGGATCGTCGTCGTCGTCTTCGAAGTCCTCTTCGGAGGTGGAGGCGACGTGGATGTTGTGCACGAACATGTTTAGAGCTTAGAGTATGGATTTGTAGTGCAGGTGTTGGTATAGAGTGAGAGAATTGTACGTGGGGGAGGTGGAGGAGGAAGAGGTGTGAGGGTTAATTTGAGCGAATAGCACGCTGTAACTGGCACCGATTTCTCTAATCAATGCCCTTATACAAGGGCTCTTTTGCATTTTACTCTGGAGGTTTTCGTTGAAGCGGTTTTTTGTCTGTTACTCAGGTTGTCCCTATCAATTTTTTTGACAGCGGTGTATACGTCACTACTATTCGAGTGTTCTTATTGGTCGGTGAAAGAAGTTTTAAGCATTGTGATTGGTTGTGATTGGCGTAATTAGAATTTCTTTAGAGCGGTATTCGGGGCGGTTTCAGAGCGGTTTTAAAGCGGTTTTTAAAGTGTAATTAGAACTACATTAGAGAAGTATCTGTGGCGGTTTTAGAGTGGTTGTAAAGCGTTTTTAGAGCGGTTTTTAAAGAGTAATTAGAACAGTAATAGCGGTCTCAAGGGCGGTTTTCAAAGAGCAATTTTAGAACTGCTTTAGAGCGGAATCTGGGACGGTTTTAGTGGGTTTTAAAGCGGTTTTTAAAGTGTAATTAGAAGTACAATAGAGAGATTTCTGGGGAGGTTTCAAAGCGGTTTTAGACCGTTTTTAGAGCGGGATTTAAATGGTAATTAGAACAGCAATGGAGCGTTCTCAGGGGCGGTTTCAGCGCGGTTTTTAAGTGCAATTTTAGAACTGCTTTAGAGCGGTATCTAGGGCGCTTTTAGAGCGGTTTTGAAGCAATTTTAGGTCAACTAATTTATCGTTTTTTAACCTATACCTATGCAAATATTAAATCAGAACACGAATTTATTAATTACATACGATTCACATTGTATATTTTTATAATTTTACTTACATTTTGGGTATCTTCGCTGAGCGATCGGCTGGGTAACGCTAGATTTCTGATACCTTGCAAGAGGACCAGGCATTTTTTCGCAGTTTTCGATCGATCCTCTTCCATTGTATATTTCCCCTAAATACCCCTAAATCCCCTAAACACCCTAAACCTCCTAACCTTCCCCTAGATATCCCGTAATTCCCGAAATTTCGCCTAAAACTTTCCTCGAACGCGAGTATAATGGTTTCTACTGGGTATAGAAAAATTACTCGGACCATGACAACTTCAGTTTGATCGAAATCCGACGATTATCGGCACGTTATCCCGATGGAAAAATGGAAAAACTCGACGATTTATCTACCTGTGGGGTTGTTTCTGTATAATATAGATGGCATTGCGATAGGAAACTTTTGTTTTCATTCATTTTAAATGCCACGAATACGTGAAATAATGAGATTTATAACAGGTAGATTAATAGGTCAAATTATGGAGCTCAATTAAGAAGGATCAAATGATGAGATTAGGTCAAATAATAAGATTTCTAACAGGTAGATTAAAGGATGTGAATAGGTCGAATTATGGAGCTCAATTAAGGAGGATTAAATGAAGCGATTAGGTCAAATTATGGAATTTAATGAAGGAAGATCAAAAGATAAATAGATCAAATTATGGAGCGGGATCAAAGGATGAGATTAGGTCAAATTTTGAAATTTAATGGAGGAGGATCAAAGGATATGCATAGGTCAAATTAAGAAATTCATGTTATTGAGTTTGCATCTGGAGGATCATAGAAAATTGATAAATCAAACTACATATCAGGATATATATGTAAATTCAATTCAAGCGATACTCCCTTTATTAGAGATACAATTAAGTTTTCTTGGTACTGTAATATAATTTTGTTGCTTCAGCAAATACAATAAAATAGTTCATCTACTTGGGTTACTTAGGCTCTACATAATTTCATCTACTCAGGCTTTCTGAGCTCCAACACGAAGCGCTTTATTTCTCTATCAAATAATTATATCTTCTCCTAGTATCTACTACTGTATAGAACTTCTGCTATATTCTTTCTAAGGTTTAATTATTTATTTATTTAGAGTACTCACTTTATTAAGTTCTTCATCATCGGCCATTTCAGTCGAACTTCTTTACTGTAACTGTAACTAGCCGGTTACATTACCTATTCGCATGTCGATCGCGATAAATTAAAGGAGAAACTTTTCCGGCAAAATCCGGGGTAGAATTATTGTAAATAAATCGCGCAGGGCCGGCTCGCTTACCAAGCGAGTTTGTTGAAGGGGACAAAACAAAACCGGTAACGAAACTTTGCAATAAAATTAATACCAAATCGCCCGTTTGTGCAAGCGCAGAAACATCCAGAACCGGTCCTGTACTGACGCTCGGAAAGTTCGCGATGATTAGATTCGTTATATGCGAAAAACCGGTCCTGTAATTTGGTTTTATTCGGTCCCATCATGTCTTCGTTTCTATTAATTTTAACCGATCACGAATCTGTATGTTTTTTTTTCGAAACGACGATTGAATATAGATTACGCGAAACGGGGTATTATTTTTGCTATATTATAATAAATGTATAATTTTAGATGCACGCCAGGCCAACTTCGATTTGTAGAAACATATTTCGATTTAATTTTAATCATTTTTTTTATCGGTCGACGAGCGATGTTTGTAATACGTTTTCCGCTTTTATCTACTCATTATCGAGCTATTTCAGTGGCGTACGCGTTAAATTAAATTAATTATACGTTAATTAAATGCTCGTTAGGTTTATTTGACGTGTGACAGCGAGGGCTGTCAATTTAGAGTTTTTTTTTTATTTAGTAGAAAAATCGCAGTTGTTACGCCACTGGTGGATATGCGAAATGCTCTACAAAAACCGCATTATCCTCGACAAATGATGGTTAACAAGTTAATCGATCGTAGAGCTGGTTTAAGTAAATAAAACCGATTCGATACGGGTACTAAAATTAATTTTGTAATAATATATGCGTATGGAAATTTTATTAAATCAGAGATTATTCGGAAGTTTTTAGTTTTAGTTCGGCTATGGCAATGGACGCGCCTAATTATTCCTCCTCTCAAGGTCAGTCTAATTAAAAATATGCTAATTTAACAATTAAAAGATAGTTAATCAAGTTTTTACCTTGTTTTCGTTTGAATCTTTCCTCACAAACTGTCAATCTGTCAACTCGTGATCACAAACTGTCAATGTCAAATCGGTTCTAGTTTCTAACTGAAATGGAAGTAAATATTATAATTAATTGATTCTTACAACTTTTAACGAGACAATTAAAAGATAATCGCCCTTTTTTCGTTCCTTTTTTTCGTTTTCGTTCGAATCTTTTCTAACAAACTGTCAATCTGTCAACTTGTGACAAAACAAACTGTCAATGTCAACGTGGTTCTAAACGAAATGTAATTACATTCTCTACGTGTAATTAAATTGTAATTCAACGATGATTACAACTTTTAAACTCTCCGAAATATACAGGGAAATTCCAAATTCAACGAAAACGGTAAGGAAGGATACCGAACCGAAGGTCGCGATCGTTCGCGTTCGGGTCTCCACCACGTCAAATCGACCAATCAAAACCGTCGAATTTTATGTACGAATTTCAGATGCTCACCGCTACGGAAATGAAGCTACACCGTTGATAAACCGATCCGAATACTGGGAAACTTACCTCAGGTACAAACTATTCCACAAAATAGCCATGAGCACGTTGGCGTTTCTATTGATCCTCGGAATGATCGTTGGAATTTATCTGCTGTTTCTCGAAGGTAAGTAAAATGGCGCGTCTTGTCTTCTACCTGCCTCTACCTACGCGGACATCCAGCTACCAATCTTAAAACTGTCAACTGTCATTTCAATTACAGACGAGGAACGCGCCTACTTCGCGCTGATCAAACGGCCGCAATGGACTCGAATCGAACGGAAAATCGATTACGCGCCGCTCGCGTTGCCCGTGAATCGAATCGAAATGGTGGCGTTGGAGGATCGAAAGTGCGCGAACGAAGCCCTGAGCACGCCGAAGTGTTTGCGGTACGTGCAAAAGAAGCACATCAGAAAATCCAGGGACGGATCGGACATTTCCTATAACTTCATAGTGGACGGTAACGGGACGTTCTACGAGGGCAGGGGCTGGAGGGAGGCCGACGAGAAAGGGGGATTCGCCGTCGCCGCGTTATTGGGTAAGTTCGATTTGACGTTTGACTTGTCACTTGTCACTTTGTACGAAATACGAGGGGAGTTCGTAATGTTGCGTTTTTACAGGTAATAGAAGTAACAGAACGTCCGATGATGTTAGAAACGTGGAAATTTCGCTGTACAATTTCTTAAAAATGGCGGTGGATAAGCGTTATGTAGTCGCTTGTTTCGATATAAACTCTGATAATTCCACCGTGATAAAGGAAGTGGTAGAGTTTGTAAAAACGCTAAGAACTTGCCATAATTCGACTGTTTAATTTTTTTAATTGCGAATAAATTATTACGATTTTTCTTCTTCTTTTGACTATTTGTCTTTACCTATGTAGCTGAGCAGTTCGGTTAATTTCGGAACGCACTTATTTACCTAAGTAGATCAAACGACATGACACTGTTGACAGTAGTTCAAACGTCACAATTGTCAAATATATGTTTATTTTTGACGGGAAAAAATGCAAAAGTTCCAACGTGGAGTTTTGGTCGTCGCGAGATTTAGCCCGTCTCTTAAGTTTCCTGAATAAAACGTCCGATTTTTCAATTTAAATCAGCATTAGAATAACAAAATGGCGGTAAGTACAATCGATACACCTCCGTACCCCGCGAATCACTCAAATTTCTCCGTTCCAGCCGCAGCCGAAGGGAAAACAGGGCACGAAAGGGGCCAAGCAAATAGCCGATGAGAACGTTTCCACGTTGAAATTCTACCGAAACATGGCCGTTTTTTCCAACGCTTTTTCATTGATCGTCTTGTACTTTTTCAACTCCACCATTAGCATAGTGAGTTTCGACCTTCAAAACACCCTATCAGACCTAAGATTATTGTTTTTTTAGGCGTTGTATTTATTCTCGTGCATGATTTACATAGCCTGCTACCAATTCATGGCGTACATGGCGAGGGCCCGTTACACGGACAACGGGCAGCTACTCGACAGCGGAGTCGATCTCAACATGGAAGGAGGCATCGCAGAGTGCGTTTCACGCTAACTACTACATACAATTACTAATTGGCTGAATTTCAGGCACGTAAAAGACATCATCATACTAACGGCCGGTTGCCAGATCCTCTCGTCGATGATATCGAACTATTTCTGGTACCTGTGGCTGCTCGCCCCGCTCCGAGGCTTCTGGATACTATGGAAGAACCTCCTGCAACCCTACTTTATGCAATCGAACTCCGCCGAACCCGAAGTCAACGAGAAGAAACAGAAGAAAATGGAGAGGAAAATGAAACGGATGCAGCAGAGATAGTCGATGGTGAACTAACCGATTAATCGGTAGAGACTAAAATAGTAGATGTGTACAGGTGCTGGATGAAAACGAATAACTTCTTTGGAATTTTTATTTACAAGAACCTATGAGGTAGATAAGCGACGCTGTCTCGTATCCTTTTACCCCGCAAAGTGACCGCTTTAGGTAGAACGCTGTCTCTCACATGTATCCCCCTTTTTCCGGGCGTCCAACCCTGGAAAATGCATTCGTCGAAGTAACAACTTATCGCAACCCATCCTACACACAAAAAAAAACATTAAATCCTACCACACATCGTAATACCACGAATCATTACCAGCATTCGACAGAACCACATCCTTCGTCGAAAACCTCTCGTGCACCCCCTTCACCGTAAACCTCCTCCCCGCCTCCAACCCGGGCCACTTCCCCAACCGATCCCCTTCATCTATCGGCACCCGAAACAACTCCGTCCCCAAACACCCCGCGTACACCTCATCGGCCTTCTCGATCTCACACACAGTCACCGGTAGCTCGTTCGACCTGAACACGGTGAGTCTCACCGAGCCCGGTCCTTCTATGTAATCCAATCGAGCCAATCCGGCGATGAACAGGCTCGACCCTGGCCTCACGCAGAACGTCTCCGGCCTGATCAGCTCCTTGGGCAGCGCCAGCACCAGCTCGTCGAGCGTCAGCAGATCGAGCATCTGGTCCGGGTGCACCACGCCCGGCGTATCGTAGCACCATCGGCTCGATGCGAAGTCCGGATGGTGTTCCCTCAAACCGGGATCCAAGCCGTGGGTTTGTCGGTGTACGGTGAAAGTGTCTTCGGGTTCGTTCGTGTGGAAAGTTTGCGGAAACGTTCGCTCGATTCTGCCCATTAAAGTGGCGTTTTCGGGGGTGTTGTGCTGCTGTAGGGCCTCCTTGCGGCGTTCTTCTTCGGCTACGAGGCGTTTGTTGGTCTCGAAGAGCCTGGCGGAGCGGTAGTAGAGGCGGTAGTGGGAGGCTCGTGCGACTGGGAATTTGAGTAGGTTTAAAGTGGTGCCGGGCCAGTGGCTGATGGTGGCCCGTTGGATGAGATCGGAGACCTGGTGTTTGCAGTAGTCGGAGGCCAGCAGTGAGTTGAACAGGCTGGATTTGCCGACGTTGGTGCAGCCCACCAGGTAGACGTTTTTGATCGACCATTGTCGTTGTAGGGTGTTGATGAGGTCTTCGATGCCGTAGCCCGTTTTGGCTGATACGAGTACTGTATCGGTTATGTTGGCTGTTCCGAAACCGGTGAGTTTGATTTGTTCGAGTAGTTGGCGTTTGATGTGGGTGAGGTAGCGATTGGTGTCTTTGGGTAGCAGATCGATTTTGTTGCCGACGAGGACGATGGGGGTTTTGGGGCCGAATATATCGGCGATGCCGGGCCATATGGAGCAAGGGAAATCGGTTAGATCGACCGTTAAAAGTACGAGGGATTTCCTGGGGTTGATGGAGGCGAGGATCTTGGGATAGTCGTCGGGCGATACTCGCACTTGAAGGGCTATGTTGTGCTCCTTGAGGAAGAAACACCGTTGGCATACGAGGGATTCGAGTCGTTGGGCTTGGTGTTTTTCGGTCGTTTTGAATATCTCCGACGGGATGTAACCGGGTATGGAGGCGTCCTGGAAATATATTCGTAATTATTATCGAATGTACGAGGGTGAATTGATCGTACTTTGCAATGGATGAAGGCTCCGCAGCCACCGCACGGTACGTTGCTGATGTTGCTGCGGGGATCCGGAGTGCCGTAATTAATGACGTCATCTTCTACGTTGCTGGTGTCTTTAATGTCGCACTCTAGATTCTCGTAGGCGTTCATCCAATTTCGCAGTTGCTCGTTTCTCTCTCTTATTTCTTTATCGACTCTCTCCGACATCGTTTTCGCTTCTTCGATGTCTTCTTTAATGTGCACCTCATTGACTGCGCTATTGTTGCCGCTGAAAGGAAATTGTACGCGTTTATTTTCGCTTTTTGTTGGTGGTTCGATCGTTTTGGGTTCTTCGATTACGGTTTCGTTGTTTACGAATTTCAATGATAGTGGTAGAGGATCTATTCCAGCCCATCTGCGGGCTTCTAGCGCTTTGCGTTTGTCGTGGAAATCGGTTTTGTGTCTCACTTTGACTACTGAATTGAATAGGATTTGTTTTTTTAGGCGAGTTAGTTTGTCTTCATCGATGTCGGCTAGTTTCGCGTTCGATGGTAAAAAATTGGATGTCGATAGGGATTTGATGAGGCCTGAAATGTAAGTATTCGTTATTTTCGATATATTGGTTGGTCTGTAACGATTTATTAGTAACATTGTTTGTTTTTAATATATTTACTATGTATAGGTTAGAATCGAAAATTGTTAGGTTATGTATCAAATCAGTGTCAATACGCTAAAAAAGAAGAATTATAATTTGAGATTTGGGGTGTAGTTGATTTGGATTCCTTATCTACACATTGATAAAGAAAAGGGCGAAATAGATTTAGTTTTTTACTCAAAATATAGTAAAAGTATTAAAAACAATAATTCTTTCGATTTTTTTTGACAACTGACAGCTAATTTTTTTTTTGTATCTTTTCAAGGTCTCGTTCTATTCGGTTTCACAGCCAATATTGTGTCGCCACAAAAAAAACCAAAATCATTTAATAAATTTGTATCACAAACAACATTTGATGCCTTTTTAGTAATAAGTGCGATTTTAAATGTTCATCATAATTATACTGTTGCAACTGACACAAAATATCCATCAACTCCTAAAAGTATGCAACACTCATGACAAGTCTCACAAAACCCAACTCGACATTACAAACAACACTATTTCTCACATTACCTCGAATTAAACACAATTGTAAAACAAATAATTTATTCCCAACAATATTTACACAATATTTTAAACTACAATCTACCAAACTATTGCAAATAAACCATCAAACACACCAAAACCAAAACCGGATTGAGCACGGCCATCATCGATCCCGAATCGATTCCGAACCCATCGAAAATCACTCGATCATCATCGATTTCCTTCGCCAAACCGTACACTTTATTACCACAAACCAACGGACTGCCTGGCATCAAATCCGTGATATTCAAATCTCCCGCCTCCACCTCGAACCCATCCTCCTCCTTCACAGCCGACTCGACCTGTCTGTGAACCACCGCCTCGTTTTCCAGAGTCACAAAAACGCAGTTATCCAGATTTCTATCGCTCGTAGCCGCCTCGATGAACGTGGTGAAATTATCTTCCTCCAAGCTGAAAGTCACTATGTCTTTGTAGTGGGGTTTATCGATGGTGACTTCGACGGTGGTGTTGTCGTAGGGCGATTGGGCGTACATTTTGGACAACTCCAACTCCTCTTTGATGCTCGAGTAGACATCTTTGTTTACAGCCACCCGTTTGCCGGTTAAAACTCCCAGGAAAGTAGAATTTTCCAGCGTTAGTTTGATGTTGTCCAGTAGGTCTTTAAAAGCGGTGACGTTCTCCACGTTCTCCACGTCCAACTCCATGATGTCCCAGAGATTCTTCGCCTCGACTCGATCGAAATTGTGCGACTTCAGTATCTCCAGAAACTCCCGCCTGCTTTTGGACCTCACGATGTCCAAGGCGTGGTCCCTGCAGGCTTCGAACAGCTCGTTTCTGGTCCTGTTGATGGCCCCCAACGCCATCTCCAGAGTGGTTTCGTTGAAGGTGCCCCTCTTGAAAACCTCCCAAGGATCTGGCTCACCGAAGGTCATGGCGTCCGAGAAATCCCCGGTTCTCACGCCGAACGCCACCAGGAAGTTCCTCAAAGGTAACCCGGTGATCCCCAGGTTCCCCATCAACACCGAGTTGTAGAAGTCCTTGAACCCCACGCGGAACTGCGAGAGGTACACCGATAGACCGTCGATGCTGAATATCCTGGAGGTGTCGTAGCGCAACCGCTCCAAAACCTCCACGGTTGCAGATAAATTCACGTTCTGCAGGCCGTATAAAGCGATCATGTCCTCGGTGGTGGTGTTGGCGGAGCCGTTGAAGATGGTGTCCAGCAGGTAGCCGGGGATTTTCTCGGTTTCGAGGCCGAAGACGAACTTCACGAGGTACTCGAAGGTCTCCTCGGGTGCTGGAGTTGTTGCGTTGGTTGTAGTGGTGGTGTTGTGGGTTTGGCCTTGGACCTGGTGGAGGAGGCACAGCAGGAGGACCGGCAGGATATTGACCATGGTTGGTGACTTACTGAAAACGAGGAAGTGCTCTGTTAAATGCGATGATGATGGCAAAAAAAGGGATCTTCCTGGAGGAAGAGGAAGATGTTTTTGGACTGTTTCGACCAGAAAAGAACTCCTTCTGAGGAGAATTTAAGAATGGTGCCTTCAAGAGGATTAAAGTTGCCTATAAGAAGGCTAAGTACGAGTCCAAGGGGTAACATTTTGAAGCAAATTTCAACCAGAAAAGAACTCTCTTGTAAGTGAAATGTAAGTGAAAATAAGAGAAAGATGCCTCAAAGAAAACTAAAAATATTTCTAAGATTAGGTATGAATCCAAGAGGTACTATGTTGTAGAGAATGTATTTGAACCAGAAGAAGGCCTTAAGGAAGAGGTACTAAAAATTTTCTTTTATAGTAAATGTACTTTTACGAAAATTGTGCCATATTGAAGAAAGAAAAAAATGGAGAATCGAAACTTACCGAATTCGTGAGAAAGTCTCAAGTAAGATATATACAGGGCGTCGAGAAAATCCTCTTATCTCCACCAGACTGCACACCAAACAATTGGACTAAATTGAACAATGCGATTAGATAATTTTTTTAAATAATTTTTTTATAGGGAACTGGAGCGAACACTCGGGAGGAATTAATTCAACTGTGTTTGTTGTTAATTAACCAATCAACCGAACTACTTAATGCGCTAATTGCACAAAAACTAAAAATACATTTTTTTCGACAATTTTATTCGCTCGCTTATTATTTGGTATGGTTTATTTTTTTATTTATTTTAAGAGCGCGCTAAATAGGATTATACAATGCGAACTTACCTTAAAAATAGAGCGGATGAATTTTGGCCTCGGTCCTGCGAGAGAAACTGGGCGTTGGGAAAAATGTATTCTAATTAATGTAATTTTAATTTATCATCAGCAGGGGACTTTATCTTTCCTTGTATATCTTCGGTTGTCACCAAATCAAACAAAAATCCTTTTTGGAGCGAAATCCAAACAAGACCATAAAGATAAGAAATGTACCTAATATGATTCGAATGTCGCGCGTTTTCAAGGTCCCCAAAAGTGATCCGAGATCGAAAAAATTGGAGCGGGAGATTTTTAGTTTTTTTTTTTACATTTTATTATACACCGTTAAATATTTTACAAGGCCGTAAAATGATGATTAAAAGTGTACACACGAGCATACGAATCGTGTATACAGCGTGTGTTATAATGATGGGGAATCGGAAGCGTTTGAAAATTGGGACATACTGTATATTTGAAATATATGTACATTTTGTATATGTGTATGTACACTTTTTTTGTAGAATTCTTTATGAGACACACTGTATATTTGAAATCTACGTAAATTTTAGAGTTCGTTTTTCTAGAATTCTTTATGGGACACACTGTATATTTGAAATCTACGTAAATTTTAGAGTGCTCTTTTCCAGAATACTTTTAGGGACACAATGTATAGGTATTACTGTATAGTTGAAATCTACATAAATTTTAGAGAACTTTTTTTCAAGAATACTCTATGAGACACACTGTATATACCCTAAAAAGCCCTTTTCTTTTTTATGTTTGGTTCACTGCGAATTTCTATACGCATGAAGTTAGCACCAAGAACCAAGAACTGGCTGGATACATGTAAGAGAAAAGGCCATAGTGGCCTTGTAATATTCTGTATTTAGGTACTTTGAATTATCGAAATTTCCGACAAAATCGAATCAAATCGAGCCAATATAAAATTAAATTTAAGCTACTTTAAATTAATTCACACATTTCCTTTTTTTTATCCAAACAAAATTGACATTTGACAAGCCACATTGACGTTTCGACGTCACAATATGACGTACGATTCGTAACACAACCAGCAAAACAAGAAGTGAATTCCTCGCCAAAAAACTTCCTATCAGCTGTTTACTTTACACAGTGGGTGTATTTATCGATAACAATGCGAAAACAACGCAACTTTCTCATGTGATTCGCCATTATTTATCCAAAATGGCCTAAAAATCGCCAGCGACTCGACCCGAAAACCCAACGAAGAATCTTCCAAAAAAACAACCAAAAAATAGCAGCTCCGAAGACCAACAACACAACAACAATGGATAGAGGCTCCTACGAGCGGCTCAGCATCCGAGACTCCGCGCAATCCTTAAAAAAATACGGCAGCACCAGCAGGCACGTCACCAAACCGGACACCTTCATCAAGCACTACGTCGACAACGCGGACACCCTGCAGGGCATCGCCCTCAAATACGACGTCACGGTACCCCCAACCCCCCATTCCACCCAATCTCCACCCTTCTAAAACCTCCCTTCGGCTTTCAGATCGAGCAAATCCGCAGGGCCAACAAGCTGTGGACATCGGACAGCCTCTTCCTCAAGGAGCACCTTCTCATACCCCTCGACGCGGCGTCGGGAGCAGCCAGTGACGTCAGGCGTCTGGATAGGGACCGGCCGAGCTCCGTCGCGACGTCCGATTCGATCCGCAGCGGTTCCTTCGATGAGGAGGACGTCGACGGGTTCCTGGGGAAAATCGACGCCGCCATTGCGAGCACTAAGGAGGATGTCCGGAAGACCACCAGAAATAGTGAGTAAGTGGTTTGAGGTTGCTTAAGGAAGAGGCACTCTTTTCGAACGGATTTAATATTGCGTAGACTGAACCTTTTCGAACCGAAAGTGGCTTCTGTATGTGCAAGTAAAAGGCCAGTTGATTTACTCTGACGTGTTTTATTGCAGATTTGCGACGGGTTTAGAGCACTCCGATCGAAGACATCCGGCTGTATCGAGGATGAAGCAGCTGGTGAATAATAATATGTCTTTGTCGAACGAGGCGGATTTTAGTAGAGGGCACGATCAGGAGGCGGTGCAGGGCGTCGCGACGCCCGTCGTGGGGGCGGCGGTGTTGCCGCAGCGGGGCAAGAAGGTGCGGAATTCGATCAGGCAGCACGAAAGGCAACAGGACGAGTTGTTTGAGTTGTAGAACGAGTAGATCGAGGTGTGTGATTTTTTTCGGAAAAGAAGAAATGAGGGAAGAGAAACGGATTTTTCAAGATAGCTAAAGTGTTTTTTTTTTTTTCTATAAAAGTTTCTCTTGCCTTGTTTTTTTTATTTCGAAATTATTGTATATCGATAAGTGTTTGTTCTACGCGAAACTATCTTGTTGGCTGTTGGATGTTTCGGAAATTTTCTTTGAAACTCTCACAATTTCCTATGGGTTTTTTTTTGTTCATAAAATGCACGGTGCTGTGTTAATTGTTTATTATTTTTTTGTTTAAATAGGTAATCCGTAATTAGTTGTTTACTTAGGAGCGCCTACGATGAGATTATTTTACGATTCACTGCGAATGAAATAACAATTCTACTATTTACGTATAAATAACTGTGTGTACAAAGTGTTGTAAATAAAGTTATTTTGTTATGTACTGATTAATATATACATATATTTTCTTTGTATGCTAAAAAGTTTTATTTACGCAATTCGGTGGAAATGTTTTCGATCCGGCAACAGCGCTCCCCGCTGGGCAGTGAATCTAGGAATAAATACATACATCTTGCTCCATTTCCGATTGCAACATGGTCGTTTCTATAAGTGGAACAAAGAAAGATTATTAAAACGACAGTTGTCAGAGTGAAAAGTTGTAATGACACAAATGTCACTCTTTCCTTTTTCTTTGTAAATGTCTAATGGAAGTTGTCTTTATCGTACCCATAGATCTATACAACCTATAATGCAATCAAAAATGGAGCAACCTGTATGAGTAAGTGCAAATGTAATCAATTTCAGGTCAAAAACATGGCTCGTATAAAATAATGGGCAAATTGTGTGAGACTCTACTTATACGAAGGCCTCGCCTAAATACAGTACTAGTGGAGGCCGCCAGTTTAGAAAAAAAAGAAGATACATGCATACGTTTCGACTTTTGACATATGACGTGACATAACCTCAATATACATTAGATCTGTTTATCCAATTTTGCGAAGAATTTCGGCTTTAAATTAAACACAAACCACCCCAAATGTTCCTAAACCTAGTGTCATGAAAAACGTGTATTTCATATATCTCCTAGTCGTAAGTATTTATCGCATTACACCAACCATTCGTGGGCGAAATTCCGGCGAATGCCGGCCCATTTCCTCGCCAATTAATCATCGCTAATAATTTCAGTTCATCACATTTCACATGGTACAATGCACTTCGAAGGCGAACAAAAAATTAGCAGCCGAAGATGTAGCTGACATGAAAGAATTCAAGAAGCTGCTCAGGACCAAAACTAACATCCTGGCGTGCTTCTACAATTCCCACAAAGAATCTCAACACGTCATCAAACTGTTTAAAGAAGTAAGCGATATTATTAAAGGAGAAGGTACGATGATACTCGTGGATTGCTCGGGGTAAGTAACGCAGTGTATTGTATAATATATCGTTGATTAATCGAGTAATGTTGTTGTAAAGGGCCGCGAAGAAAATGTGCAAGAAACTGAAGATACCGGACAACGAACCGTTCGCTATCCGCCACTATAAAGATGGAGATTTCAATAAAGTGTATGATCGAAAGTTAACCGTTAGCTCGATGACGAATTTCATGCGAGATCCCACAGGGGATATTCCTTGGGAAGAGGACTCCACGGCGAAAGATGTCCTGCATATACCCGATTCAAACGTAAGAAATCCAGTGTGGTCTTTAATAACGCGACAACGCAGCCAACTGTTGAACGAAATACACCGCTGCAAAGCGCTCTTAACTTCCCAATGACATTTCCATCATAAAAAAAAAAACATCTCATTTCACGCTAAATTCATTGTCACGCCATCGAACTCTATGCGATGGTAACAAACCGATCGAAGTCGACAACATGTTAGTCGCCCGCCGATCGATGCCTAATCATGCCCGCCTGGTTTCAGACGTTAGTGAAGCTGATCAAAAAGGAGCCTCGACCGCTCCTCATCCTGTTCTACGCGCCCTGGTGTAGCTTCTGCAAGTCCCTGAAACCCGACTACGCCGACGCCGCTGCAGATCTCAAAGGCGACGCCGTCTTGGCCGCCATCGACGTCAATCGACCCGAGAACACCGTCGTCAGGAACCAATACAACATCACCGGCTTCCCCACGTTGCTCTTCTTCCAGTTAGTATTACTTATATTGCAAATTTATCTAACCGATGTAGTTATATTGTGTTGTAGAAACGGCGCGATGAAGTTCACGTACGAAGGCGAAACGAAAAGGGCGTCGTTGGTGTCGTTTATGCGCGACCCGGCGGAGCCGCCGCGACGCCTCAAAGAACCCGAATGGTCGGAGACCGACAACGACGTGGTGCACCTGACTTCGACCAGCTTCGATCCGGTGATCAAAGAGGAGGCTTCGGCTTTGGTGATGTTCTACGCGCCGTGGTGCGGCCATTGTAAGCGCATGAAGCCCGAATACGAGGCGGCCGCCGCCCGCATGAAATCCGAAGGGGTGCCGGGCATGTTGGCCGCCGTCGACGCCACCAAAGAGCCGTCGATAGCGTCGCGGTACTCGGTCAAGGGCTATCCGACGTTGGTGTATTTCGCGTCGGGCGAACGCCGGTTCGACGTGAACGCGCGCGACGCCGCCAAGATCGTCGAGTTTATGAGAGAGCCGAAGGAGCCGCCGCCGCCGCCGCCGCCCGATCGTCCTTGGTCCGAGGAGCGATCGGACGTGGTGCACCTCGACGAGGAGACGTTCAAGCAGTTTTTGAAGAAGAAGAAACACGTGCTCGTCATGTTTTACGCTCCTTGTAAGTGTAGTGTTGTAGTATGTAGATTGGATTTTTTTTGGTAAATGAATGATTGATTTTTAGGGTGCGGACATTGCAAACGGGCCAAGCCGGAGTTTGCGAACGCGGCGGCCGAATTTAGGGACGATCCGAAGGTGGAATTCGCCGCCGTCGATTGTACCGTACATCAATCGGTGTGTTCGGCCAACAACGTTTCGGGTTATCCGACGATTAAATACTTCAGTTACTTCAACAAGAACATCAGAGATTATTCGGGTGGTCGTACGGTACGTTTTCTTCCTTCTTTACTTAAACCGCTTGAAAAGTTCTCGGCCTGAATCATTTAGAACTGCCTAGAGCGCCTTAAAATCATTTAAAACTATCCGGAACTAAAGATTTCGACTGAATAACAAGAATAATCTAATTTTTTTTTTATTGAATATCGCTTCCATTGTCAGTCCGAGAACTTTTCACCTTATACCCTTTGTACAAAAGAGACTCTTTTAGTAGTAGAGTAAAGTAGATTTTTTGTTTTGATTTTGTAGGCGATCGATTTCGTGTCTTTCATGAAAGACCCGGAAGCGCCGGCGCCGGCGCCGCCGAGCCCGTCGTCGGGCAGACCGGCCGATTGGGTGCTGGACCCGGCGATCATCAAATTGACCGATAAGAATTTCAAGGAGCGGCTGCGCACCAACGACATCGTCCTGGTGATGTTCTACGCCCCTTGGTGCGGCTACTGCAACAAAATGAAGCCGGACTATTTCAGGGCGGCGAAAGAGTTGAGCGCCATCGGCCACAAACAATGCATGGCGATGGTGGATTGCTCGGAGAATCCGGACGTGGCCGACGAGTTCAAGATCACCGGTTTTCCGACGATCAAATTGTTCAAGAACGGCAAGTTCGTGATGGATTATACCGGTAAGAGGACGCACGACGATTTGAAGAGGTTCGTTTTGGATTATATCAAATCCACGGAGAAGACCGAATTGTAAAACTTTATTTTTTTCTTCTATTATTGTACGTTTTTGAACGATTTCTACTATCTCTTTTTTTTATTACTCTTTTAATCAAGGCTCAAACTCGTTTTTAAATACAGGGTGTCCCAATGAAAAGTAGTCCCTTTAGTGAGGTAATAATTTTAAACGCCTAATCATAAAAACATGCAGTTTTCGCAGGTATTGTTATTTTGCTAAAACTTTTTTTTACGGTGACACAAAAATTTTGTATCGCCTGTACAGGGTGTATCATAAAAATCTCTTTTAAATTCACATTAACCAAATTTTATGAAATAGGACATCTTCTTTTGTAGAAGTAATTATCTTTCAAAATACCTCTATGGTATTTTTTCTACATATACCATTTATAAAAAATGGTTACTGTGAATTTAAAAGAGGAGATTTTGATAAAACACCCTGTATTGGTAATGCATAATTTCTGTATCACTGTAACAAAACTTATAATAAAATAAAACATATTTGAGAAAACCGCATGTTTTTATGATTAGGCGTTTAAAAATTATAAGCTCAATAAATGGGCTACTTTTCATTGGGACACCCTGTACTTTAACGGTGACTAATAAAATAAAAAAAATCAATCTATAATTTTGGAAGTATTAATGAATAAAACTTTTTTTACGAACCATTGGTTTTTGATAACATGGTACACCCTATAAAAATGCGACCGAAAATATGTAAAACTTTCAAACAAAATCTATACAATATTTAATAATTATATTTATACAATTATCGCGGTAGATTTTTCGATTTTCAACAAAATTTTTCAAAATTCTACTGCGATATTTTTATAATATACAAAATATAGTAGGAAATAAATTTAAAGCGAGTGAATAATTTGCGTAAAATAAGGTAAAATAAAAAAATAACTTCTTTTCCAGAAAAAAAAAAAACCCTAAAGTCGAGTAAAAATGCTAAATCGTAAATTTTATACACATTACCGTGTGGGCTGCACATTAAATCAATGACCACTATCCCTATATTATTGTAAAATTATAATACATTTCTCATAATTACGAAAAAGTTACCGTTAACTTAACATTAAATGTAATTTATTCTTTACAAAAAAAAACATATATTAAAAACAATCTATCTTCAACCGCTTATTCCAATAAACTTACCCTCTACTTAGAGAACGTCTATACGATTTATTAACAAATTTGTTCGAAATGAACAAATTTCGTGATAATCCAAAAAAAAAACATATTTCCCTTTTGTTCATAAACACACAACAAAAATGTTATTAATTACAATGCGACATTCTGTATAATCCAATATAACAACAATAGTAGAACCTCCGTTAATCAGATCTCTCACGGTTATCTGAATAATCAAAGTAGATACCTAATACTATAACAATATTATAAGTACTAGATACCACCAACATCTCGATCCCAAAAATATATAAACTTAAGCTACAATTACCTCAGTCGACAATCCCAAAATCAAGTTACCGATTATCCTCGACGGCCAGTTCGCTTTTCACCGCGCTCAAATCGACCTCCTCCTCTTTGATCTCCTCGACATCGTCGTCCATTTTCTCCAATTTGACCATGTGGACCGGCGGGCCGGGCAACGTGACCGATTCGACCGCTTCGACGGGCCCCTCCAACGGGTCCGTTTCGGCCCCCATTCTCTCCCGCGCCGCCCCGAACGGGTCTTTGATCGTGCTGCAGAATTTCCGCAACGCGTTCGGCGGCACCAGGTCCATGAAATCCACATCTAAACCCAAATGAGAATCATTTATGTCCTCTACAACAAAAGAAATACAGAGTAAATTGCGTATATTTTGTGTTTTTTTTTGAGGTAAAGTAAAGGTTACCTGTTTGGAAACCTCGGCTTTTCAATTTGGTCAGATCCTGCAGTATCCTCCTGCGGGCGTTGATGAACCAATTTTCCACTTGCAACAGCGACAGATTGGTTTCTTTCATCAGCATTTGCTTTTCTTGATCGGTCGGATAAGGATGCTGGAAATATTTAACAGGTCTTTTACAGTACGCGTACACAGCCAGCGGCTTCTATTTACTTACATCCGTGTGTTTAAACAGCCACTTTTTCAGGTGGTTCTTCGCTTTTGTAGGTAAATGCGGCCGCTTCGCTATAATATTCTTCTTAGAAACCGTTTGAATAGCTGCAAACAACATTAATAAGCATCTAATCTCTTGTTATTTAATGTAATTTACGCCTACTTTTCGAGCACACTGTATTGTGCTTCCGAAGCAACTGCAAACTCCTGAATGGTTCCGCGCAAAAGTTGCACACAAACTCCTCGTCCGCGTACAATCTGGACACTGTCATCCTATGTCGGGGGTATATCCTCGGCCTACCGCCTTTATTCAACGGTTTGTAGTACATTTTAAGGGCGTCAGAACCCGAAGGGGACTCCTCTTTCGCTTCATCAGACTGATCGGCCGATTCCGCTGTCTCGGGCTCCGCGTTCGACAACTGCCCGGGCTCCTCGCTTTGTATCTAATTACACGACAAACGATTAGTAAGCGAGTAAATTGCGTTCGATCGGTGTTCTTACGTTTAGGAACTTCTCGGGCTGCACGGCCGACTCGTCGGGGTCCGCGTCGTCGGTTTTGGAGAGGACGAGGGCGGTTTTGTTGAGGGGCGGCACGTCGTCGGCGGGTATCATGGAGATGTCGTAGCTGGTTTCGTTGGATTCGCGGAAATTCTGGCCTTCGAGGAAGTTGCGAATCTTCTTTTCGACGAACATGCAACGGCTTTTGAAGTCGTAGGCGGACTTGAGGGCGGTGCGACAGTGATTGCATATCACCGGGTTCGGTATCAAATCGAGCGCCTGAAAAAACAGCACAAGTTTTAGTTCGAATGTACCTACTCGGTAGCGGACATCTTGTTGTATTTGTCAAATCAAATGGTGGGTTTTTATTTCGCTATCTGTCAAGTTGTCAACTGGGATTAATCATTATTATTAATTGTACCTAATTATTAAAATTAGATAAACACAAACCATTTCGGGTATGCAGGTGGTCAATTGGTCGCGGTAGGGCATGAAACCCGTGAAGGATTCCACGGCGTTGATGTTGAAATATTTCGAGCCTCTTTGCAATTTCATCAAACACAAACGACACACTTTCGTCATGGTTGGTTCGAAAAAAACGGTTCGAAATCAAAATAAACAAACGATTCGATTTATGCGTTCTTCAAACGGACATCGCGCTCGCTGGAATTACGTAAGGCTTCGCTGAAAACTGCCCGATTTCGATCAACTGGACTGCCTTTTTTTTCATCGACGAATTTGACATTTTAATATGGGCTGGGTGTCAAATTGGAAATGACATTTAAATGTCAAATGGCACTTCGACGGGAAAAGTAGCCATCAATTTGTCAGGAGTTTGTTAGAATTACAGCTGGCTGTAAATTTCCTACATAATTTATTTGTTATTTGCGATTTATTCTTCTATTCGTTTATAGATGGCGATAAATTATAAAAGTTAAAAAAAAAGAAGAGTAACTCTTGACTGATAACGTTCAAGGCCACCAACAGTGAAGTTGGTGCAATGTCAGTCTGTCACCAAAATGTCAACATAACCCTATTTTCTGCTACAAAAATGAAATTTTAAACCTAATTTACAAAAAAGGTACTCTATAAACGTAAACGACACCAATAAACAATTTCAATAATTTATTTACACTTAAAAATACGAACAATAACCTTATCTATCAATTTCCCCAAATACAACATCCAACGTACCTATAATGGCAACGATATCGGCCAAAAAATGATTCTTACCGATCTTATCCAAAGCGGCCAAATGGGCGAACCCGGGCGCCTTGATCTTACACCTGTAGGGCTTCGAACCCCCATCGGACACCAAATAAACCCCAAACTCTCCTTTGGGCGCCTCGATGGCCGTGTAAGTAACGCCGGGAGGTACCTGGAAGCCCTGCGTGAACAACTTGAAATGATGTATCAAAGCCTCCATCGAAGTTTTCATCTCCGCCCGACTGGGGGGCGTCAGTTTCGCGTCGTCGGTCTTAATCTCGCCGGGAGGCATCTGATTCAAACACTGATCGATGATCTTCAACGATTGCCGCATCTCCTCCAAACGGCACAAGTATCTATCGTAGCAATCTCCGTTCACTCCGATGGGCACATCGAAATCCACCAGATCGTAGGCGTCGTACGGTTGGGTCTTCCGCAGGTCCCATTTGATGCCAGAACCTCTCAACATTACACCGCTACAACAAATAAACGGCTTAATTCGTTGGGGTTTTTTTTAGGGGTAGCTAAACGGAGCACCTGAAGCCGTAATTCAAAGCATCCTCGGCGGATACCACGCCGATATCCTTCGTCCTTTGCACCCATATTCTGTTATCGGTCAATACGTCTTCGACTTCGTCTAATCGTTCGTTGAACTTCGAAGCGAATTCGTATATATCGTCCAGCAGGCCTAGCGGAAGATCCTGTAAATAAGCACGTTTTAATTGCTCGTTATTTTTGTATACATTTTTGTAATCCCACCAGAGAAACTCCTCCGGGTCGAACGTAGGCGGCGTGCATTCGAGCGCCCGACACTCGCTCGTAGAACTCCATGACCTTCTCGCGCTCTTCGAACAGCCAGAAGAACGGCGTGAGCGCCCCCACGTCGAGGGCGTGCGTACCGATGCCCATGATGTGGTTCAGTATTCTCGTTAATTCGGCGAAGAGCACTAAAATTGTCGAAATGTATTACTCTGTACTCGGCTTATGTACTTCAAAGTGTACTACCTCTTATGTACTTGGCTCTAATCGGGACGTCTATGTTCAATAATTTCTCTATAGCGAGACTGAAGCACTGTTCGTTGCACATCATCGATACGTAATCTAATCGATCGAAGTAGGGTAAAGCTTGCGTGTAGGTTTTGTATTCGATCAACTTCTCGGTGCCTCGATGGAGTAATCCAATGTGCGGATCGGATCTTTTCACTATCTAAAATCCCAGTGATATTAAACGGAATGTAAGTATAATGAGTATTACTTCTCCGTCGAGTTCGAGCACCAATCGTAGCACGCCGTGGGCGGCGGGATGTTGGGGCCCGAAGTTCAGGGTGATGTTCTTGACGGTTTTCTCGATGGGCGCCTTTTTGCCGCTCCACGGTTGCATGGCCCAGCTTTTTATCTCCTCCGTGGGGTACATGACGGGGCCGTTGAATTGCGCCATCCATTCGGAGTCCGGGTACCATTTGTGCTGGTTCGGTGGGCTTGAATGGGAGCATAACAATTACGGGGTTCATAACATAACCTCGCTTATTATATAATCGAAAGTTGTGTTATTGATGGGAAATGTTTCGTGTAAATGGATTGTTGATTACCTGGTGTGTAGTAAAACGGCGCCGTTTCGCAGCAATACCTTTGCTGGTAGTAAATCTATGGATTTTTTTAACACTGTATTTATCATCGCGGCAGCCATTTCTCTGAAATTGTAATGACACTAGTGACAGTTGACGCGTTGCTACTACGGTCGAATATTATAAGGTCTTGAAACTTAGCTCCATTGCATGAATTTATATATAAACATTTGTAGACAAGCAAAATAGTTAGAGAAATAAGTTCTTTAATCAATTATTTGATTATCTAAGTTATAACTGCATCTCTAGCAACTTAATGTTGAATTCGAAAAAAATATACTTTACAGCGTTACCTACCGGTTGTTTTAGGAAATAGGAGTTTCCAGATCTTATAATATACGACCGTCGTTGCAACTTCACAGTGGTGACCGAATAAGAGCTATGCGTTAGGCCCAAATGAAAAACCAGTAGATTATTAAAAATATTTATTCATTCGCATAATAAAATGTTTCATCAAATTCAAAACGTTTATTTACATTCAAAAAAAAACTCGATATATTAAGATTTACAATAATTTAAGGCAACTTGTCGAAGATTCAATAAAATAAATCTTCCATTTTGTTTGATCTAATCCAACAGGTATAATATACCCACGAACGTGAGATTTGTACAAAACTTACACCTAAATCCAAGTATAAAAATAAAAAAATAAAAAAACCGGACTAGATACAAAAAAAAACTAAAAACGCGAAAAACGAAATAAATAAATAACCAGAAACAGTCTAAAACGCCGTTTCCAATGCAGGAGGCGCCACCTTCTCCTGCTCCCGATCGCCCTCCCTCTTGGGCGCGCTGAAATACCTGGCCCTTTGGGCGTACAGCCTCTGCGTGGCCGCCGTGTAGGGCGCCCGCTCCACGTTCAACCTGGGCATCCCCTTGGGCGACGACCCGCCGCCCGACCGCCTCCTCTCCATCGAACCCTCCGGGCTCTCCTCCTCGCCGAAGGCCTCCGGTATCGGCGACGACAGCACGTCGCTGCGCGGACTGGCGAACCGCCACTGATGAGGCCGCGTCTTCATCGCCTTGCCGGGCGACCCGGGGGCGAATTTCCGCGCCCCGAACGTCCGCGGGGAGCCGCTCAAATCCAGTATATCCATACCCTGCGGTTGCTGTTTGGACAGCTTGAGTTGCTCCACGGCGGAGATCTTCTTCGGCGAGTTGGTGCTGGTGCACTTCTGCAACAGCAGCTTCTTGAAGTCCAACGTGGAGGTTTGCTTGGGTTTGGGTTTGGGCGGGGAGAGCTTGAAGCCTTCGGTGAAGTCGACGTAATCGCCTCGACTGGGGGATTTCCCTATGTAGCCGGTTTCGGGGGATCTAACGCGAGTACTAGGCACCTCCACCGCCTCCACCACCGCCTCCACCGGCTCCGGTGCATCGATATTCATCTTCTTTTTAACGCGATGGATCACGGCGTAGAGCTCCTCGTTGGACATGGTGGATTTCCTGGGGGAGAGCAGCCTGTGCTCGAGATTAGAGGCGGCTTTGAGCTCCTTGGCGGTGGGGGTGGAGGATTGGAAGCCGCCGGAGTGGCGCGGTTCGATGGGGGACACCTTCGGGTCGGCGTTGAGCAGATTGAGCCGGCTGATGTCGGGCATTTGGACGGGGACCGGCGGGGCCGGCTTGGCCGGCAGGCGGGAGAGGCCTCGGGTGATGTCGGGGGTGACGGAGCGCTCCGGTGTCGGTTCTTCGAAGTAGCGGGTCTTCTTCGAGGGTAATGTGGAGTACCGGCGGGGGTAAATGTACCGGTTGGTGTCCAATTCGCTGCTGTACGGGTACATCACCGGGCTGGTTTGTTCCGTTTCTGTAACGATTAATACAATTACCATTAACTATTATACTCTATTAGTGTAGTATATGCGTATGTACAGAGGTTTTTTTTGCGATTACAACGTGTAAGTAAGTGCATTTAAGTTGGATAAATAGACCTACCTGGGTAGATAATAAACAAACAACAACTCCGGCATGCAACGAAAAATGTTTCAAAGCTCACACACTAAGAAAAAAAAAGTGCTAATCCATGCTCGTTAATTCGAGATGCATCTCGATGGGTGCATTGCATGATGTATAATGTGCATTTGTGCATAATTGCAGTTGTGAACGTGCCAGATTGTAGGAATGCTAGAGAGGAGAAAATTTGTTCGGTGGTGATTAGATAAGATTTCGGCTTGCGTAGGTGATTTATTTTGTATATATTTTTTTTTGTTATTTTAGATCCAACCACCTCGGTTTAATTAACGCGTTAATTGCCATTAAAAGCGTTGAAATTAGCGAACCAAATTGTCGATGAAACCGAAATGAAATTATTCATTTTTGTTGCAAATTACTACTTTAATTTATCCACTGAATAAAAAAAAACAAATAATTTCACACATTACATGATGTCCTGTATGATGAATTGGTTAAAAACATTAGTCGAAAACATTAGCACACCAGTATAGAAGAAATGGAAGATGTGATAAATAATTAACCATTTTACAATCGGTAGTTTAATTAAATTATTTAAAAAAAGTAAGGCGATTAGCAGTGAACAAAACACTTACAAAAAAAAAAACACACAATACATGCAGAGTTACTAAAATTATTTACAAGAAATTTATTATAAATAAACACAAACAAAAAAAAATGCCGGAAAAAAACAACATACTTAGTGCCATTTACAAACATCCATATATTCACTACAAACATCTAGGTATTGTTGTAATTTGAACGCAGCAAGAGTGCGCAACTTCTATTGCGCATATAAGGAATTGTCTTCGATGTTGCCAAATGTTTAGATTCTTCATTTTCGAATTTTAGGTTATGTTATCGTGTCATTTATGCTATTTGTGTGATAATTAGTTTAACTATTAACTAGTAATTGCAAAATTTGACACAAATAATTGTAATTAGGAGTAATCAATTTAATTTTCGATTATTTCCAATCAAATTTATACAGATAGTAGCAAAATTGTTTGCATTATAGCCTACAGGTGCAACGAAGACAACTTCTGTTATAGACACTTTCTTTGTTCTTCTTTCTATAAATCAAACAGGCGATGTGCGCAGTAGAAGTTGCGCAATACAAACTACAACATAACCAACATCTACTTATTGCACGATACCTAATTACTAATAAAATAAAATAAAAACTAGATGTTTGCGAATGAAAGAAAAAAAAATCCTATCAGTCTTATTACAAAGGAAAATATCACAAAACTCACCTAACGAAAACCAACCAACACTAAAACCTGACTGATTTCCATACAAAAAACTCGACCGAATAAACGAATAGTTCGAGTCCGGTTACCCACCATCGACATCCTAATAACACCCCCAATTTATCATAACTACATACTCGATATAATATACTAATAAATATACCATAAAAACAAAGCACACAAACTCGAACTACCCACTAACAAACGGCCTACTCGACGCGGACCGACCGATGAAAAGAGGAAAATCCGAGAGGTGAATGTCCCATCGATTACCGAGAGGGAAATTCGAAGTCACCCGATTTGCAGCTCGGGAAATTTTCCCGCGCAACTTTAAGCGCAAAGGGAAGAAATAGCGGGAGCCGATTCGAAAAGTTTTTGGTGACTTTCAGTAGTGTCAATATACAAAAAAAATTGGTAGCACAAGTGCGATATAATAAAAGGCTGCGTCATTATGACGTCACGAGTGGTTTTGACGTAACGAAACGTTGGTAGCACTGAAAATGAGTGACGTAACGAAATCAAGGTAGCTAAACGCGAGAAGGTTGTATCGTTTCGATCGAATCGTGACGTAATTCACCAAATCTCGGTATCGACGGAAGCGAGCGCCCTGACGGCGTCGAGAGGCGGCGCGACGCGCGTCGCCGCCGCCTTCAGCATCAATTTGGCGTGTTCTCTACCGTAGAGGCGGCACGGCACCGGCGACACCGTCGCCGGATAATTGATCCTCTCCTTCAACAACTCATTTTCGATTTCCCTCTCCATCCGATCGACCGCGTCCAACTTGGCGCGCGCCGACTTAACGGCGCCGCCGTTCGCCTGGCGATAGCTCTCCCTGCGGCGCGCCCTTTGGCACTTACCTCGCGATTGGACGTTGACGTAGGCGCCCCTCGGCGGCGACTTGGCCGCCGCCACGACGGTGGCCGCCGGTCGACGTACCACCTCGACCGCCCCGGCGGCCGCCTTGACGACCAACTGGGCGCGGGGCCGGTGGAACTCCGTCGGCGGTACGTTGGCGCGCATTTGGTGCTGAGTGTTCGGTACCGGTCGTACCGTTTGCGGTGATCTTAGTACCGGCGAAGTACCGTCTACTACAGTCGATGATTTGACGTTTTTGCCGGGTTCGAAGGTGGTGTGGGCTCCTTTGCGTCGCTTCAAACTATCCGAACTGTACACCACTTTACCATCACCATCCAGTACTACTCGAGCACCTTGTCGACGCCTTTCTAAAGAATCCGCTTTGGTGGTGGTGTTGCAAGGCAACTCGTTGAGGCTCACGTACTCAGCCTCTCTCAATTTACCCGCCAACACGCTCGCCAGATTCTTGTTGATGTCTTCCTGAGCTGGGGCTTGGTTGTTGTTCCTCACGTCCGCTATGGTGACGTACTCGCCGGCGTCGAAAATCGACGCGTTAGGCGATTTGCTCCTGTCCCGCTTCTGCGCCAAGCTCGCCAAGTTGGACTTCAACCTGCCCAGCATGTTGTTCAACGGCAACAAACTCGCTTTGATGATCGGAGGCTTCGACACCGCCGCAGCCTCTTTAACGACTTCCTGAGGCTTTGTGTAGATGGTTTCGTGGCGAGCGGAGGCTTCCTGAGGCTTCGTGAGGCTAGTTTTGTGGTGAGTGGAGGCTTCCTGAGGCTTCGAATGGATGGATTTGTAGCGGGTGGAGTTAACAACTTCTTGAGGCTTCGTTTTGTGGCGAATGGAGGCTTCCTGGGGCTTCGAATGTATAGATTTGTGGCGTGTGGATGAGGCGTCGCTGGCGTCGTCGTCGCTGTGCGTCGGCGTGATGACGCACATCGACGGTATCCGGCTGGAGTCGATGGTCGTTTTGGCGCGAATCCGTTCGGATCTTTCCGGTCCTTCCATATCAGAAGATTCGGAAAGCTCGAAATCGGAGCCGCTGCGCACCCCGTTAGGACTACTAATCGACTCTATGGGTGAGCTAGAGGTGTTGTGTCCGCTATCTGGGGATATATCACCATCGTTGGTTTGTACTACGACTGGTTTGTTGGTGTTGGTGGCTGGACTGCGTTTGACTGTACCGGTACGATCGCCGAAGTCTCGCTCCAAAGAACTTTCGTTGGACTTCCCCGAGAGAGAGCTTTTGCGTTCCGGTACAGCAGGACCGATTATCATCAAAGACTTGTTACTGTCTGATGCTCGGAGCGTGGTACAAACAGTACCAGCAGAGCTAGTGGTGGTGGAAGTAGATCCTTTACCAAACAACTCATACTCGCTTTCAGCTGATAAAGCAGTGTTAGATGATATAGCTGAGGTGACGTGGAGCGGAGTAGGCGGAGTAGCCTCCTCCTCTTTCAACGTCTTCAACCCGCTGTCCAAGTGAAAGGAAGTGTAGTACCCCTCGGTGTCGCAGGAATACACCGAGCTGGTTTCGCCGTCCTCGTGCAAATCGTGGATGATGTCGGGCGTGAGGGTGCCCTCGCTGGTGACGCTGCCGCCCGACGTCGTCGGGGTGTTGGCGTTGTAGCGTCGCCGGCTGTTGACGGAGCCGGGTCGATTGAGGGAGGCGGTAGAGGCGGTGGCGGACGTGGTGGATTTCGGGTGGGTTTCGGAGCCGACGGAGGCTCGGCCGCTTTCTGAGCTGGCGCTCCAATTGCCGCTCGACGAATGGGGTTCGTCTTTGCGTCGGCGCTGCGTCGAGACGTCGCGCAGGCGCACTGTAATGTTTGATAAAGGATGAGTTATTGGTGAGTTGATGATGGATTTCTCCGATGAGGATATCGAGGGGTTTCGTTGGTGCGTGCGGCGGTCTTTCTCGGCGTCGCGACGTCGACGCGCTGTTATTGACTCGTACAAATTCACGTCCTCCATTTTGTCGATATTGTTGTTGTTTTCTTGGTGTTTGTTCATCAGTTTGTCGTAGCGGCTTCGGCCCCATTGCTTGAGAGTGTTGAAATGGGATTTCTTCGTTTCGGGCGAGTCTTTTTTGGTGGAGCGCAAGAGGTCGCTGCTTTTGCTGCGCGTGACGGCGATCTGAGCGTCGGCGTCGTTGAAGTCGGCGTCGGTTTGGTGGGCGTTCGACGAGGACGGTTCCTCCCTGTCAAAGCGAACGATAAATATTTTTTAAGACTGCGAGAGAAGTTGCAATCACGCTGGCGTTGGTTACTGGTAACTAGAGCAATTACAACATTCGGTATATTTCCTTCAACCATCTGTCATTTGTCATACAGTCATGCTGTCATCTGTCATATTTTCATAAGACTTCTTTAAGCCAAATAACCGTGACAGGTGAGGGTAAGAATAGCTGATGGAATAGCTGAGGATTGATATGTGAAGAAGAATAAGCTGATTAGCTACTCTTTTGTTGAGTATAAAGAAGCTAATATAAACACTATTATCAACCCTCAATTTTAAAAGTATCTATAAATTACCAGGAACTTAACCAAAAGTGATTGTAACATCCTCCCCATGTCCAATATATTCACAGTCCAACCTGAAATAACGGGTGACATCTCTATTCAAAACAAATTTAAATATTATATTAGAACCGAAAGTTACGAAATATACAGATTGCTCCATTTTTGATCGCAATATATAGGTTATATGAGTGCGACAAAGACAACTTCAATTAGACACTTATAATAAAGGAAAAAGAAAGATTGACATTATGTCATATTGCAACTTTTCAGTCTGACAACTGTCATTTTAATAATCTTTCTTTGTTCAACTCATAGAAACGCGCCATATTGCAATCGGAAATGAAGCACAGTGTATAAAAACGCCCTCGCACTCAAGCATGAACCATGAACAACACATGTATTATGTACAAAATGATCGATTAGTAATCGAATTAATCAAGCAAATCGTGCAATTCGATTCGAATCGAATTCGGTACTTACCCGGCCGTAATGGCGTCCCTGATCTCCTTCTGATCGGTACCGGCCAGCGTGTTGCGCCGCCTGCCGCGCGTCCTCCTGTTTTTAGGCCTCCTTCGCGCCGCCTCCGCCGCCCCCGCCGCCTCGTCGACGCCGTCCGCCGTCCGATCGGCGCGCTCCGACGCCGTTTCGGGCGCCAGCGAACGGCGTCGCGACGACATGCGATCGAAGCTGCGACCAGTCACGTCGACCGCCACCATTTCGGCGGGGAATCTACAAGAGAGAAAAAAGAAGAAGAAGAGTTATCGACGTTGATTTCCACGATTGCCGCTAGATGTAGGTGTATATATAAAATTTATTCATATACGGGGTGTTACTCACTTGAGGGCGACCACTTGGAGTTGTTCCTCGGGCGACGGTAGCTTGTGATCGATGACGTCACCTTCGCTGAACGTGCTCGCTATTCGATTGGCGCAATCCGGCGTCACCGTGACGTCGCCCAACGCCTCCTTCGACGTCCACCTTCGCAAGTCCTCCAAGGCGGCGGGCTACACGAACAGTAAAAGACCACCATAAGTCATCTTTCGTTCAAAATATATCGCCATCTGTCAGTTTGTCATTTTGTCATATGTCATTACGTCACCTGTCACTGTCATTACGTCGTCTGTCACTGTCATTAAAAAGAAGAAGAAAAAGAAAAAAGGAAGAAAAAGAAGGAAAAGAAGAAAAGAAGAAAAAGAAGAAAAGAAGAAAAAGAAGAAAAAGAAGAAAAGAAGAAAAGGATAAAAAAGAAGAAAAAGAAAAAAAGAAGAAAAAGAAGAAAAAGAAGAAAAAGAAAAAAAAAAGAAGAAAAAGAAGAAAAAGAAAAAAAGAAGAAAAGGAAGAAAAAGAAGAACAGGAAGAAAAAGAAGAAAAAGAAGAAAAAGAAAAAAAGGAAAAAAAAGAAGAAAAAGAAAAGAAAAAGTAAAAAAAGAAGAAAAAAAAAGAAAAAAAAAGAAAAAAAAAAGAAAAAAAAAAAGAAGAAAAAAAGAAAAAAAAAAGAAAAAAAAAAGAAAAAAAAAGAAGAAAAAGAAGAAAAAGAAAAAAAAAAAGAAAAAAAAAGAAAAAAAAAGAAAAAAAAAAAGAAAAAGAAAAAAAAAAGAAAAAAAAAAAGAAAAAAAAAAAAGAAAAAAAAAGAAAAAAAAAAGAAAAAAAAAGAAAAAAAAAAGAAAAAGAAAAAAAAAAGAAAAAAAAGAAAAAAAAGAAAAAGAAAAAAAAAAAGAAAAAAAAAAAAAAAAAAAAAAAGAAAAAAAAAAAAAAAAAGGAAAAAGAAAAGAAGAAGAAGAAGAAGAACATACCAGGCTGGTTTCGATGTCGATGTCGATCTTGTTGCGGACGCGTCGCCGTTTGGCGCCCAAGACGGGCGTACAAACGAAGAACCTCGACGATCGGCAGCCGTCGCGACGCCACCGGTCCAATTGGCGCATGACGTCGACGGGCGTCTTGGCGGCGGTGTCGTAGAGGCGTCGCAACGCCGACGGGCGCGTGTCGGGCGTGAACAGGCCGCATTCGAACGGCCGTTCGGCCTTGTAGTGGTTTTTGAGCGACGCGAACGAAGCTATATCGCTTTCGGCTGCAATTATATTTTTTTATATAAAAATATATAATAAACTAGGTTTTGAGTCGTTATGTTGAGTTTTTGGGTCGTTATGTTGAGTTTTTTGGTCGTTATGTTGAGTTTTATATCGTTATGTTGAGTTTTTGGGTCGTTATGTTGAGTTTTTGGGTCGTTATGTTGAGTTTTTGGTCGTTATGTTGAGTTTTTGGTCGTTATGTTGGGTTTTTGGTCGTTATGTCGAGTTCTTGGGTAGTTATGTTGAGTTTTTGGGTCGTTATGTTGAGTTTTTGGGTCGTTATGTTGAATATTTGGCGGTAATTGTCGAATTTTTGTCGCTTTTTTGAGTACGGGTTCACGAGAGGTCGGTTTATTTTCAATTTGATTAACATGAAGAGTCTGTTTAATTTCTACATCTACCTAAGGAAATGTTCGACAAGTGAGCTGAAACAGGCCCGATATCTGATGATGGGAAAATAATTCGAAGGGAAAGATATACTCACGCCTACGCGTTTGTTATGTATGTACACATCAGGCCGAAGAGGCAGTGGCTAAGTTTACGGTTACGTGTACGTTCTACTAATACTTCAAAAAATAATCGAGTATTTTACGAAGTTGTAGTCATTATTTTTGTAATAAGAAAAACCGCGAGAGAATCCAATAAATCGTAAAAACGCACGTGAATCTTAAGATTTTTTTTCTAATTTCGTCTATTTTCACGTCGATCGGTTGCGGAGCCACCGCGTGCCTCGTCCGAACGGCTGCCAACACGTACAAATTCAAGTTCAACGGACATTACTCTAAGTTCAAGGACGCAAAAGTAAAATTAGTCGAATAGTCTAGTAGTCGAAGCCAAAAATCTTGTCATTATGTCATTTATCAAATGTCAACTGACATTTCTGGCCGTCAATAAACACCTGTCACCTGTCAATGTGTCAGAGAAAGCCGTGGATTCTTATCGAGGGCACGCGTTGGGTTTATTTATTAGAGGAAGAGGTAGCGAAAAGAGGTAGGAGAAAATTTATGAATAAATCCCATTAGGAATACAATAATAAGGAAGTCGTTATTTAGACGGTGGTACCTTCGGGCGACGCAGATTTGCATGCGGTACTTCATTAGCAGCGCATCAACAGTACTTTTTTACAGCTACCGCTTCGTTACGCGCCTTATTATTCTAATATTAAATCAAATCTGTTATTCGAAAACGCTTAGAATTCTCCAATAGCGTTTCTCCTTTTTTGACAATTGACAGTTGACATTTCTTGAATTGGCCTTATAGGTCGACTCAAATGAAGTATTATTATCGTTCTGTAGTATTCAGAAGTTTTTTTTATAACCAAATGGTTTTGTAACTAACGATTAGGATACTAAACATTTCCGAATTTTAAACATGGCAACGTCGCTTATTTGAATCTTAAACAAGATGAAAATGAAGTGTTTTTTTTGTCATTCTTCTTCTTCCAAACAAATGAACGTTGCCATGTTTAAAATTCGGAAATTCATAATCGTTATAAAAAAAACGCCGTTTGCACCATAACAGCTAAACAACATTTCTCATTTTATAAAATGAGACGAAAATGCGTTGTTGCCAAAATTGCGTTGTTGCACTCGTTACAATTACGCGCGAAAGAGGCGATAAAATCGTCGAGAGATCGAATTGTTTATTTTAAGTATCGATGGGTCAATAAACGTATTAAATAGAACAGAGAATGCGACGAGAAACGCGACGCTCGAAAATACCGTTCGGAATCGATCTTAAATCAACCCTGAGAAAATGCGATTTTCTCTCCTTATCCTCATTATACTCCGTTCGCTATCGGTAGATGGTATACAGAGTGGCACTCCTAAAGTATTCATTTCTAATGCACAATGGAATATTATTACAAAATTATTAGCGCTTCTCTACTATACCTCCTGATAACGAACGGTGTATAAATGTGTAAAATGCAGGTTTTTTTTTTTGATTAGTAAGGAATGCGCAATTGTAATTACAATTTTATCATAACAACGTTTTTAATGGGACTCGTTCGATTGACTAATCGCTTAGTACTCCACATGGTTGATAAATTCGAAATTTAGCATAGTTTTTATGCTACAATACCAGGCAAAAATGGACCATAATAACCTTCCTTTCACAGGGCATAATAGGGCCCAATCAAACGTGTATTTTCGTCCTTAAGATTTATTAGGGTCGATGTCATTGTCGCCGAGAATCCGGTATAGACATTCAATCGGTTTTTATTTTATTATTATACTATTTTCTCAGTTTGTTTAAAGCTTTACATTTCGCCGCTTCCGGTTCATCCGGTTCAACAATGGATCCTTGGAACTCACCTTGGATTCTCGCTCTTTTTCTTACACACCTTTTCGCTCGTTTAGATAGTAAAAGAGCGAGAGTTCGGGCCGCTTTTGTTCGCTCCGGCGGAACTAATAACCGGAGTTTTTTTTATGTATTTTTTTCGGGGAATTTATCGCGGAATTATGCGGAAAAAACTTTCTGTTATACTCCGGTGTTATAAAACGCTAATTTCGCATGGAAAATACAGAAAAAAATCATCTTTAATACTAAAGAAAGCTTTGTTAGTATCTCCCGATAGCGAACGGAGTATAATAATTCAAAATAGCACTCGATTGTAGCCCTTTTAATGCGAATTGAATTAACCCTCGTACTATTTCGAACCCTACGCAATCCTATTATCATTCGAGTGAACAAAACTGGAATTTAGAACCCCCAACAGATAACTTTAGAGCACAATTGTGGCTGTTGAGCTAAGCTCTGTTCGATTCAAAAGAACTATAAATTTAGTCTACAAAAACTAGGCCAATAGAACTCGTTTATAGTCCCTTAGAAACTGCATATAGGGCTCGAATTATAGTACTAGTGTTTAGTAGAGAAAGTGTGGAAATTTTCCTGTAATTACGCGAGTACTTTGACCCGTGATTTTCACGGTGAAATTTCCTCGTTTATTATTAGAAGCGAGTGAATCATTTAGCCCGAAAAGTTTTCGAGTTTTCCTCTCTTTTGGGTTTCTTTTTGTCGTGCGAAGAGTCTCGGCGAGTCGACGAAAATAAATCTCGAATTTCGAGCGCAAACAACTCGAAAACGGGATATTATTGTACCAATTTATAGGAGGATTTTAGGTGGGGATTTTAAGTTGCTGTCGATGGTACTCGGGGTTTACATTGTGCACGCCATTCGAATCGATCATTTCGTGTATATCGGTTTAAAAGGAAAACTAATAAATTTCTTTTATAGTTCACAACAAATCGATTTTACGTGTCGTTTTCTTGTTTTGAAATTTCCAAAACAAACAACAACCGGCGCCTGATGGGTGGTCGAATAATTCACATATGGATAATCGTAGATAAAATATTGTGTAATACTATGTAATGTACCTCATTAGAAGTAGTTTGGCAGTTGAAAATTGAATTTGTAGATTGAGATTGGGGTTCAAATGAACAAAATTTGATCTACGCTTCGGATCTATTTTCTGGACACCCTGTATAATTCTAATAATCTACGCCACTGGTAATCTTGTGATATTTACTCTTCTTAATGGAGTATCTCAATTTCTGAAAAATTCCAACTGCCAAGCTACATTCGTTGAGTTATATGAAGTAATTGCTGCAATACAAGTGTTTCATTAGCCCCTGGGGGAAAAACCGACCCCTTTAGAAAACGCATCCCTTGTATTAGGGCCAAATCGAATTTACGCTTCCCAGATGTAATTGGCTATTAACCGGCAGAAAATAAGCAACGAATTTTTCACCCTCTACATTACTTTTTCCACGCCACTTTTAATTGAAAAATCCCCTTTTCAAATTAAATTTCCAGGTATAGGTGCCAGAAAACTGATGGATATTTCTCAACACTTGATTTTATGGGTTTCCTGATGGTCCAATCTTGTTCATTTCATTATCTAGGTCATCTTTTTGAAGCATTTTCGGTTACTGATAGAGATTATCCGAGAGAGTCTTCTGGTAGCTTCATTTTTTGAAAATTTTCAAGTTCTTCAACCTTCTGATGATCCACACTTTATACATTTTTGATCAGTTTACCATCTAGATCATCTTCTCGAATCAATTTTGGTTTACCTAGAGACCTACTTAGAGCCTCCTAGAGGCCTCTTTAGACATTTTAAAACTTCCTTTTTCCAACTTTTAGAAGATCTTTTAATGGTCCACACTTTATACATTTTTTTATCATTTCACCACCTAGGTCATCTTTTTGAATAAATTTCTGTTACCTAGTCTACTTGATAGTCTCCTGGTGACCCTATTTAAGAAATTTCTTGAATATTTAAGAAATTCTCGATCACTTTATCCTTCAACACCCTCCAACTTTTCCTTTCCAAACCAATTCCAGAGATCACCAGATAGTTTCCTGCAGGTCTCACAAAAACCTCCACTTATACCAAAACAAACCAAAAACCATTCAAAATAATAATCTATAATTAAAAAATGCACTTAACAAAATACCACTCGCAACGACATTCCACTTAAATAATCGTCGATAAGAAACATCAACCCCCATCATCTACCCATAGAAATCCCCTTGGAAATTCTCCGGCGTGGTGCTGGTGCCCTGGTGGCGGATGCGCGGATTCCCCGGCCCGTCCGCCTCGTCCGGCGCCCACTGGCCGCCCGGCGCCCCTCTCGGCGCCGCCAAATACAACGCCGTAGTCAACTCGTACAGATACTGCCGCATCGGCACATCATCCCCGATAGTAACCTCCCGCGCCTGTCTCGGCGCCGGCGCCGAATCGCGCCCGATCCACGGCCCCTCCGTCATCGACACCGACGTGCTGGTGCCGACTTCGCGCGTGCGCGGCGCCGGGTCGGGCGCCGACGACAGGCTGGCGCTGTCGCCGTTGGTGAAGATCGCCCCGTTGGTTAACTCGTCGAGGTTCAGGTAGGAGGATTGGGAGGAGGTGTCGGTGGTGCCCTCCGGGGAGTAGTCGTAGTCCTCCTGGTAGGCGGTGACGTCTTCGACGGAGCGCTGTTTGCGCAGGCGCGTTTCGGATTCGGCTTGAACGGGGACTGTGGAGATGACGCCCAAGGTTTGGAGTTTCATTTGCACCAGGTGCTTGATGTAGGCGAGGCCGGTGCTGGGGTTGTGGGGGCGGGGGTGCTCGTCGAGGGAGCCTTCGGATGAGGAGGGGCCCGGCTCGGGGGATGCCGGTTCGTCGTCGTCTTCGTCGTTTTTCATCGATGTGACGGGTGAAACTGGTCTTAGGACGATCATTTGTATTGTCTCATTGTTTCTTTTTCGTTATACACTTTGGAATTTCGTGTGATGACATATGTGACGGGTGACAGGTGACGTTATTCGGTTCGTAGATGGCGGAGTGTTGGTATAAAAATGGATTGTAACAGGCTGCCAACTTGTCAGGTTGGGGGGAAATCATTGTTGCCAACTTTTGCCCCCTATAGGATGTTTGTTTACAATATACAATTTCCAGAAACTCATCTAAACACGTTCTAAATCGAATTATTGTAATATTCGCGCCCCCTTTAAATTCTATTACTTAAATTCTCTCCCTTGTAAATTCGCCCTTAAATTTCATTTGCGAAATTTCTGCTCGATTACATTCGACTGTAAATTCAATATTTCGTATATTGAATCAACGCGTGATCATCATGAAAATAAATTTCATGATTATAATCAACTGTCAAAGTTGTCAGATATGTCAAATATGTGAATGATTCTAGACACGTCATAAATCTAAAAAATCAGTTCACTAAATTCTACCATCATATTTTAATGAACCCAAAACTATCCTAATATACAGAGTGTTAATTTAATCGACCATTAATCATTTAACTTGTAGATTTTTATATACGAATGCTGTTTCTAATTAAATGAAATTTATTATAGTTTCTAATTTGTGTCTAATAAAGCAGATGTTTCTTCTACTGTTGGAATTATAATTTTAATAAAACTTTATAAGATTGTTTAATTTGAATTAATAACATTAACAGGGCAATTAAATCGATTAATAATAATCCACAGGTTAATTATTGAGTAAATGAATGAGTGAATGAATGAATGAATGAGTGATAAAATGAATTTAAATAACCGAATTAATAAATAGTCAATAACTAAATACGAGTATAACGGTGGATTTGTTATAATTATTAAATTAACGATTCGTTAGTTAATCACCGGAGTGAATAAATAATTCAACGAATCAACAAGAATTCCTGATGTAATTTTCCAGTACCTACCAGTATTAATTCGTTATAATGAGAGCACTCGACGCTCGCGAAATTGTCGAAATTTCGGGGAATTACCGCATTCAGAAATTTGCATATTTCGCAAATTACACCTCGAAAATTCCCCAACTTTCCCTCGAAACTCAAAGACGAATTTTATACACACAAAAAAAAATCAAGCGGGCTGCGCGTTTAACATCGCAAACGTGACAAGTGAAATGACAGATGACGTTTGTTGTTGTTGTTTTTTTTTACCGGCACACCCTGATGTACTAGTGACAATCGACCGATGATGATGCCATTCAATTCGATTATAGTTCGAAAAAAAAAAAAGAAGAGTCTTTTGTGTTTAATATTTTCGAAAATTAAACAGTTGTATCGGTTTCGAGAGGGCCGCACACTTGACAATGAAACCGAAATGGTGAACAGATGCGCTTTATTTCCCGTTGACCCACTTGCCCTCGACGGTGATCCGTTTAAAAAAAAACCTCTCGAAATCCCAAAATATATATCCCGAGCGTAAATGTTTTATTCGTGTTTTTATTTGCGTTCGCGCTTGACCGGATCATTCCGGTCGCGGTCGGGCGGTTTTTGTGAATGGAAACGACGGTTTAATTACGGTTTCATTCATGTCGTCGAATGGAAATTGTAGTGAGTATAAAAAATAATAAATTTCGAATGTACCATTTTTTTTTCTTTGGTAGAAAAATTCCGAATACGGTCCTGTCGCTGCAACAGGGGTGTATTAAGTAGAAAGTAAATGAATAAGTCAGTGAATAAATGAGTAAATAAGTGAATAAATGAATGAACGAATGAATGAGTGAATGAATGAATCAATAAGTGAGTGAATAAGTGAATAAATGAATGAACGAATGAATGAGTGAATGAATGAATCAATAAGTGAGTGAATAAGTGAGTAAATGAATGAACAAATGAATGAGTAAATGAGAGAATGAATTCCTTTACGTCACCTGTCACTTGTCAAATTTTTGACGTTTACTTTTAAGTATAAACATTATCTTTGAGAGTATTTTTGAAGTGATCCTACAAATATTAAAAGTGAAATCTTAGAAAATGGCGCGGTGAAAATGGTGAGATACCAAGAGGAAGTCGGTGTAACACAAGAAGAAAACGAGAGACACCTAATCTGCTTCAAAAGGAAGCCGTACTGATTATTTTTTTTTAATTAGGTATAGATACATACAAGGAGAAGTGAAAAATATCCGACGATATCGAATGGCATTCGTACCTACACTTTCCAAAAAAATATCCGATTTCCTGCGCTTTTAAATATGTCTGCAGGTTTTAAATTCAATAAATCCGCTATTATACGACAACAAATTATAACACTCCGTCAAGTCGAGTCTCAAATAAGTAGAGAATTTATAATACAGGGTGACCCAGAAAAGTTTCCAGCAACGCGCTTCGTAAATTTTATATTTTCAAACAGTAATACTTACAGTAAATAAGTACAGTAAAAGGTAATTTTTTGGGCCACCCTGTATGTGGAAAATAATTTACGTCCACAGAACATTCACCATGTATACGAAAGGAATTTATATTTATTCATTCATTTTCCCACATGCCCTATATATATTTTTTTTAAAGCTTTTTTTTCTTCTGACATTAGGGCGATATGAGAATATGGGTTTTTATTTTTCATGCATATAGGTCTCGAATCACATGTGGTACTAAGTATTACTTTCTACGAGTGTATTATGCATTCACATTGCATAATACCCACTTTAATTCTTATCTAAACGAAAATAACATGGTGAATCAGTGGCGTACTTGTATTATACACCACACAAAGTTTCAGATTAGATTGATATTAAAATAAAGAAACACTACGAAGAGTTTTAGACTGTTCTAAACGGATTCGGAAACGGTCTAAACGGTTCTAAGCAGTTCTGAATAGTTCTGAAGTGCTCTAAATGGTTCAAGACAGTTCTAAATAGTTCTAGACACTTTTAAATGAATCTGGAGCGCTCTAAATGGTTTAAGACAGTTCTAAATAGTTCTAAATAGTTCTAGACAGTTCTAGCACCATTCTACACCACAGAAACCGTTTTCGAAATGATTTCGTATCGAATATAACTTGTTTTTCTAAATATTTTAAGAAATAAGTATAGATACCGAGGGAAAATAGAGTTACGAGGGATATTCTTCGATATTCGGGGCCACCCTGTATAGACCACCATTAGCATCGTTCATCTGATGGTCAACGCTCGACTGGTACTCGAAAAAATCGACATGGCATTGTATCACAATTTTTTTTTATGAATAATGCAAACCGACCATAAACGTTATTCATATAGTTGCAAAAGTTGCAAGCAACTAAGAGAGAGGTCTTCGACCTCCCTCGTATAAATGTCAGCATCCTTTCCGGCGTATACAGCGAAAAAAGACGGACACATCTCTCCCGATATGGCTGGTGACCGCTATAAAAATTCCCTTCCCATGGGCTCTCTCCATAGCGGCATTTTTCTCTCTATATACCGTTTTATTTTTTCTTCTTTAAGCTATTAAATGGCTAATTTGATGTGTGTATACAGCTCAAAAGAAATAGCCGGAAGCTTGAGAGTATACAAGGCGCAATGAAAGTCGCGCAGGCGGCGTATCTAGTTATGTATGCAGGTCTGTATGTAACATAAACAAATCTACATCGAATGTAGCTCGACAGTTGGTATAATTAAGAAGTTTTATTGGACGTTCTAGACAGTCCTAAAGGATTCTGAAGCGTTCTGAACGGTTTTAGACAAGACTAAAATAATCCTGGATCGTTCTTAATGACTGGAGCGTTCTAAATGGTAGTTCTGAAGCGTTCTAGATGATTATAGAGCGTTCTAAATGGTTCTGAAGCGTTCGAAATGGGTTTAGACATTGCTCAAACAAACAACTTTTCACCCTACTCTCGTATATGTAAATTGGTTACGGAATGAATGGCTAAAATTAAACGCCTATTCGTAAAATAGGGTAGATAAAAGAAAAACATCTATTTCTAGGTCTAGTTTTAATGAGGAAACGAGGAAAAATTACCCCCGTGCGGTGTATCTTCTTTCGATCTACAAACACTAACTTTCCGTCTATTTAATTTTAAACATGCACCAGGTATATGTATAACAGAAAGCAGATGGTCCTTTTTCACTTTAATCGCGTATTATGCAGATGTTCCTAAAACGCTTTAACGATAATTATAATGTTGGTACGATGTAAATTACATCTTGTAAACACCTCAAAAAAAACGTTTGTATTGGGAGAATACACGAAATATTTTTCTTAGTGTAATATCTTAATGAACGCGTTACGAGTTAAATTTATAATGGAATATCCTCTTTAATTTCTTTAATTCTATTAATATACGAAAGCTGCAAAAAAGATGATAAATAAGTAGGAAGTAGAAGGAATGAATAATTTTGTGAATACACTGAAAAAAAAAATAGGTTTCGTTTCTATTTTTAAAAGATTGTTTTCCGACACATTCGAATGACTTTTTCGTGCTTTTAATTTATGCTTTTAAAATTGCATTTCGACCGCAAGTTTTCCGAAACGAAATTGCCCGTTATACATTATTGCATCGTAAAAATGGCGGACGAACAAAAGAAAAATGCCCAGCTCATCATGCTGTTAGACATATCGAACATCTGCCTTTTACATCGCTTTATTTCGGTATCAAACATCCCCAAATCCGATCATTTGCATAACAAGTCACCAACCCTTCCGATAATGGTCAGTGTAAGGGCGGTAAATATTTTTCTAGCCATCAATTCGTTAGTTTTCGATGCACCCTGTATAAGGAAAATGCACTTTCCCACAACAAAATAATCGTAGAGAACGAAACACAGCCGATGGTCAGTTTAATTTCGCGTTGTTGACCAAGATAAAGGACTCAAAAAAAAACAAAAAAAAAAAAAGAAACAAAACGAAATAACCGAACAGGACCGGATTCCGGAAAATTCGTTATAGCCATTCAGCGTTTAATTTCACGGCGAATTTAGTTCGAACGGGGGAATTTTTATCGTTTTACAC